AAACCACAACCACAACCACAACCACAACCACAACCACAACCACAACCACAACCACAACCACAACCACAACCACAACCACAACCACAACCACAACCATTTGATTGGCAATACTCACACGCACAATCAGAGTCGTCATTGAAATATCTGTTCGATGGTGGAGTGCATAGGTCGATGATTGCTTTTGCCTCGGTCAGCTCTATGGTTCGTCGTCATAGAGCGCAGTCGAAGGTGCTCACGAACATACCGTACTCACTCGACAAAGGCGCTAGCGCTGGTCTATCTTAGCGAGGCAATATCCCTGTTAGGAGTGGTGCCAATATCGAGCAGTAGTTATAGCCTATGAGCGTTATACTGCCTAAGGACTATACAGAGGTATTAAGAGATTCGTACATTTGCACAAGCGTATACGGTATATCTATAGCGCTAGACTATAGGTAGTTAAAATTTACCCACTAGCGCTAGCGACTTTGTCCAGTGAATACGGTACATGTACATGTAGTCTGCACAGTAAGTGGCATGGCAAGATCCTAATTCGGCGGAGCTTGAAACCTTACCGGGGAACTCGTTGTCCTTATCCTCGTCTTCGTGGAGATCTTCTTCGGGCACCTCTCCGTCCCCTGTGCCATCAGAGAGAGGATAGACAGACTCATCATCAAAAGATCCCACGTCGCTTGAAAGTGTTCGTATTATTAGGGCTGATAACTGGTGACATTTTTTCTGATCATTCCATAGTGCCCCAATGGTCAGATAAATCTCTTAAGTGGTGAAGTTCCACCTCCCATGTATAGTACAGTGGCCCAATGTCAGTTGTCGGAAGACTGCACTGACATGAGCCTCCAACTTGGCCCTCAAATAGTCGGACACAACGGAGCTTTTGGTGGAATATAGGCTCACAGAAATGAACACAGATCCAGCTTATAGCATAACACATAACCAATGAGAACCAGTCCCTGAGGATCAGCATTCCACATATGTGCGCAGGTACTCGACACCTCCTCCAGATACGCCAAGAACATGAGCTCTCTTTTTCTCTCTTCATGAATCTTATCCTTGCATTTGGCTCATGCCCGGCAACTTTACGCAGCGCGGTGATGCAGCCTACTTACATATTCAACCCAGTCATTAGTGAAAGGGGCTACCTGCTGTTCTGGTCTACAGGATATATTTTTATTACGGATACAAAAGTTAGATCTGAATCACAAACAAAAAGTATTGATTCAAAAACCGACAGGGGCAAAAAGTGTATCACCTGCGAGGATCGAACTCGCGACCTCGCGCTTGGGAAGCGCGCATGCTAAACCACTACACCAAGGTGATTTAGTTATGTAATTCAATCAGTTTGAATGCTATAAAGTTTGTTTCTCTCCAGTGGTTCTCCCCGCAATTAACGACTGCATCCTCCAACACAAATGCCCCTCCAAGAGCTCCAAGCTGCATCATCACCCTCGTTACTATCCCTCTCGTTCTCCAGAATCTGCAGCCCATCATGTCCAGCAAAGTCGACCGGATCGTAGCTCGGCTACAAGAGAAAATTACAGATGGAGACTACTACGAGGCTCAGCAGCAGACACGCGTTGCGGCTTCGCGATACATCAAGCAGAAGAATTGGGATTCGGCCATTGACATCTTACACAATGTTGCCCAATCTCTGCTCAAAGCTCAGCAGGGCGGAAGCGCCAGCGACTTGTGCATCATGATGGTCGACGTCTACAAGCAAGCTGAAACAAAGCCGGACGCCACATCCAAGGGTCGCCTGTTGACGTGCTTGCGGTTATTCCAGGCTGCAGAGCCGACCAGGAAGAAGTTCATCCAGGAGATGATGGGGTAAGGTCCCGCAGCGAGATAGCGACAACGAGGCTAACACATGCAGATGGTCCGCCAAATTCGGCGAGTATCCTGCCGGCGATCCTGAACTTCATCACGTTGCGGGAAGCATCTACGCAGAGGAACACGAACCTTACGAGGCCGAACGACACCTGGTGATTGGTACAAAGGATTCAGCTGAAGTCCTTGCGAAGATGGAATATACTTGGTACAAGGAGAGCGACGCCCACACCGCACCCCATTACGCTGCCCGTGCCATCCTGCCGTACCTCCTGGTCGGCAATGTTCGAGCTGCGAACACAACCTATCGCCTCTTCACCAGCTCCCTGAGCAGCGACAATGCCGGCCTCAACGTCCAAGACGTCTCGACAGCGAGTTCAGATATCCGCATCTTCCCGAGCTTGCCGCTTCTCAACTTCCTAGGCCTGCTTCTCCTTGCGATTCAACGGGGTTCTCCAGAGGTGTTCCGAGGTCTCCTGTCCAAGTATGCCACGCAAATCAACGAGGTCGATGGCTGGGCCGAGCCTCTCGAGATGATTGGGCAGATGTACTTTGGCATACAGAAGCCGCGACAGAGCAACCCATTGATGGACATGATGAGCGGGCTCTTTGGGGGCGGTGCTGGTGGTGCGCCTCCGCAGCGGAGGCAGGGCATTCGCGACGGGCCAGCGCCGGCTGGACTGGACTAGATACCGGACCCGAACATGTAAGACATAGATACCACACCTAGTTAGAATCATACACCTAGTGTCTGTGGTTCCGTCTCGTATCTCCAGTCGTCCTCGGCCAGCATGGCGGTTGATGCACGTAGGCTTGCTTTAACGGCGTCCAGCAGCTCTGTGTCTTGTTAATGCCAATTCCAGCTACAGGCTGTGCAAACTCACCGTCGGATTGATCAAGAACATTGCTGTTAGCTTGCTGATGGTGCCGAACCGCGTCAGCGAGCCTTTGCTTCTCATCTGTGGCCATCATCAGTTCCGCTCAGGCGTTCAAGCGCGTGAACCTACGTTCGCTGTCCAGTCGTGCATCCGCCTCGCCCATGTCCTCATCAACCTCAACAGGTTGAGGTTCCTTGATCTCTATCTCGCCGTGGCGATCTCTCACAGCAATGACAGAGTTATCCTCTGAATCGTTGTCATTATCAGCAGACTCAGTAGGGATGGTTTGGGCGGGTCGGCGGCCCGCTCTCGGAGGTTGGGTGCTTTGAAAGACGGTGCGGCGCGCGGCAGGTAGTGAGGCGCCTGTGGTGTCTCGAGGCCGCGAGACCTGACGGGGCTGATTAGGATTAAGATTGCTTCTTTGACGGACGCGCTCGGCCATGGTGTATAGATATGTTTGGATATAAGGCTGTTGTTGTTTTAGATATAAACGTCGTGTCAGTTATTGGAGCTGAGGTGTAGTAGATAGATGGGTGGGGCAACCAGATGGTGGCTAGGTCGTCTTTGAGCTGGTGCCAATGCCCCGATAGCGAGAGGTGGACGCGAAGAGACAACATCCGTAGACAATGATTGCGTACGGAGTACATGTCGAATTGAAGCAAGAGGTAATTGTATAGAAGAGGAACACGCTCGAGATCACAATGCTCCGTGCGCAGGTCCTCATGCTAAGTGATTGTCATCTCCCGAACTACTGGCAACCCAGTGCAAAGCGTCGCTGATAGAAATACATGCCCAAGCCACAGTCTACCGCATTTTCGCGTTCAAAAGCCTCGATCCTCCGTGAAACTCCCGCATATCCTTCTTTACAGAGAGAGGTTGTACGAGTACTCGTCCTCCATGTTCTGGCTCACCCAGAGAACCACAGAGCTGACTCCGACCAGCGCATTGCTCACCACGTTCTCGATGCCCATTCCCAGTGCTGGCCCTGACACCTCCGGCACCACGAACTTGAGCACAAAGACGACGACACCACCCGCCATACCCCCCGCCAGCATGGCGAAGCCCAAGAACAGGACGACGCGCGCCTTCCATGCGACGCCGTTGCCGCTGTAGCTAAACGAGTCGGCGCTGAGGCGTTGTTTCTCGACCGAGTTGATGATGAGCATGCCGAGGGACGAGAAGATGAGGGGCAGCCAGTCGACGAAGTGGACATGTACGTTGGAAGCGTTACGAGGAGAGTGAGACCAGACGGCCGAGTCGAGCATGACATAGAAGGCGATGGAGAACTACAAGGGCGTTAGACAAACTTGGAGCCTCCACAGCTAGGGCGATGGTAGGCCTACCAGAGCTCCGGCTCCATAGACGCCAGAGTTGCGCGCCCATGCGCTGTTCAGCCACTCGGGCCTGCTAAACTTCCATAGACGGTCGTCTTCCATCGTCAAGACTTTCGGATGCGTATGAGGGAGTAGTATTGAATCTGTTGCGCCGGTCTTTTCGCGGGGTGGCTGGTCGCAACGGAAGCTTGCTACAGGTGCGGACGGGAACGTCAGCGCGATTATGACGAGGCTGCGGACTTGGCGGGTGACGATCACGTGTCATATGTGCGACATAATAACTCGGCCACCTCAACGTCCCTAATAAGGTATTCACGAGGTCGGATTCACTTCTTAATCCCTACAACCACCAGATTTCTGGGACTTAGCTTGAAGTCGAACACCGGCTCGACCCATGCCTGATCGACTTCTTGCTGTTCCTTCAAGAATGTCCAGCGATCTGTCACAATCAACGACTCGACGACAATCGCGCTGAACGCCATCAGGGTCCAGATGACGGAGAGCTCCTTCTTTCTAGGAAGATAGATCTTCTCGTACTCCTCAATCTCCTCATCTGTGATGGATCCCATCTTTTCGCGCATGAGTTCTGCGTACTCGGGGACCTCCGGGTTGTTGATGATCTTCTCAACGGCACCGCGCACGTACGTCTTCAACGAGTCGTAGCAGCTGTTCCGCAGCGAGCCCACAATCACTGGACTCGTGCTCAGGTCAAAAAGTGTCTCTTCAACACCGGGTTCGAGAGTGCGGTGACGAATTTTCTGTACAACGCCACGGTCAAGGAACATCTTCTGTGCCACTGCACGAAAGAAGTGACGCGTGAAGAACCCTTCGCTTTCCTTCGCAGTCCAGTTCTGCAGTGCCTGACATGCCATCATACGGGCGGTGATGTTCAGGCGTACGCCGTCGCCGTTGTGCTCGGAGAAGCGCTTGCTCATCGGGAAACCTTCCGGGTCGTTCTTTTCGGACTCGCGTGTGACGCGGCCATTGATCGCTTGCAGGGTTGGTCGGAGAAAGGGGTGCTTGTACGTCGGTGCGCCCAGTTTCTCGGTCAGGAGATTGTAGCAACAGCCCACGATAGCGACGGCACGCATATCTGGGTTCATGATCAATGACCGGATGGCGAAGTGTGACAGGTTGCCGCAGGAGTGGATGGATACGGCCATGAGCCGAAGCTCGCGCTTCTTCTCCTCGGGCAAGTCGCCCTGCTCGATATCAGAGATCACGCCGGAAAGATCTCCGCTTTCAAGCCGCCCGGAGATGTAAGTCATGAACCCCTTTCCGTCCTCGGCCGTGTATGTCGCGTCCAGATCATTCCTCGCCCGAAAATCCACCGGCTTGGCTTCAGCGTCTTTGAGTAAGCCCTCCTCGCCCACCACGTCTTTGATTGCTTGTGCTAGTCGCTCGGGGTCTTTGAGTCCTCCAGGGCCGGCAGCTTTCCGGATCTTATCCCAAGCCTTCTTGTTCCTCCGTACCTGCGGCGCAACGGAAAGTCCAGAGCTCATGTCAAAGCCCTTGGCGGCTGACACATTGTTCTCACGTCCTTCAACTGCTACGACATGGCGGTTGTAAGGTTCGCTGGCGAGTGCCCTCCCAAGGTAATTTTGCCCGCTGCCAAAATCGACAAAGTGTGTGACATTGTTCCCGTCATGCGAAGCGACCTCATGAGACAGCCGGTCGACATAGTCTGCAAAGTTGGCCACTTCGTGTATCTTCTTCGGCTTCATGCCAATCGAGACAGACCTCGTTGGCTTGGCCACTGTTCGATCTGGCGGAGCATATTCCCGGCTCAGAGAGAGCCTCCGTATCGACTTGATGTAGTTGAGCAGGCTCTCGGGCATCTGATGCTCTCCATCATTTTGCAAGCTGTCAAGGTCCTCTCGTGCCAGTATATCGATTAGGCGCATAATATCGCATGACAACAGAAAAGGGTGCCATTCTTTTGGCAGAGCAGCATGGAACAACCCAGGTTCAATGGTGAAAAAGTCAAGAATGTGAACGCCGCCGCAGAGGATCTGGAAGACGTCCGTTGATGCGACAAAGTTCAGAAGCTCTGAGACATATTCGTCTGGAGAAGCGAACTTATCATCATAAGGCAGAGGCTTCTGCGGTGCCATTTTCCTTGATACTGGGTTACCCTGTGCACATGTTAGTGAATGTACGAAACGCAGTAATGACTGTATGCTTGGGCATAGGTCATAGAAGCAAATTGCGACTCACAATTCACTTGAGCAACAGGTATCAAGATTGATCTCCTAGAGATTACCAGCACCTCATGCGATTGTCCACCTGTCGGGAAAAAAAACTGGTGTAAAGGAGGGGCAGAAGCCAACTCTAAGACGAAGAAACTGATGACGAGGAGACCACGATGGGGAATGAGCAATGACCGAGCTCTGACTGACAATCTAAAATCTCGCAGCGCTGTTTAATCGCGTGCAAGAGTTCGAATATGGTATGGATTGACGACAAGAGGCTCTAGCGATGAATCCGTTGTTGAAAACCTTACCTCGAATATGCGCACCCCACGATGCGCGGCGCCGCTTCATGTAAGACCCACAAAAGGCCGACCGAATGCAGGGGTTCAGTTGCAACGTCATCTTCGAGCTGCCAGGCACGCGCCTGAATCGACTTCTTATTGCCATTGACAATCGCATTTGCGCCCGCCTGTCTTGTCAGCACTCATTTGTATCATTTCGCATGATTTATTCGCCCCAGATCGCGGCGTCATGATGTCTTCCACCAACGAAGAGGACCCGTTCCTTCAAGTCCAACAGTTCGTCACTCAAACGGTGCTGTGCAAGCGATAGGTGCTAACCTGCATAGGGACGTCCTCAGCCAGCTGTCCTCAACTCGCTCCCTCTTCACTTCCTATTTGCGTATCCGCTCGCTCACGACATCATCCACCTCGCCCGAACTTGCCTCCGCCAAGTCCGACCTGGAAGCGGCGCTGGAGACGCTCGCAGAGGACCTCGAAGATCTCCAAGCCGCCGTACAAGCTGTCGAATCGAATCCGTCACAGTTCGGGCTTTCACAAGATGAAGTCACGCGGAGGAAACGGTTCGTGGGCGAAGTCGGCGGGGAGATTGACGACATGAAAGAGGAGGCGAAGAAGACGGCCACAGGCGGCAAGGCAGCTGGCGACCTGCCCGACCCGAATTCATTCGCGATACAAGAGGGCGACGACGGGTACGAGGAGTTTGAGCAACAGCAGCAGGTGCAGATGATGCGCGACCAGGATGAACAGCTCGATGGCGTATCGACCACCGTGGGCAACCTACGGCGCCAAGCGGACGACATGGGCCGCGAGCTGGAAGAGCAGCGGCAGATCCTCGAGGTGGTGGACGACGCGGCCGAGAGAGTGGGCGGACGGCTGTCGTCGGGGATGCAGAAACTGAACCACATTGTGAGGCAGAACGAGGACCGGTGGAGTAGCTGCTGTATTGGTGTGCTCATATTTGCCTTGATTCTGCTGCTGGTTCTGCTCTTGATTTTGTAACTTGGACGACATTTCGATATCGCGCATGGGAAAGCAATAGGCGTTGAAGGCTCTCGGTGTTCAAGGTTGTAGATACTAGGCATTCGCCGATGCTCAAAGTCAAGTCACAGACTGGCATTACGTTAGACATGGTGATGCGCATTGCGAATGGATTTCGCAGGCAGGAAGGGGGTGACCCAGAAAATCATATACATGCTTGTCCGATCTATAATAAATCACTGGAGGACAATCGCCCCAACACCGTATATATGCAAATGTGTGATGATCAAGCACGCGCCACGCGCGTCCCAGATGCTCATAGTACAAATCCTTCCGACTTCCAGACTTCAGCCAAGGCCGCAACTGAACCGGCAGCAGATGCATTCGCTGGGGCCCTGGCCGGGAACTCCAATACTGCCTTCCTGATGGCCGCAAGGGCTGCGTTCCCGTAGAATGCGAGGAATCGACCTTCGTGGCCCAGCAGCATGGCGCGTAGTACCACGTAATGAGTGTTGGACGTCTCGCCTGCTGGCGTGTTAAGGATGAGAGCGAGGGCCGTCCAGTAGTTGGATGGTGGGTATGGGTTGGCCTTGGTCGTTTTGCTAAAGTCACGCAATGAGAGAGCGGCGAAACCAGCACCAAGCCCAGTCATTCGGTCGTTGTGAGCCTGCTCCGTGACCCACGCACCATCCTCCTTTTTCCACCCCAGAGCCGTGCGACCTCGTTCGGTCTTGTCATTGCCCCTTGCGCCGAACAGGACAGGGCATCCGACGCGGAGCTTGGCTATGAGAATATCAACCAGTGATTGCCCCCGCCATTGGAACTCCTTGTTGGAGAAGATGTGTGCTGCGAATACACCCACGGGGTCGGCGGCCTTGGGGTTTGCGCCTGCCTCTCGCGCAAATTGGCTGATGATGCCTTTTGCGCATATGTTCATCAGGTATAGGAACAGTGACGGCATCGTCGGCTCATTGTGCGGTTTCGGTTGCTTGGGGTCATTGACCGAGAGATCTTCCGCTGGCTGCCTGTCGTCCGCGACATAGGTTGCGACTGGGATTGGTTGACTGGGGACATTGCCAGTTAGAGCATCCCGGAGAATTTCAGTGATCTTGCTGATCTAGATGTTGTGAGTGGAAGATTTCGCAAAGCAAAGAGTGGAAAACCTACAGGTATGTTGTTTGCGCCTTTGCCAGCAGTAAGTTGTCCAATAGACACCTTAATGCTACGACGAAAGTCACCCATTTTGCCCTTCAGTGGAGATCCAGGCACTTTAGACTGGGCCACCATGTCCTTGCGGAGCTGCTTCAATGACTGATGTATCGCCGTGTAGCGGTCGGCAAGTTTCTGTTTTTCAGGCGATATCGAAGGCGCTGGCTTTGTGACGGGGGCAGGGCGAGGTTGCGTCGATACTTGCGCTGCGGCCGGCTGGCCCTGAGAAGCTGCTCCGACGCCATTGACTTGCTTCAAGGGAGATGGAGCCTTTTCAGACGGCTTCTGTAGACTGGCGAACGGGCTGATCGAGACGGGTGGTTGTTTGAGCCCTGTCGTGGAAGGCTGAGCTGCCGGCGCAGGTTGTGGTTGCGCAGCCTTTGTGGGTGCCGGAGCTGGGGAAGGCTTCAGCTCCTGCGCCTTCGTCGCCGCAGGCTGTTTCGGTTTCGGAGTTTCTTTTGCTGGTGGCTCAGGGTCCGGCACTGGATCTGGCCGTTTGATCGATTGTCTCTTGAGCGCATTGACTCGCTCTTGTTCGGCAGCAATCTCGGCCTCTTTCTTGAGTCGAGCCTCCTCCTGCTGGCGCTCTTTCTCGATGCGTCGCTTGTTCTCCTCGAGCTCATGATTCTGAAAGGTCTGTATCGCAGCAGCGCGCACTCTGTCGTGTGATATCGACGCAGCTTGCAAGGCGTCAGCGAGGGAAAGAGGCGTGTTTCGACCATCGCCGAGGATTTGACTGAGGACGCGTCGTTCTGGGCTTGTCAAATTGTGAGTGCTCCGATCGAACTGCGAATTGCGCGTTGTGCGCGTCATTGTGAATCTCCCAAGTCGTGTTCAGTGCCTATTGTGCTATTGGGGCTGCATTGGCGCTATCGGAAAGGCGCGAAGCTGCGGAGGAGGAAGGACTGAGAGGTCGAGACTGGTATAAGTGAGCACAAGAGGGACTTCGTGAACGCCTGGCTATGACAGGAAGCCAAAAACTATCGCAGCGACCGAGCGATATTGAATGGCTTTGAGCGAGCGTTGTTGGCCCAAAACTTTGAGGTTCGTTCTTGTTCCCCGTCTAGGCGCACGCGGCCCGCGACCAACTAACGCTGGGCTACAGGCTACCTTATGTGGCGCTGCACTTTCAAGCCACAATGTGGGGTGCATTTTGCACGCTGCAACAGTCAAGTGAGCCAAGGGTCATCGACGCATGTTATCTTACCTTACCTTCGAAGTTCCGCCGAAACATCGGGTTCGCTCTTATGCATTGTCATGCGGGTGTATCAATTATCAGGGACTGGAGCCGAGTGAAAGCTCGATGCGATACGGTGCATGCCACTTCCTTCGTGCTGCGTGGCGTTGTGAATTGATCGCCCGCTCAATCTTGCGCCTTGCGCAGTGATCAGATGACACGACGTTCTGATAAAAAGATCAACATCAGAAATACAAAGGCTGCGGCAAGAGAGTGCAGCCAAATTTGCCTGTCAACTAATAATTATTAGCTGGCGGATTTTCCGGCACTTCGCGGACAGCTCGTCGAAGGCTCGGACCGTATGATCTGCACTATCCGTAGTAATAAATAATTACACTGCGTATCTTCTTATTCCGACTGGCGCACGATGGGCAAAACAATCCGCCAGGCAACGATACATTTTTCCATGGATTTGATGATGCCGCAAAATGTGTCGCCGTACAGTCCGGCTCTGGATCGGTGCTATTGCGACCAGTATCACACGAGCCTCGCCCCAGTGGTTTGGATCTATCAGCAAAGTGTTCGCCAGGTACCACGTAGCTGATCAATAGCATCCGAGCAGGGCTTCTATGACGTGATTCGTCGTCAGCGTTGGATGAATTCCTACTTTACATTACGACAATAATTATTGGGCGCGACCCAGGCTCACACCTACGGGCGGGTGAGCTGTTATGAAGCCCAGTGCCAGTTTCAGCGCATTGTAGGCGAGGATAGAGTTTCAGCCAACGGCCAAAGTGTAAAGTTTGACTTTGTAGGCACCGGACTGTGGAAGTGATAGCAAGCACAAATTGGTGCTGCATGATCATGGATGCCATCTCATGAAGATGACGACAATGACGCATGGCGGAACTTGAGGATCATCAAATCTCAGGGGTGGAAATGATGTACGAAGGGTTGTGCGCGGAGGGCGAATCCAGGTTGCCAGGCCATCCATGGTCAGGTACAACTCCGAGTCGGGGTCCATGTGGGTCAAGCTGGAGAGGAGCCGGACGGATTCATACGCCAACTTGGGAGCTACACACGCATATTCCATGTAATATTATTACCTTGCAAGCTTGGTCGGAAGAGTGTTGGGCAATTGAAGCTGTAATTAGCACATAAAGTCTGCAATTGCTCTACTGTACTTATTAAGTTAGATCGAGCGAGTCTACGAGAAACATGGCCATCATAAATCAAGATTGAGACATGCCGGTGGATCCTCGCCTGAGCCTGGGACTGAAACCCTGGGGCATCCTCGACCAGCCTACGCCGCCTAACCGTATGGGCAGGTTTTGGAGAGACGCATTGCACCAGGCTGGCGGACAGCATTTCCTGGAGCTGGACTGGAGCTGGACCGCGCTGGACCGCGAAGCTCGGATCGCCACGTTAAGGTGCTTGACAACAATTAATAAATGCACCAGAGAGAGGGGGCGACGGTGGCGGCGTCCAGTCGCTTCCATTCACTGTACCTTTACTGCGGCCCTCCAGTCCTCCGTAGTGGGTGGAGTATGGGTGGTCTTCCAGGTCATTACGACGGGCTCTGGGGCTGGCACCCCCCCTAAACAAGGCCACCTGGCGCAGAGCCCGAAAGGTCCATGTCGTTTGTCCGCTCTCGGTGGAGGAAAGAACGACGTACCTCATCATCCGCGTCTACCTTACCTTACCTTAGCTACCACCCTTCCTCTCGAACTTGACCTCTCCCTCTCCATCCTTTCCCTCAACATCCCACCCTGGCTGTATCTTCAGCGCCGCAGACATCGTACAGAAACTCTGCTTCTCGTTGCCTTGTCATTCCTATCGACAAGCTAGCACGTTCGTCCAGGCTTTCCTTTCCCACGAGCCACACTCCTTGGCTCTTTGGGGTTACCTTTGCACCCGAGCTCGCTGGAACGATCCGTCTACCACAGCAACAACATTCACATCACAACACCCTCCTTACCAACCCTTCAACACTCGAAAAAAAAAGATCGCACCGAACCACTCTTATTCGCCGTCACTGCTGCAGTCTGCTCGCCTGTACCTGTCCCTTCAATAGATACCCGCGCAACGCACCCCCCGAAGCAGAGGATCCCCCCTCTTGCATCATCGCCTTGACCTCGACACAACACGACCTTGTCGACTGCCCGCACACGACGTGCAAACAATCTTTCTGCAGCTGCTTCCGGAGCTTCCCGTCAACATGGAGCAACAACAGCAGCAGACAACCCCTCAGCAGCCGCAAGGCCAGCCTCAGGGTCAACCGCAACAACCCCAGCAAACTGGAGGTGTGCATGGCCCTGCTGGTCGCAGGCTGCACATTGCCCATCGGCGGAGTCCTTCCGAGTTGACTCCCCTGATGAGCATGTTCGCCAACCCAGGAAGTAAGTGGCGCAAGCGATCGACTCCTGACTCTAGCTTGCATACTGACATTGCTTGTAGTGGAACAGTTGGCTATTCAGCAGCAGATTGAGCTGTTGCAGCAACAGCAACAGCAGATTCAGGCTACGCAGCAGCAGTACGTGAACATGGGAATGATGCCCCCTGGCCAACCCATGCACGGCGGACAATTCAATCCTTTGCAGTCCATGGGTAATATGCAGCAGCCTAACTTCCAGTCCCCCCAGCAAATGGGGCAACAGAATGTCAACATGGCTCCTCCCAACCAACCCATGTCACATCGCCGTAATCAGTCGGCACTCCCCAATATGGGCATGGGCCCCCCACCAGCGCCCTCCTCCGGAGCCTCCGGCTCTACGTTTGGTAATTTCGAGGCACCTCACGCCGGTGCTGGTGGTCAGGGCCGTGGAGAGAATGCGGGCCGTGGGGGACGAGGTGCCGGCGGAGGCCATCAGCGCCGTCACTCACTGGCACTATCGGACGCCAAAAAAGCTGCCGAGCTTGCGCAGCAGAAGCGAACCACAACCGGCTTTCAATTCCCCGGACCTAACGCCGACAAGCCGGATGACGAGAACAAGCCTGCTGCTCAGCAGGAAGCGTCATCGGATACCCCTCCCCCGGCGGCTCCAGCTGCGCGGGGCGGTCGTGGAGGACACGGGCGCAGTCAGAGCATGGCCGTAAATGGTCGAGGCGGAGGCGGTGACTTTGGTCGACGCGGCGGAGGCCACGCGCGAACTGGTTCTCGCAACTTTGAGGGCAATTGGCGTACTCAGGGCGCTGGACAAGACCAAGGTAACATGGGTCAGAGTTTCCAGCCTGGTCATCGAGCACAAGGGTCCATGAACCAATCCGTCTCTAACCTCGGCGGGTTCCAATACAACCAGCCGCAGATGATGCAGATGCCCAATCAAATGGTCATGCCTCAAATGTTTGGCCAGCACCTTACCCCTATTCAGCAGCTGCAGGCTCTCCAAGCTGCCCAGCTCACCCCCCAACAGTTACAGGGTCTGCAGGGCTCGCAGCACGCCGGCTCTATGGGGGGCCAGCAGCAGCAGCAGCGCAAGACTTTGTTCACTCCTTATCTGCCGCAGGCTTCACTGCCTGCTCTTCTCGGAGACGGACAGCTCGTCTCAGGCATTCTTCGTGTTAACAAGAAGAACCGCAGCGACGCTTACGTCACCACCGGGGATGGTGTACTTGATGCTGACATCTTCATCTGTGGCAGCAAGGATCGCAACCGTGCCTTGGAAGGTGACTTGGTTGCCATCGAGCTGCTGGACGTGGATGAAGTATGGTCGCAGAAGCGTGAGAAGGAGGAAAAGAAGAAGCGCAAGGATATCACCGATACACGTTCCGGCTCGACAAACCAAGGTCGTCGTGACAACAATAATAACAACAATGAAGACAACAATGAAACCGGCGAGGGCGGTCTCCGCAGACGCGGCAGTCTGCGACAGCGGCCTACCCAGAAGAAGAATGACGATGTCGAGGTCGAGGGACAGAGCCTTCTGCTGATGGAGGAAGAGGAAATTAATGATGAGCAGAAGCCGCTTTACGCTGGTCACGTCGTTGCGGTGGTTGAGCGTGTCGCTGGCCAGATGTTCTCCGGAACTCTTGGTCTGCTGAGGCCCAGCAGTCAGGCTACCAAGGAGAAGCAAGAAGCAGAGCGAGCCGCTCGGGACGGTGGCAATGGTCGTCAGGACAACCGCCAGCAGGAGAAGCCCAAGATTGTCTGGTTCAAGCCTACCGACAAGCGTGTGCCCTTGATTGCTATTCCCACCGAGCAAGCACCGCGCGACTTTGTGGAGAAACACCAGGACTACGCCGACAGAATTTTCGTTGCCAGCATAAAGCGCTGGCCCATCACCTCTCTCCACCCCTTTGGTACTCTCGTTGAGCAGCTCGGCCGCATGGGTGATCTCAAAGTCGAGACTGATGCCTTGCTGCGCGACAACAACTTTGCGAACGACGAATTCTCCGAGGCCGTGATCAGGAATGTGGGCTTGGCAGATTGGTCCCTGGAAAAGGAAGATGAGGCTCTGCTCTCTGCTCGCCGCGACTTCCGTGATGAGGCTACGTTCACTGTGGACTACAACAGCGGAGCTGAGCTTGGCAATGCAATTCACGTGAAGTCTCGCCCCGATGGCAAGATTGATGTCGGAATTCACGTTCCCGACGTTGCTCACTTCGTCAAGGCCAATTCCTTGGTGGACCGTGAGGCCAAGAAGCGTGGCACCTCGGTGCAGCTCATCAACCGCTTCTGCGCTCTCTTGCCGCCCAAGCTGGCTGGCGAGGTGTGCTCCTTGGCCCCTGAACAGGAGCGCCTTGCAGTTTCAGTGGTATTCAGCGTCAACCCCCACACAGGAGCTGTGGCGGAGGGCGACACCTGGATTGGACGCAGTATCATCAAGAGTTCTGGCAAGGTCACGTTGAACGAGATCGAAAAGGCCCTGACCGAGTCGTCAGCCTACGACAACACCGCCATCCCCGTCAAGTCACTGCAGATCCTCAACGCAGTCTCCCAGAAGTTCCGCGAAACCCGCCTCGGTGCTGGCGGCGAGCCCATTGCACCTCTGAGACTGCTTCAGCAGCTTGACGATGAGAACAACCTGGTGCAGCACAACCTGTTCGACTCATCCCAAGCCCTGGAACTGGTGGAAGAGCTCAACCACAAGGCTAATGCCTATGTCGCTCAGCGTCTTGCCCAGGCCTTGCCCGAGAAGGCGTTGCTACGCCGCCAATCGCCCCCCAACGCTCGTCGCCTTCAGACTTTTGCTGAGCGCATGACTGCTCTTGGCTACGACATTGACACCTCTGGAAGTGGCGCACTACAAAACAGCCTGTTCAAGGTTGATGATGCTGACCTCCGCAAGGGTATGGAGACATCGCTTGTCAAGTCTATGCAGCGCGCAAAGTACTTCATTGCTGGCAAGACTGCGCAGCCACTCTGGCCGCACTATGCACTCAACTTGCCACTCTACACTCACTTCACCAGCCCCACTCGCCGTTACGCCGATATTGTCGTGCATCGTCAACTCGAAGCTGTACTTTCCGAAGGCGCGATTGAGTTCAATGATGATATGGAGAACTTGGTCAAGACTGTTGAGGCTATCAACACCAAGAAAGATTCAGCTCAAAATGCCCAGGAACAGAGCATTCACATTGAGTCTTGCCGCGAGATGGACAAGAAGCGCCAGGAGGCGAATGGCGACCTCATTGCCGAGGGCATCGTCCTTTGCGTGTACGAGTCCGCCTTTGATGTGCTGATTCCCGAATGGGGATTCGAGAAGCGTGTCCACTGCGATCAGTTGCCGCTCAAGAAAGCGGAGTTCAGGAAGGAAAAGCGCGTGCTCGAACTGTACTGGGAGAAGGGGGTGCCCAGTTCTGCCTTTGTACCTGAGGATGAGCGCCCTAAGGCAGCTGCCTCTCAGAGGATGAACAACGCCATGGTTGCTCAGAAGAAGGCCGAGGAAGCTGAGCGCCAGCGACGTGAGCGCGAGGAAGCGGCGCGCAAGCAGACTGAGACGGGCACCATGTCGACGGATGATGTCGATGCCTTGTTTGACGATGATGAGGATGACAAGTCGGATCTGACGGAGGCTATGGCTGGCGCTTCCCTGGCCGAGCGCCCGACGCAGAGCGTGCCTGGATCGCCAGCTCGCTTGGCCCCGGCTGGTGATGCCGCCGGCCTGCAGCGCACGCAATCAGCATCGAAGGTGCCCGCGACCGAGGCCCCGGAGACCCGAGTCAACAACAAGGAGAAGTACCTGAGCTGGTTCACTCTTCGCGAGGAGGGCGGCGAGTATATCCAGGATGTCACAGAGATGACGAGGGTTCCTGTTATTCTGAAGACTGATCTGACGAAGAGCCCACCGTAAGTGTTTTTTTCCATGCCCACGATGACTACGTACTGACCGATGACAGATGCTTGACGATCCGATCCCTGAACCCCTATGCGCTGTAGAGTACCTCGGCTCGTATAACTCGATTTGTGGGAGGGCGAAGGTGTATGTAGCCGGTATTTTGGGAAGCCAACCGTGGAAATACGACACCACCGAGACAAGGTGCACATGTTTGATTGTCTGTATTGTGGAAGGGAGCGATGGTGGCAAATGGATGAAGTTGAGAACAACGTGGGAGGAGATATAGTAGTGGAACGTACGAAAAGCCATGAATATGATACCTTAGCATATGTTCTGTCTAGCTCAATAGTACACGCACCGAGCGAATAATCACAGCTACGTCCGTTTATCATAGAAGCTGGAATGTCAAGCCAGTGTCGTTATACTAGTCGCCAAAGTTGGACCGCACCTAAACGCCTCAGTAGGTCATGCTAACTATCTTATGTGTGTATATACAATGCCATGATTATCGATATCAACGTACTACGTACAGCTGGGGAACCTAATTAACGCGCCCAGGCGCCACCAGACGAACGCCTGCCCCTCTCGTACAACCACTTGCTGTTCAGCCCTACGCTGGTGCGTTTGTTGCCAGACGGACTCGGGGAATCAGAGAACAAGTTGGACGAGGTGCTGGCCCCGAGATTCGATTGACCGAATGACGACCTTCGCCCATTGACGGAGGCGTCCAGACCCTTGAGCCCCAGGGGACTAGCGAGGGGGGAGTAGGAGTCGGAGGCTTGCAGGGCAGGGCTGCCCCGACCAGATAGGGGAGAACCACTGGCGTAGCTGCCCCGAGATCCTATGGAGCCGGACAGCGAGGGCGTCCGCGAGTATCGAGGCGGCGTGCTGTAGGTCGCGTTGGGGGTGGGCGCCGCGCCCGAGGGGGGCAGACCAAGCAGTTTGCGTTGCGCGGGTGTCAAAGGAATGTCGGCTAGGGAGTCCTCGGCTCTGATGAGGGGCAGGCAGGCGGAGACAATGTTGACAATGAGCATGAGCAAACATGCGTAGCATGCGAGATCGAAGTAGCCTCGCGTCGAGTTTGACAATCTACGGTCATCAGTCAGCCTCGTGCGCGCAGGAGTAGATGGTCAGGGCTGGGAAGTTATACGTACAATGTCGGCAGGGAGTTGGCTTTGGAGACTTGGTTGAGCGCGATGATGGCGATGATGCTGGCTACGCCGTAGGCGATCTGCGTGACGTTCTTCTCGGTGAACGTTGTCGCATGGCGCCGTCTGGTGATCTCGTCGATGCGAGGGTGTCGCCAGGTGCCGGGACTCTCGGTGACTGGCGTCGATGAGGCAGCAATGGCCTTGACGGGTGTTGAAGGCATGATTGTCGGTTTGTCGGGGGGCGCGAGTGCCGGCAAACGTGGCGATTCTACGGGGTGGTCAGGTCAGTCGTACCGCATTCTTCGCAGGTGCAGCAAGTCGTTGGGCAGTGCTTTGCGCAGGTTTGAGGACGTACTGTGCACGTGTTGTGTGCTTCGACTGTAGCTGTGAGATGTTTGGGTCGTCAATGCGAGGCGCGAAACATGTGCTGCTGGTTAGTATAGGCTCTGCAAGGCCGAGGCCCGATGGTGTCGTCTTTGTTGACGCTGGCCAGGATGGAGGTGGTTCCTGAGAGACGAGATACTGGAGGCTCGCGAAAACAATCTGGCCCGCTGCATGCATGCAGGGTGCACGGGCCAGGCTAAGCCTCCAAGGTACAGCTGGCACAGTGTCTGAACGGACAGTGCAGTGACGCGCTCCAGACCCCAGCTTCAGAAGCAAGGAGGAGCGACAGAACTGTCTGTCAATTGATGTATGAGGCTCTCGTCACCTTTCCCGATCCCACCCATTTTCCTGGCTCCCTCGCCCACGTCTTTCCAACAACATTTTGAGCCACCAAACTCATGTCTCGCGATTATACCATCGCCAAACATCAACGCATCGCCTTCTCTGTCCAATCACCATAATTATGCGCCGCTGATCCGATCCCTATCCTAGTCGTCGCAAGCCACACCTCCCGTCTCCAGTCCACGAAGCGAGGTGAACCACAGCGACAATCTCGCCATGTCGGCCCCTCCCGACTCGCCATCTCAGGCGGACACGGTGCCTGCCAGCCCAGCTACGCAGATCGAAGATGCACCACCTTCGCCCGTCGGCAGGTCATTCCTGTCGCAAGCTGGCGACGAAGACATGCCGGATGTGACGGAGGACCACGAGCAGAAGAGGTCGCGCAAGTCCAGAAATGCACGAGACAAAGACCTCGCAGCGCAATTTGGGAGGATCAGACACCTCAAGAAGGACGACGGCGATCCGCTGTGGCGCGTGGACATACAGTACGACTTCTTGAAGGAGATCTTTGACAATGAGCAAGCCGTCTTCACCAACTCGTACGAAACGATGCCCAAGCAAAACTTTGCCGACCTGTACATCGATACCATGGCGCGCAGTACCAAGACGAGCAAGGTCTTGCGCGATAAGCTGCTTAGTGATCGCGAAGTCGCCAAGGGAATGGCCATGGTCTGTCTGCTCGTCAACATGGGTCGTATGAACACCACGCTCAACTGTAAGGACCTTGCCTGCTCTGCTCTCTTGACCAAATAGCTGACAAGCCTCCCAGTCTTCCCCGAAATGCGGGCGCAATTGCGAACATACCACGCGATCCCCTCCCTACAGGCTCGGCAAGATACCAGCGCAGACAAGCAGCTGCAGGACGCGCCGAGACTAAAGTCCATCCTGAAGGGTGGCGCAGAGGACCGACAGGAGGCCAACTCACTTGATGCCATCAAGAACAAGCGGGTTCCCAGGACGAACCCGGTCAATCTCATTTTCGTCATGTGCAACACTGCCTATATCATCGCCGAGCTACATTTTCCTAACGGGGAGGAATTTCACGATCTGATCATGAAAAAGGAATACACAAGCAAGTCGAGAGCCAGGGCATTCTTGTGGCTCATGTGGTTTCACCTGGAATCGGACTTTACCGAAGAGGGCTGCGACGAGAATCCGTTTGGACCCGGTGTCGACTACGGCTTGGACGTTGCGAACCAGGGCATCCCCCGGCTTGAGCCTGTTGATCCAGATGGGCCACCGGAGAATGTGGACACCCCCGAGGAGATTGAATTTGGGCGTGAGAAGCAAGCTACGCGAGCCAAGATCTTGGAGATGGATCAGGCGTACCTCAACGAAAGAGAGAACCGCCGCGGCAAGCTGCGAGTGCCTCTGCCCACGGAGGACGGACCAGCGATACTGCCGAGGATCCGCCCATCAAAGCACGAGTCCGACATGGATAGCACCAGATCTACGCCGCCTCCCAAAGCTGGAGGCAAGCCCTCGGGGGCTAACAGACGAGGGGCGCCTCTCAAGTATCAGATCTACGAGAACTCATCACCCTCCAGACCTGGTACCGAGGGCGTTGTCGCCCGCAAACCGCGTCCCCCGACTGCTCATCAATTGGCAGTCGAGCGCAACCGTCACGAGAGGGTCGAGTACATCCTTGATCGAGGGCTACGCAAGCAGCACGCCAAGAAGCGCAGAATCCGCCGACAGAATGGTGCCATCTTCCGGGCGTATACACGCGTCAAGGCGCAAGCCAATGGCTTGGACGACAGCGATGAGGACGCACCTGACAACGTCCCGGCGCAGCACCCCTATCCCTTCCGCGAGAAGGGCGTGAGCGGAGGTCTGAACTCGCTCAAGACGGAGGACGATGATTTCGGCGAGGAGATCAGCACGTATGCGGCTGCTCTACGGCGCGCTACAAGACGACTTGCGCGCTGGCACGGCCGCCAGGACGAGTTCGGCGTGATTGCGCCAGTGAAGAAGCCTCGGGCGGCTGGCGAGGTCAAGGAGGCTGACGCTGCAAACGATGCGAGCCAGGAGGCAGGCGTGGACGACATGGAGATTGAAGAGGTCGACCAGACAGCACTGGGCGACGACGAACAGGAAGAAGTGGATCGCACAGAGCTCATGTCTGACGTCTGAGGCTATGCTACGTGTATCAGTTATTGGCGTTTGTATGATTGCTGATTCATTCCGCGAGGGAATGCTTATTCAACGTAGCCAGGGAGGCTTGGTTCGGCGTTTGGGCTGTATTGGAAGAGATAGATAGGTACATATACAGCACAAGACTTGGGAGCAACGATTTAATCCTTACCATCTCTGCCTTTTGGGTCGTACCAGAAACGAAGCGTACCTGGGGCACCCTGTAACTAATCTCACTTCATCGGCTTCCGGCTGGTCATTCTCAGGCCATAATGAATCTGCGGAGGGCGCGGGATCCGAACTCCCATGTGGGGCGCGGCTTATTCATACTTTAGTATAACTTCATAGGGGTCCTCCCAATCAACAAACATCAAAGCTCCAATCCATTCACTGATACTTACTCTTTCCTTTGCTCTTGTGTCAAGATGCCTTCTAAAAAGACCAAGAAGCAAGCGCCGCCCAGCATGGGCCCTCTGCTGGCCATCCTCGCCCTGCTGACGGGCCTCTTCGCCTCGGTCATCTACATGATCGACCAGCACGCCGACAACTTCTACATCTTCGACCCAAGCGAGCTGCACAATCTCTCGCAGCGCGCCATCGCCGCGCACGGGGAGGACATGCATGGCATCAAGGACTACATTGTCTCCGAGCTGAGCGCCAAGCACCCTGACCACGTGAATGTCGGCGAGGAATGGTTCTTCAACAATGCCGGCGGTGCCATGGGCGGCATGTTCATCATCCACGCGAGTGAGTCTTCCCTTTGGCAGTGCGGCAACATAACATCACGGCTGAACTGGCTCTAGGCATCACCGAGTACCTCATCATCTTTGGCACCGCCATTGGCACCGAGGGCCACAGTGGGCGTCACACGAGCGATGACTACTTCAACATCCTCAAGGGCACGCAGCTCGCGTACTCGCTCGGATCGTTTGAGCCCGAGGTCTACCCGGCCGGGAGCGTCCACCACCTGCACAGGGGCGATGTGAAGCAGTACAAGATGCCCGAGGGGTGCTTCGCGCTGGAGTATGCCAGGGGGTGGATCCCTCCAATGCTCTTCTTCGGGTTCGCGGATGGATTCTCGAGCACCCTCGATGTCCCAACGTTGTGGACGACGACGAAGATCTCGGCTCGGGAGATTGTTGGCAACCTCCTCAAGGGCAAGATCTAGATAGACAGTGTCAGGTTGCTGTGCGATGGGAAAACTCTCCATTGGCTACGTTAGTTTAAGCAGATGGGTCAGCCCTGCTGGGACTGTACGTTTGATCTCTCTCTTGTCCCTGCCTATGACTTTTTACCCTTGCTGTTGTCATCACTATCATCATCATCGCTTGCGTCGTCGGGTAACTCCTGGATCCGCCCCGATTGCATTGCCGCCGTGACTGGGTTTTCCACGTCCATGACGCCCGTAGCCTTGAGCCTAGGAACCCGTTAGAAACACTCTGGTGCACTCTGGACAAAAAGACATACCTCTCAAACAACACAAACAAGCGCTCCGCCTCGCGCTCCTTCTCCTCATCCGTCATCTCCGGCATTTCCACCTCAGGCTCAGCGTCCAGCCTCTGGCCAGTGATGGGGTTGACGTCAGGTCCAACCGCCGACCCGAGCTCCTTTTGCGAGATCTCGATGCCTTTGGAATTCAAGTATCCCGCAGCGTTGCCGAACCCAACATTGTGTACGAAAAGCGAGGGGTCTCTCTCGGATAATTCGAAGAATGTGGTCATGATCACCTCGCGCACCTCGGGGAACATGGACATGTTGGACATGTGGAGCAGTTTGTGTGGCAATGACTGACCCATGCCGAGCGCCTCCTTTCGATCCTCTTCGCTCGGTATAATCTTGTGCTGGAGTCGCTCCTTTGCTGCTTTGGCATCCGACTGAGACATGTGGTTGATGGCCAGGAGGAGAGGGAGGAATTCGGATTCCTTGTCCTGTGTACCGTAGAAGTTGATGCAATCGCTCAGAATCTCCATGAGCTTGTCCACGGCGCTGACCTCAATGTCCTTCTTCTTACTGAGAGGCAGTACAGGCAGGCAGTTGACGAGGATGGACACGGGCGCTTGGAGCGGGGGCGTCAGGATGGTCATCTTGGACAGCATGTCCAGCACAGGGTCGACGGCGTGGATGAACCGATGTGCCTGGTCCTCGTAGCGAGCAGCTAGTGTCGACAAAAGTCGTAGACTTGCGGCGCACGCCGACGTAGGGTCTGACGTTGGCAGTGGCCCTTGGTTTGCGTGACGTTGGATGTTCTGATATGAATTAGGATGTGCGGTGAGCGCTGGGGCAAGATACCTACCGCGCTCACGATTTCCGCGAGGCCATCATTCTCAAAGCAAGGCGTCAAGTCCAAGCTTGTGCCATGGCACGAGAAGATGATGATGTTGGCCAGAGCCAGCTCGTCTTCGGGGTCATCGCGCTGTCCGCCTTTAGTTGCGTCCTGAACTGGGCTGGTTTGCTTCCTGCACACACCTTGAGAGCCGAGATGATCCTGTCTGTGCCGATCTCGGTGGGCAGGAGCTTCCTAGACTCGGGCGACCTGACCAGGATGTTGTTCAGACATCTCAGCGCAGGCAGGTGCTCCGGCTTCGGATGGGCTTGGAAGGCATATCCTCCAATGATCCTCACACCCCTTTTTGAGAACAGAGGTTCCAGCGCGCCCTCGCCTAGTGTGCGAGTCGCTCCGTGAAGTTGCACCAGCAGCTTGTCTAACTCTATGCATTGTCCGTCAGATGTGGCCGTTGGTGATGTCGAGCGACTTACCTGTACTGTTGCTGGCGTCGGCAGGATTCTCAAGCTTGTTGAGGATCCCCTCAATATCGGCTTTCGACTCTGCGCACTTGGTCAATATCGATTGTCGCTTTCGAGCAGTGGGATCTCGTCTTTGGGCTGGCTAACTAACTAGGTCCACCGGGGGCGGCCATGGCGGTTGGCGATGGACTGGAGCTGGTGGGCAGCGTGGGCTACAGCGTCGATGCAGATCTATCGGCGGATTCTTCCCGCCATGCGCTTCGCTAGGGCTAGGGGTGCTCCACTGCGATGAAGTATCGTACGTACTCAAACTAGCATCACGTCTGCTTTGGGACGTGGGAAGGGTGTCCTCCTCCATTCACAGAATTGGCTGACGTTGAGTCGTTCCTTGACGTCGCGTGGGGGGTTGCACGTGACGTCGACGCTTGCCATTTTTGAGTTGCAATCGCGAAGGAAGGAACACTGGCGAAGCCAAAAATTTCAAGTCATCATGAGGCAAAACAAGTCAAGGAAATGAGAGCTTTGTCATCATTCAAGTATCGACACTAAGTGAGCAACATCATGCTATAAGTTCAGTGGCAGCAGGTCTTGTGGTAAGCTGATCCGTAGCAAACCGCCATGTCCGCCCAGCGATAAGTCGCGGGTTCTTATCTGCACATCGATTTGCCTACCCCACAGGCCGAAGGATGGCGCACACGACGTACATGTAGTCGGTCGACGAAATCTTTCACCGGGTTCTTTATTTGAAAGCAGCACGACATGAGCTTATTTGTGCAGTAATTAGTTCCTTGGCAAGCAACAACACGAAGGGACTGTATCCACCCGAGTTGTCCCAGACTCCCAGGTCGCTTGATACACTGTACCTTTGTCTGACACTGATCCTCTGAGGCTGGTCGAGGTTCCTAAGAATGCCAAGGGCATCTAAGGATGTCGCATGATCCTCAGCGCGCGCATGGACGGCTTGAAGAGGAGGCTGTTGATAAGGGCCATGCGACACGCCGACACCCAATAATTGCTTGACGATGGTTGGTTGGTGAGTATCGTCTCCTACTAACAATAGAATCCCCTGCATGTGATCTTTTCTAAGCCCGAACGTCCAGGAGTCACTGAGCTTTGAGTCAGCCTGCTTTCCTTCGGTACTTACCTAACTCTGCTTGATCGCTGCAGCCACGGCGTACGCCCAGGCGCCAAAATGAATAGAGATGCACTCCCGCAGCCGCATCACCCCCAGAAGTCTGTGCAAAGGTTCTAGCGTCGGGGACTAGCCCCGTTTCGGAAGACCTTTTGTAAACATGGAACAATCTGGCCATATGCCACACGCAAGCAAGGCGGAATTGCAGTGAAAACTTTGGCAGCTGCTTGATTTTGATTGTGTCAAGGGATCAGCGAAATTGGTCTGTGTGCTCCACCCTTTAAGCTTATTGTTAACGTTGCGGGGTTCTGTTGGGCGCTCGGGAGTTGCTTTCATCGAGGCAAGGCAATGTCGTCTGTCTGTTTGACAACAAAAATTCCAATGCAAGCAACCTCAAGCTCCTTCAAAGTATTCAATGTGTTTACCACAGGAACAATCGTGGATCGCTCAACAGACCCTACAATCTGTTCGCCCTTGGTGTCCAGGGTCAGTACCCACCTCTTTCCTGTGGTTACCCCACACTTGAACTTCTTATCTCGACTCCAACCTATCACTGCGCGCCTCGCCTAGACCCGGAGGATAACGCAAGAAGTTCTTCTGTTCGGCAGACAGCTGCCTGCTGGAAGACAGTCTCGATGCGGTCCAGTAGCGAGCAGGGTGTCGCCCACAGCTGGAGACAGGGTCCCCGGCTACCTATGTACGTACGGATACATGGGCGCCTCAACGGTGTCTGGTGTGGCCTTTTCCCATTTACCTCCAATAGCCGACGTGAGCCTTGTGACCACCGATTGATGAATATCTTTGCCTCTCTCAAGTTGACCCTCGCAACCAAGATAACACTGCGTTGTTGGCTGGGCCAATGGGGTCGTCTGTAGTTGTCGCGGTTGGCGGCCTCGGGAATCGCTCCTGCCCCTCTTGGCTCAATGTCGCATGTCAGTTGGGCGCCATGGCCAGCTGCTTCAGGTCCATGCCGCATCTTTTTTCCTCAAGATGGTCTCCGTCTGTTGAAAGAAGTGTATAGCTGAGCTGAGCATTTTGCGCAATATTTCATCGCGCACCTCTCGTGGCTGCATGGCCTGCCAGCCCAGTTGTCGCAAGAAATCGCACCAAGATGAGAATCTATGCGCCGTAAGTTGTAACAAGTCGTAGCTCTCGGCAAGGCGCAAAAGACCCAGAGCTTAGCGCGCCCCTCCCGCGCGTGGCGTTTCGTAGAGACTCGAGTGGGAAGCTCCAGGCCATGGGGTTAACGCTTGGCCAAAAAAAGTTCGTGATGCACGTTTCCCGATGCGCGCTCTTCCACTCGGTTCGCTGGTGGACAATTTCGGCCGCGTCTTGGCTGCTGGGAACACAATGTAACATTCTCTTCGCCGGGGAAGGTGCAGGGGTCGTTGGTCGGCTGCTCCTTCTCTCACAAACTCATAAAGATGGGTGCACCTTCCCATCAACCCGTCCGCCGCTCCTTCTCTCGATTCCCCTCCCCTCGAGCCTCATGCGACTGCGACGCACGTGGCCACTGTATAAGTTGACTTCACCGACCTGATCCTTGTACAAGCCCCAGAGTCCCAGAGACTGCATACTCAACAATATGCCTACTGGTGATGTTGCCGAGGTGGGCGCCGCTGCCCTCCGCAGCGAGGCTGTTGAACAGAAGCGCAACTCCATCGCCCACGCCGCCGATGCCGAGCGCCGTGTCTCTGTCGCCGTCTCAGGGGGCCACGATGGCTTAGTCCACTACGATGACCTTCCCACACCCGAGGAGATGAGGACTCTGCGTCGTGTGCCTGAAAAGATCCCCATCAAGCTGTTCTCCATTGCTTTCATCGAGCTTTGTGAGCGCTTCTCGTACTACGGCACGACCATTGTCTGTAAGTGATGTTGGCTCCCTCTTATGCTCCTATGGTTTCTCATCTGACTTCTGGAAAAGTCACCAATTTCATCCAGCACGATCTTCCTGAAGGGTCCTTGACTGGTGCCGACTCTGTGCAGCCTGGCGTCCTGGGCATGGGACAGCGTGCCTCGACCGGCATCACCACCTTCAACCAGTTCTGGCAGTATTTCATGCCACTTTTCGGTGCCTACATTGCCGATCAATACTGGGGTCGTTATAAGACTATTTGCTGGGCCCTTGGCGTTGACATTATCGGTCATATCATCCTCATCACGTCCGCTATCCCAGGTGTCATCCCCAACCAGTCTGCTTCGCTCGCCTGCATGATCCTCGGTATCATCGTCATTGGCTTTGGTACCGGTGGTTTCAAGCCCAATGTCAACCCCATGATTGTCGAGCAGCTTGGCGAGCAGCACATGCACGTCAAGACTCTCAAGTCTGGCGAGAGGGTCATCGTCGACCCCGCCGTCACCAACGAGCGCATCTACTTGTGGTTTTATTTCTCCATCAACGTCGGCGCCCTTGCTGGTCAGGTCAGCATGGTATGGGTGGAAAAATACGTCGGAGTAATCGATTTTCCGTTCTTTTTTATTCCTGAACTATATCAGCTGACGAAATCCAGTTCTGGTTATCTTACCTTCTTCCTACTGTCATGCTGTGTCTCTGCCCGGCCATCATGATCTGGGGTAGGAAGCGTTACTCCAGAAGGCCACCAAGCGGATCCGTGCTGGTTCCAGCTTGGAGGACTTTCATCTTGGCCAACAAGGGACGCTGGTCTATCAACCCGTGGAGGACGTACAAGAACCTCCACGACGGCACTTTCTGGGAGAACGTCAAGCCCTCCAAGTTTACGGACGCTACCCGCCCCAAGTGGATGAACTTTGACGACAACTGGGTTGAGGAGGTTCGCCGCGGTGCCAATGCCTGCGCCGTCTTCTGCTGGTACCCTCTGTTTTGGCTCTGCTACAACCAAAGTGAGCGATTTCAGCCCCCTACCGAGGTCTCAATACTAACAAGCCCATAGCCAACAATAACTTGGTATCTCAGGCCGCGACTATGAAGAGACACGGCGTACCAAACGATGTCATCACCAACTTGAACCCCTTCTCCCTCTTGATCTTTATTCCCCTGAATGACTTTGTCATTTACCCCTTTCTCCGCAAGATGGGTATTCGCTTCACCCCCATCAAGAAGATCGCTTGCGGTTTCTTTGCTGGCTGCTCTGCCATGATCTGGTCGGCGGTTGTCCAGCATTACATCTACTCGCGTTCCGAATGTGGCAAATATGCAAACGGTGAGGACTGCCCTCCCGCGGAAATTAATGTCTGGGCTCAATCTGGCAGCTACATTCTCATGTAAGTTCCCCTCTGCCCCCTTTTTGATCGCCGGACACTAACGTGCACAGTGCTCTGTCTGAGGTGTTCGCCTCCATCACCTCGCTCGAGTATGCCTACACCAAGGCCCCCAAGAACATGCGCTCTATGGTGCAGGCTTTCGCTCTGTTCATGAACGCTTTCGCTGCTGCTCTCGGCCAGGCCCTCGTCGGCCTCTCTGACGACCCTCTGCTCGTCTGGAACTACACCACAGCTGGTATCCTTGCCTTCATTGGCGGTACCTGCTTCTACCTGCAGTTCCGCCACCTTGACATCATGGAAGACCATCTCAACGAGCTTCCCGAGGGTCTCATCGCTAATAAGGTCACTGGTGTTGAGCTGCCCGGTCCCAAGCGCATCTCTAACGCTGGTGCGGAAGACACGGTTGACGATGAGAAGCGCATCTAAGCGCCTTCAAGTGGTCATCTAACAGGAGGAGAGGTTCAAAGAGAGTTTTGAGGCATGTGGTTGTATGACCGCTGTTTAGTTCGATCTAATCAAGATACCACCAATCCATAACATGAAGATCTTTCTCGAGCTTAGTCACACTCAAGAGTGCTCTTTATTAATTGCAAATGTATGGCCTAGCCCAATACTTGATCAAGACTAGTAGGCAATCCTTATTAGCTATTCCTACTCATGTCATAGGGCCCTGCCCACAACATGAAAGCAAAAGTGCAACTCAATGTCAATTAATACTGTTGAGCCAATGCTGATTGAAGAATGTCGATCCGTGCCGTTGCGTGGGACTCCGCGCAAGATTCCAAGGCCTCTTCTTCATCCCGTGAATACTTGTTGAAGAGACTGACGATTTCTTCAAATGCATCGAATTGGGCGCGCAAGTCTCTTACGCTCGCTTTCTCCGTTTCCAGTAATGCCTCTAGGCGCGATACTCGATCGCGAGCGTCGCAGAAAACCATGCGAGATATCTTCTCAATGTCATCGGTCTTCTTTGCCATGTCGCGTTGGTAAGATTCTTGCACCTTTGCGCTCTTCTTGAACTCTTGGAAGTGAGTCCTAGCTACTCGCAATGTGGCTTGCGTGAATGCTTCGCCTGGATCGGCACTGAATTGGGCCCGGTCCTCGTTCTTGACCTTGTCGCAGACCATGAGCAAAGACGCTTTTATATGTCGCTTCTGACAGCAGCTTGTTTTGAGCTTCAGCCTTGAATTCATACTGGGGATTGCTCTTCAGATTGGGCAGCATGTACTCTGCGATCCCCTTCGCCTCTGCGAAAGTCTCGAAGCTACCCCAATACCTTAGAAAACTGCGCGAGCTGTTCGTGTTCTGTTGGAATAGATATGTCTTCCTCAAGACGGTGGCATCTTTCTTGACCCGGCTGAGAGCACCACCTAATCCCACACGAGGCGGTCTCGTGGTTTTCGCCATGTTACCAATCCTTCCTGCACTTATTTATACTGTCGAAGACATTCAGGGGTCATCAGCACAATATTCGACTAAAGCTACTAGTCAACGCTCAAATATATGACAGGAACAGGACGATAATTACAAAGTATTGACTGATGACTTGAATCACGTATTAGGTCTATAACGTTCAAGGATTGATTAGCCACTTCATTCAAGTGTCTATTATTAATTCGGGTGTCGGGGTTTTCATGCCAAAACGGTCCAGTGGTAAGCCACAATCGTCGCCATAATAATAGGCAGCCACAGCAATCGCGGTCCGCCATGCACCTTGGACCCTGAAACTTGTCATTACATGTCATCCCTCTCACCACTCTTCAATCGCCAAATTTGTCATGAACAGCACTTTGAGTGATGGCGCTCCTTTCTCGGGGTTGAATCAAGAGGGACCCCGCCAGAAGCGCTCACGCGTCCTGCTGTCATGCGGACCATGTCGCTACTCCAAGCTCAAATGCGACCGGGGCACGCCTTGCTCGCAATGTCAGAAGAAGGGCCGCGACGACCTCTGCCAATATGCCCCCAAGCTGGAGAAGAAGAAGAAGAAGCCCGCGAAGACCATGGCTGCGCGGCTGAAGCGGCTTGAGGGGATGGTGCGGGGCATGATGGATGAAGAGGGCAACATTATACCGCAGCCTGGTGCTTCGGATCAACGCCCTCTTGATGATGGATTGAGACAGCCGATAGGCGGGCAAGTTGTCAGAGGGAAGCATCAAGCCACGACGTGGGTTGGTCCGACACACTGCTTAGCCATGCTGGAGGATGTGAGTGCATGGCTTCTGGTTCAAGTCAGTGGCCACAAGCAACTAAAGCTCGCAGATTGAGGATCTAAAGGCCTACTTTGATGACGGGGATGATTATGAAGAGATTGATACGCAGTCAGACGAGGTTGAGTCTGCTGGACTCTTCCTACTCTCACCTAATGCTCCTAGGAATCGCGAGGACCTCATCGCGGAGCTGCCGGAGAAGAGGATCGCCGACAGACTCATAACGAGGTACTACGCCTGCATGAGCCCCTCGCAACGTAAGTAAAGCTGTTGGCCCAGTCGAATCACGGCTGACCACAGCCAGATATCATACACAGGCCGAGTTTCTCAAGAACTGTGAGCCTAAACCACCCCCATGGATGTCATTGATTAATGAGTGTAGTATGCTCGCTTCTGGCAAGATAATGACAGTGTCAACTTGCACTGGATCTCCCAGCTTTTCATGATGCTCGCTTTGGGCGTCCACTTCAACCGCTTCCAAGCACCCCAAGAGGTCGAGGGTGACTCGCCCATGCCGGCCAACGATCGTATCAAGCACTACAAGTCCATGGCTGGATTGGCCCTGTCTTTGGGCAAGTACACCCAGCCCAATCCTTGGACCATCCCGGCATTCATGCTTTACACGGAATCATTTTTCATCCTCAACCGTGCTGGGCAGATGCAGTGCTCCATATTGTCCAGCGTGTGTGTTAGACTCATGCTCAAGGTGGGCCTGCATCGTGATCCGAGCAAGCTGGCCAACATCACCCCGTTCGAAGGTGAAATGAGGAGACGCATGTGGAACATGGGCACCCAAGTCGAGACCTTGGTGTCCTTCCACATGGGCTTGCCCAGTGTCGTCCAGAGCGTCGAGACAGACACCCAGGTTCCTCGGAACTTGAAGGACGAAGACTTTGACGAGAATTGCACAGAGCTGCCTCCTGGACGCCCAAGTACCGACTGGACAGCCACAACTTATCCGATATGCAAGACCAAGATCATGCGCGTTTTCGGGAATATTGTCCAGCAATCTCATGCTCTCACACCCCCACCCTACAGTGAGGTCCTTCGCTTGGATCAGATGCTGCAGGAAACTTGGAAAGGCCTTCCGGCCTTTATGATGAACCGCCCACTGGACGAGTGCGTCGGTGATCCTCCGATTCTGATCGTCCAGCGCTTCGGGCTGGCAGGGCTGTACAACAAATCTCGCTGTGTTCTTCACCGGAAATACCTTGTTGAGACTGCCCCCCTACAGGAACATGACTATTCCAGGCAGCAGTGTCTCCAAGGTGCGCTGACATTACTCAAAAACCAGGAGAAGATCTGGGAAGCGAGTAAACCAGGAAATGTCCTAGCGCACCACGGCTGGTTCCTCTCATCGCTCGCTGTACATGACTACTTACTCGCGGCTGTCATTGTGTACATGATTCTCAAAGACGAATCATACGGCGATCCAAACAACGAGCGCCATTGGAGCAACCAACTGGCGGAGACGCCTACAAGAGATGAACTGAAGCGGATGTTGATACGGTCACACACTGCCTGGACCGATGTAGCAGAAACGGCGGCCGATCTCCGCAAGACCGCCGACACTCTGGCCATTATGCTGTCGAAGCTTGGTGTGCAATTGAATGACCGGCAACCGCAACCTTCGCCACTTATTACGCCAACTGCGGCTTCAGGGAGCATTGAATCTTCCGGCATGGGAGGCGTCTCTAGCTCTTCGAATGGTCTTAGCGCAACGGGATATATGTCGTCGTTCGGGTTTGATGGTGAGTTTTGTCCTTGTGAACTTACTGATTTCATGTTGCTAAAACATAGTAGGCAAATTCACGACCACCCAAGCCGAGGACTCATTTGCAATGGAGCAGCCGACCGAAGCCATGCAAAACATGTCTTTCCCGGAAATGGGCTTTTCGATGCTGCCCAGCACTAGTGCCTTCGACTTTGATTCCTCTTGGGTCGAACCAGAAAACATGGACTGGGTAAGATCATCTTACAAGGGGTTTGACCAGCGGCTAACAGTTACAGCGATTTCTCGACATATCTCTCGCACATGGCCACACTGCTGGCGCCAAAGTTGACGGCGTCGGGGCCCAGTGGACTGAGAACTCACTCATGGATGATAGTAACATAGATTGGGGCAAGGCTGAGCACTGGAGCTAGCAGCAGGAATTAACTTGCCACAGCATTCCCGGACTGCGTCAATGGGGGCTCTGATTCTGACTGAAAAGAATAGGCCTCAAAGAGGCCATGCAAGCATCAATCGATGTGTAGCCAACTCAAATTCGGATACATGATGGTTGGCCATCCTCTACCAATGCAGCAGCAGACCCAACTATTTACCTCAAAGTCTGTCTTAGACTAGCTTTCCACATAGCTAGTCGCCAATGGTTGATTTTTCCGTGTCCTGAACGCCAGACTCCATGCAACACCGCCCAATGATTATATCGTCACGCTCATGAAAAGATGCTCCGTCATATCGTAGCTCAGCTCACAGCTTGTCACGATCACGAATCAGGTGCGTTGGGCAGACGCTCCACCACGTACTTTCCCCGCGCCACACTCATCTGAACCCCGATGTGTTAGCTTGAACCCAAGAGCAAGTTCAGGGAGGGGACTAGGTATCCTTACAATTGGAACACCGGGAATCTTCCTCAGGCGTTTCTTCAGGGCGAAATCGTTGGTCCCTATGATGTAGATGCGGTTCTGCTGGACTCTGGTGACCAGGCAGTCATCGGCATATGTTCCCTTGTGATCACACTGCAACCGTGTCCATCGTTCGTCTCGCGCTACGCGCAGTGCGAGCCTGTATTTGGGGCCAAGTTTCTCGAGTTCGCTGTGAACCTGTCAGCGATTTCCTGCCGAGAGTTAATAGAAACCGAAAACCTACCTCATAACGCAGGATGTGATAATCGGGTTGCACTTTGCATAGAGGCAGTCCATCATGGATTCTAACAGGGACAGCTTCCGCTGGACGGTGTGAGATAGGAAGTTGGTATCCACGAGGACACTGTCGCATGTTAGTACGGTGTTCATATCGTAGGATCGAGGGGCAACGGACTTGTAGGGCGGCACGAGAGCTTCGTTGTGTTGGAAGAACATGTGGCTCGGCATTTGGGGCGCTTCGCGGATGAGCTCTCCAGCGGCCGTCTCTCTCTTATCGGCCCTCTCCTTCTCCAGAGCTTCCAGCCTGGCTTTGCCCTCCCTCGTTCGGTTGTCGCGCTGGCCGATCACTCGCTTGACCTGTGCGAACTTTCTCGTTTTCTTTGCGACACCCATTTTTGCGGAGATCTGGTGGAAGACTCAAGTTTCGATTTTTTCTGGTGTCGAGCTCTAGGTACTGTCGTTCAGGATGTTATTTCACAATCGATTGGGATGCGACGGCGTTGGAGTTTGGGGTTGTTAGCGATGGTGGTGATGTTTAAGCGGGCATCTTGACTCAAAAAAGTTGGGAGTTTTGCCATGGACAGCCGAAGGCGGTGGCACTAGCCTGGTAGTGCACGGACCATTTCTTGGTGGGCTGGATGTGTCCCACATTTGCCCGACGACGCGTCGAGATCTCCAAAAGCGCGTAAAGTGATTCTCCAACATCACCAATTCCACCTAGAACGAAACAACCAGCACGTGCACACATACACACACAATGGCGGCCGCAAAGAACGAGACAAAGGGCGAGTCGTCTACGGCTGCATCGAAAGCAGCTCTGGCAACATCGACAAACGGCAATGTCACCTACGAACTACCATGGTAAGGCTCTCTTCGACGCTCTGCACCCTGCCACTCACACTTGCCCTAGGGTGGAAAAGTACCGACCAGTCTTCCTGGATGATGTTGTTGGAAACACGGAAACTATCGAACGCCTGAAGATTATCGCAAGAGAGGGCAACATGCCGCACGTCATCATCTCGGGAATGCCTGGTATCGGCAAGACGACGAGTGTGCTATGTCTGGCCCGGCAGCTGCTGGGGGACTCGTACAAGGAGGCTGTTCTGGAGCTCAACGCCAGTGATGAGCGTGGTATCGACGTCGTTCGCAACAGGATAAAGGGTTTCGCACAAAAGAAGGTCACATTGCCCGCCGGACGCCACAAGCTCATCATCCTCGACGAAGCCGACAGCATGACATCCGGCGCGCAGCAAGCGCTCCGAAGAACCATGGAGATCTACTCCAACACCACACGCTTCGCATTCGCGTGTAACCAATCGAACAAGATCATTGAGCCCCTACAATCGAGATGCGCTATCCTGCGGTACGGCAGGCTCACAGACGAGCAGGTCGTCAAGCGATTAATGCAGATCATCGCAGCAGAGAAGGTCGAGTACAGCGACGATGGGCTGGCAGCACTCGTCTTCAGCGCCGAAGGAGATATGCGTCAGGCAATCAACAATCTGCAGTCAACATGGGCCGGTTTCGGCTTCGTCTCGGGCGACAACGTCTTCAAGGTCGTCGACTCGCCTCATCCGATTAAAGTGCAGGCAATGCTCAAAGCGTGTTTCGATGGGAATGTGGACTCTGCGCTGGATACCCTGCGAGAGCTGTGGACTCTGGGGTACTCGAGCCACGACATTATCAGCACCATGTTCAAGGTCACCAAGACGATACCGACTCTCCCTGAGCACACCAAGCTAGAGTTCATCAAGGAGATTGGATTCACGCACATGAAGATTTTAGAGGGCGTGCAGACTTTGCTGCAGCTCAGCGGTTGTGTGGCTCGGCTGTGTAAGATCAACATGAACTCGAAAAGCTTCATCACTACGGCGTGAGGGAAGAGGTTATGATGTTGTGTGGCGTTGGGGGTTGGGTGCTATTTCGCTATGATACAAACATCACCATCATGGCGAATGTCAATAGACTTGCTTGCTTAAGCGATGTTTCATCGTCGAGATGACAATGAGCTTTGCCGCTCCTTTGCATATACCATCTAACTGAGCTACTCCAACCACGTCTGCCCCCGTGTTTTCGTCTTCCTTGAGTCTGATGACATTGGCACCGCAGACTTTCGCGCACTCCATCAAGGGAACCACGCTGCTCGGCTAGTGTCGTGTGACCTCAGGATTTCCTCGCATTCTGCTGATAGGCTGGTATCCGTTGAGATCTCCGAGGAACAGCATGGGCACGTTGACAAAGCGTGCTTATTCAGTCATGTAAGCCGAACAATCGACTACTATCGAGATTGGGATCCCCCGGTGGGCTGTCGTGAATCAGTTCTCATCGGGACATCAGACGATAGCTTAGGTTCGCAAAGGCGAACGGAATGGAGGATGAATGAGTTTTCAGTCTAGCTTTGCGTCTACCAAAGCTTTTATAGACAAGCTGCTGGCATCGCCCCACGGCTGGTGTTGACTTCAGGGGCTTGAGTGAGTGATATCTAGATCATTGTGAAGTAGCAACGAATGAGTGGCCATTGATGGTTTGAGATCATGGGATCGTAGCTGCGATGGGTTGATTTATCTTACTAAAACAGAAAATGGCAATCACTTTTGATACCTGGTGTGCCTATCCTTTGCGAGAAGGACTCGCGCACATCACTTTTGTACGCGGGATTGAGATGCGACTATTCTAGTCAGCAAGTAGATTTTGAACAAGGCACGAGACGCATATCTAGACCTAGCTACTTTCTTGATTAGCAACGAGCCTCACGTATTTGCTAATGAATGATTGTACGCAGTACTTCACAAGGCTTCGACGCACCGCGGAGAGGCCGGCAGAATGCGCATTCAAGTGTTTACAGGGTAATCCGCGCGTCGAGACCGCGGCCAGCCCGGACTTGACGCTTGTCCTGATCGGGACGTCCGCGGAGATGTTCAATTCATCACGGCACACAGACAACCTCCATGCATTGTTGTGCGACAAGACTTGTGCCTGATGCCGTACGATGTCGCACTCGTTGGGTGTGACAATCTGTCAGAGGTAGTCCTTCCTGCAACTATGATTGCATGTCCGCATAACCTATGCCTTTTTGTCCTATTATTGCGTATGTTTAAAATTTGTAGCGATGGAATATCACCAATTGGCAGCAATAACGTCAGCATACGTTCGGTGATAAAATGCTCTCCACGAATCAGAATCAATCATTCACCAACGTTGCCGTGTTAAGAGGCGAAGATGCATGGTTGCATTTCGGAACGTGGGATGGAACCTCGTGCCATGTCAACTAATTTTCGTCGTACGTAGATCGCTGATCAGCAGGCGTGCGGATATCGTTCAGCGAACATTTGAATCTAAATTTGTTTATGGCTTCATTGATGCTCATGAATGCATCATCTCACAAAAGTCATGTGAGCCAGTCAGCGATTCTGTGGAGAACCCGGATGGTCTACGGAGGTAGTATCAACAAATGGACTTCACACCAGTGCAGGCCCGGTGAGCGCCGGCGAAGACTGTTGGAGGGGCCACACAAGAACTGCCGCGAACTCCTCAAGCTCATCAAAATTGCCCCCAGTGCAACGAATGTACAGAGTGGCGGTCGGTCACGAGCTTGACAGAGCTTTCGTTGCAGCGAGAGTCTGGCAAATGATAGACGAGGTTGGTGATGATGGGGTAACTGGCATGAGAAATGAAATCGACATAAAATTTTCTGACTGGAGCCTGGAACCAATGTGTTAGGTAAGGCCTGCGGACGGACGTCGGAACCGGGAGCCCCATGGCCATGCGCGATCCAACGTGACCGTGGAGACCGTTGGGACGTTTGGCTAGGCCAGGTATAGACATTTTTCCAGGTGAAAATTTCCGATCAGTGATGCAGTGATCGCCTGCACTCACGGGCATACACATAGTACAACTAATTACAATTTGGAGCTATCGAGTAATAGAAATGGTTAGAGGCCAATGAGCTGGTGGTGCATTCCGATACCGCAACGCGCACTTCAGCATATCATGATGGCTTCATACTGAGATCTGCCCACTCGTATGATAGAAGTAAAGAACATGACGCGCTGGCGTGCTTGGATGCAAGTAAGTCGTGACGGTTCGTGAGAGCCATCAGAGTTCTCCAGCTTTCTGGCATGCATCGGCTGTCTGCAAGGATGTGCTTAGCGTCGAGCAGAGGAGACTGATGACCCCGGATTAGATGCCGTTATCAGACCTCTGTAGGTCGATACTCTGCTCTGGGTTACATAGAATACTGGCAGACCAGAGGCACAAAAGCCCCAGAGTACTGACTGGTTGAGAGCCAGCTGTCCACATGAATGCAGGCCGTGTGGTGATGCCAATCCGTCGGTGAGATGAGAAGCCTAAGCTGGAGGGAGATCTGGAGGTGAAGCGCGGCACTGCCAAGGTGGAGGCCGGAGTCGGAGGGGCACCGAGGGGTGTAGGGAACGATGGAGGGCAGAGAGGGCGTGGTATCAGTGGATAACTTGCCGGATGCATACATTTGATTGGAAGGCGCATTTGCAATTGGCAGCTGCAGTGCAAGGACCAGGGGCGTGAGCTTACTTCTTTCAGAGACTTCCCGCCCCCCTGCGCGGGCAGGTAGCGCACTCCGCCGGGGAAAGAACCATCTCGTAGATGGGCCTTTAACCAGTCTCCATGTCTTTGCTCTCCGCCATGATAAGCCCTGTTGGTCTTCCATCGTCATCATCGTCGCTTCTTCTCCATTGCTTCCACTGTCAGGCACATAACTTTTCGCCATATCAAGTTGCGTCGCAATCCGATCAAACCTCGCGCAGCCATCCGACAAGATTTACATACCTTACCTATCGCCAGCCTGCTTATCGCCAGCCACTCAACGGCCAGCCAATCTCTCGCTTGCAACAACGTCGTCCGCATCCGATCAAGGTAGATCAGGGACTTTTAGAATCACCGTCAGCCGGCAAGGTAGCAAAGCAGTCCGACAGATAACGATCTGCCTCACTCGTCGTCGGTCAAGAACCCAGGACCAGCTATTGCGACAACACTCAACTTCCTTCCCTTCGACTCTCATCTCAACCACACCGCTACGCCCCAAGCACTGCAAATCATACCCGGTACGTACGCAAGTCTCGTTATCATGTCTGATAACCCCCGGATTTTCATGCCCCTCCCTTTCCCCTCCATCCTGCAGCAAGTCTTATGGTCGTTTTCCCCCATCTCGTCAGTCGTGCCAAGTGCTTGCTTCTCAAGGTCGCTGGACTGCGGTCCAGCCTGTGAGCCTCGTGGGCGCTGGCACTGGCAGTTCCTGGTTGCGCTATGGCAAGCCGTTCAGGAACGTGCCCACTGGGCCGGCCACCAACAAACGGTGCAATAACCCATGCCTCAGACTGGAATCCACCTAGGCGTGGCCTGCTGCACCGCAAAAAACCCATCGTGACCATTACAAAGGGACCCCCCTCTCTATCAGTCTTTGAAGATGGTGATTATGCTGTACTCCCGCACTAGATCCCTCGACAACGTCTGCATTGGGCTGCGCACATTGCCAGTTCCATCCTCCTAGTCGCCCTGCTTCGCTTCGCTGGCCACTTCGCCGCCGTCACCGGTCCACCACCATACATTCGTTTTACGTACTGACTTGCCCGCTCTCGGGCTGATCCAGGCCACCTGCCTTTCGCTTCTCCACTCACGCCCAGCGCTGTCTGTAGCAACTCTTGCAGACGTCGCGCCGACCCCGATTTGAAAAGACATCGTTTCGGCGCACCCTTCTTTTCGACCGCCGCACAACATTCGTCCCTGCGTCGGGTCTGCGTGGCATCCTGTCACCAACCAATAGACCAGCAACGCCTCTCGCCGCTCGCACTTGGACACCACATATATGTCGGTTCGCGTCCTCCGCGAACCAGCCCAGGCTGCAATCATGCCCGCCCAGATCAACAGCTCGGTCGCGGGGAGTATTCCGATACACATCGCCAACGACACCAACAATTATCGCAAACAACACAAGCACTCCCGGTCCTCCTACTCGGAATCATCGCCCCTCGCTTCTTCGCGTAACAACTCAGTCACATTCCGGCCTCCCAAGCGACTCATGTCGTCTCCAAACAAGACCATAGCCGTGATCAACGCTGCTGGCCGGCAGGCGGCTTCTTTGATCCGCAATGCCACAGCCGTCGGCTACCACGTGCGCGCGCAACTCCGGAATCTCGAGGGAGTGATCGCAACGGAGGTGTCGACAAACCCCAACGTAACCGTCTTTGTTGGAGAGTTGTACACGCGACACAAGCCGACGGAAGAGAACAAGGATGTGACCAAGAATGGCCCTCTTTCCGGAGTCGGCATCAACCACGACCTCATCTCGAACCTCTTCCGCGGCGCCCAGCTCGCTTTCATAAACACCACCTTTTATGGCGATGAGCTCTCAATAGGCAAGGCAATGGCCGATGCTGCGAAGAAGGCCGGCATCCAGCACTACATTTACTCCTCCATGCCCGATCATGCTGCGTACGATCCAAGCTGGCCATCGCTGCCTTTGTGGGCCGACAAGCACAAGGTGGAAGAGTACGTGCGAGAACTGAAGTTGCCCGCCACGTTTGTGTACACGGGCATTTACAACAACAATTTCACATCTCTCCTCTACCCCCTCTTCTGCATGGAATTGCAAGAAGACGGCTCCTTTGTGTGGCAAGCGCCCTTCCACGAAGACGCCAAACTGCCCTGGCTGGATGCCGAACACGACGTGGGGCCGGCCATTCTCCAGATCATCAAAGATGGTGTTTCCAAATGGGGTGGTGAACGTATCGCCCTGGCATATGAGCACCTGACACCGAAAGAAGCTTGCGAGGTCTTCGAACGTGGCGTCGGCCGCCCTGTGCGATACGTCCGAGGTCCTATCGAGATAAAGGTCCGCATTCCAGCTGGATATCGCGAGCAGCTCGAGGCCCTCGAGAAGCTCTTCGACCCCAACGAGCCTGACGCGAAGAAGCAGCCTCCCTATTTCGGCGATGCTCGCTTGGAGAGCAGTGTCCCCGCGACGGCTCTTGAGCTCTGGGAAGGCCCTCGTTGTCTCGAAGAGTACGCTCGGGAGATGTTCCCACTCGAGGAGGAGGCGAACGGGTTGACGTGGATGTTTGATGACGAGGACGAGCTGACGGAGGACGATGAAGCTCTGCGCACAACCACAACGTCGGTCGAGCAACTACGCATCCATGACGACGTCGAAGAGGAGGACGAAGAAGACGAAGATGAGGGCCTCGTCATGCGTGGGCGAAAGAGAGACGAGGAGCAGTGGTTGGCGTAGGGCCCAATCACACCACTACACTGGCCTCAGGCTGTTCGAGAGGATGTGGTCCACTCGCATATGTCACGAACGCATGACGACCTTGATTGTTCTTCAACACTGTGCGTTAGAAGCGAGTACATTGTGTTTCGGCGTTTTGGGTGGGGTTTCAGGCATACGAAAAAGTTTTCGGATAGGGAAGCGTGGCCTCGTTTTGTTGGAAACCTGGGCGGCGCACGCACGCCGCCACATGGGCTTCCCAAGCCGTTTGGCTCCCTAGTTTTGTTTTCTCCGGGGTTTCTTCTGCAGCATATCAGCCGGGGTCAGTCGGGTTACAAATGTATATAAGACCAGTAACTGCATGGAAGGCTGTGAGAGCGGCAGTAGCCGGCGGCCTGATATGCGATCATATGAATGAAGACGATGAAGTCGGAAGGATCTGGGCACTGCTTTTGGTGACGTCTTGTCGGCCATTTATGTGATTCTTGGTAAGACAAGTCCGGGGTCGAGGAGAACCTGACGCGGGGGCTGGAGTTGGGGGAGACGTGGGGGTGGTACTGATAACAGTATTGACTTGCTCATGCGATTATCAGATCGCCTCTGAGAATCCCCATGGGGTGAAGCGCTCCTGCAGAATCAATTCTGAATCATGTAGCTGAAATCGCTTCTTGTTGTATTTACTTCATTCGCTGTGTAAGGAGTCCCATCCAAATGACTACGAACCGCTCAGATCCATGAAATCCATGCCTCCTTCAGGAGAAACCGCCGCCTGGTCTTCAAGGATTGTGTTGTGAGCTGGATCAGCTTTCTCAACGCTTGATCCAGGAACTTCAACTTCTCTGTTGTTGTCTGCTGGAGCGCCAGCACCGTCTGCATAGACAACAGCAGGGTCGAACTGGGCCAAGAGCCTCACTCGGAAGGCCTCTTCTTGATCCTCCAGCTGGCTGCTTGAGTAGCCAACGTCACTCTTAGGAGGACTGTGCATTTTCTCGTCATCCTCATCCATGTCTTCTTGTGAAAGACTCCACGTCGAGTCCGAGTTTGATGACTGATCCTCCTCATCCATCTCCGTATCGTTATCCGTCCTCTCTTTCTTAGCCTTGTTGTGCGTGGTCTTTCGTTTCTTCCTCGCCGATCGAGGGTTCTCCTCACTGCGCGCGTGCTTTTGGTTTCCACGCTCGTGTATGACTTCCAAATCCCGCAATCCTGTTTGCAGTTGGGAAAGTAAAACGGAGGTAGAACCGCGGCGAACAATTGGACTGTGAGAATCGCCTCCGTCGGCAAATCTGTACCGTTCTCGGCGCTCGCGGGGGGATCTTGTAGGCGAGCCAGTGGGAAGATGAATGCGAGAGGATGGGCCGGAAACTTTTGACGGAGGTGCGTTTGGTACGCAAGGTCGGCTTCGAGACCCGCGTAGGGGAGTTTCCAGGTTCTCCGGCCTGTAGGTCTGCCTTTGGTCAGCAAGCGATGAAACCCATCCCGGTTGAGGCAAGCTCACCGGCTTTATGACCAATTCTGTGTGGTCGGAGAGAAACTCCAGGATAGCCTCAAGCTTGTGGGCTATGGTGTCTATTTCATCCGAGTTGACCTCGACGATTCTTTGACCTCCCTCGCCGTCGTCCGCACCTCTGTCCTACAGACGCATCATATCGTACAGTATGCCCATACACGTCCGGATCGGATCCTTCCAGTCGTGGAGTGGAGGGAACACCACCCATTCTGGTGGAGGCTTGAGTACCGTTGTATCTGTATTCAAGTACAACTTTGCTTGGCCATATAGGGACTCTTCATCATGATGCTTGGCCCAATTGAGAATAATGTGCTTCCGGGCAGACGGTAGAAGTGCCATGATGGGCGCACGTAACGTGAGGAAAACTGTTGGAGGGTGGAAGATCGCATCAGGATGATGATGCGTGCCCATGTGCTTGAGCGCATACTCCCATCGTGCGTTGGCATCCTCGCGAGTGAGCACTTCTCGTCGAACAATTGGTTGCAGGTGGATGGGAAAGTCGTTTGGATCGGTCCAGAAATTGGCTAACTGTATGTGCGCCTTAGACGCGTCGAACTCGAGAGGTAGTCTTCTCGTTTGTGTCCTAGCATCGGAATATCGAGCAGAAGAGGCGCGAGACGACGGGCTAAGTGCCGCTTGTGTGGCGATGTTCCGAGTTGTCGGGCTGCATGGTGAATACATGTAGGGATGTTCTCGTTGAGCCATAGGGTGAGGGGACTCCCCAGGGGGAGACTGTCCGTGAGGCCTTGGGGACATGATACGACTGTTGACATAGGTAGGAATGATTGTGCCCGGTGCTGGTGATGTTCAGAACCTCATTCGCTGCTGGAGAAGTACTAGTAGTCCTAGTAGACAAGTGGCCCTTGTGCACGTAAAGATGGTCCCGGTCACGACGTAGTCGATAAACAGTGTCTGCGAGCAAGTGCCAGGTGCCCTCCCTTACTTCTGTACCTGACATGGCAAGCACGGAGGTAAGCTCGAGCGGGAGCAGTTGCAACTGCTTACTTGCAGAGTGAGCGTGCCTTACCTTACAGGTAATTTACCGTGTTGAGCCCAATATATGCCAGCGATTGATGTTCTCGAGGCAGTTTCACCTGCAGCGCGACGATGTGTGGATTGGTTATAGCGTCTCGTGAGGACGAGAATTGGGTTCAGTGTATGAATAAGTAACCTACATGAGTGATACAGAATCGAGGTGTCACCTCGCGTGGCAGTACTCACTTGCCATTTCCCCTTGTAAGCTCTTCCTCGTACTGTTGCCATCTAGCCCTGTCTCGCAGGACCCTTCTCTGCATCCTCATCTTGGCCTCGTACTCTCTGAGCTTTGAGTCGGCATCGATCATGCTGCCCAGCACCATGCCCGACATTTGTATGTACCTTGAGGTGGTCAGAACTATCCACGAATGCATTGAGCCACTCTTACACCTTGAACTGAATAGTTGTCGCTCTGTACACCGGCGACCAAGCATAGCCAATGGCCCCAAGGATGGCAGTCGCCACGCCCCATTTGGCAGCGCCGCTTACCGCGCCCTTTGCGGCTTCCCATGCAGCTTGATCGGCCTCATCGGACTTCATGAAGTCATGGGAGCGCATTGTCCCAGAAAGGCAGTATGCTGAATCGCTTAGCATCCGAATTGGATGGTTTTCGAGGCGCACGTGTTGCACGGCGAGCACTTACTTCTTGGAAGAGTCCTCGCTTCGGATTACATTGGAACTTTGACGTTGGCCACCTCAATGCCACCTCAATCTTTGTCCTGTTCCTCGTTGTTCCAGGGGTTCTCGAGGTTGTGCCTGAATCCTAGCGTCCCGAGCTCCGGATTGTCCATGACGCATTTTGGCGACTATCTCCAAAACCCCGATAACGTGGACCGTGCAGCTCCAGCGCCCCACGCTCGGTTAACTGCATGGCACACTAAAACCTGTGCCGGAGCTGCAGCTTTTTTCCTCTGCACTCCAACAAGCTCGCAGAGGACACGACATCAGCTTCTCTGCAATGCATGAGCACGCGCACATTGCTGCAGCCTAGTGGTCATTCAATGCTTGCATTGCTTATCTCTCTTTGAAGACTTGTCAGCGTTCCCGCGACTTTCTCATTTTTGCAACGCGCGTTTTGCTTTTCTTGCTCTCCGCGCTGCTCCTGGAAAATTTGAGCCCTCACGCCGCCTGCAAGTTTCTCCACAGCCACCACATACTCTCCGAGTCACAATGGACGGGGCCATGGAAGCCTATTGGCAGGCGCCAGTCATCGCTCGGTAAGCTTGGACATCCCTTTCGTGCAGCCTCGCCAGACCTAACATTTACAGATCGACTGTCACCGCCATGCTCCTAATGTCGGCCGCTGTAAACTTAGGCATGCTCTCCGGGACCCATATCATCTTCCACCAGTACTTCCTCTGGAAGTTTCCACCGCAAATATGGCGCTTGTTCACGGCGTTCCTCCTCACAGGTCCTCAATTAGGGCTTCTGTTCGACGCGTACTTTTCGTACCAGTACTTGAGCCAGCTGGAGCGTGGTAGGTACTCCAAGAAGGAGGACCTTCTCTGGTACCTGACCTTTATCTGCGGAACCATCCTCGTAAGTCGCCGTGATGCCTACAATCTCCACCATGTGCTTTCGCAAAACCCCTCAACATATCTGCCCGGATAGTGCTTTGCCTCTTCAGCTATCACGGTTCCTGGAATTGAGGGAGATTACCCCTGCATGTCGGATCGACCCACACATTCGCAAAATAGGGCGGTCCGGGGTGTAGGAATGGTGGGATGTCTCTTGAATTACTCTTGTGGTTTCTCTGTCCACCTGAGTGCACTTGAGCTCCCTACATCTCCATGCCATTATCAAAACTTTGTCAGTGCAGCGGAAGTGGGCAGCGCTGACGTAGTCTTCCAGGGTGTCAACTACATCACTGGCCTCGGCTACATGACCTTTCTGCACGCCTTGATGATCTCGATGACCTACACCGTGGTTCAGGATCAAAGGGGCATGAAAACCAGCTTCTACTTCATCACGATCCCTGCGCAGTTGACCCCGTATGCTATGATCGCTATCAACATGCTCTTCCCAGGCGGTCCTGCGCAGATTCCTCTGCAACTGGAGGGACTCTTCGCTGCACACCTGTGGGAGTTCCTGACCAAGATTTGGCCTGCCTTTGGAGGCAAAGGTGGTACTCTGCTACCCACGCCCCCGTTCTTCACCACCATTGTGAACACAATCAGCGGTCTTGCTGGTCGAGCCGCCCCGGGTGCTGCTGGACCGAGGGGCGCGGCTGGTGGTGTGGCTCGTGGTGCCTCCGCTGGATCTGGGCCGTTGCCAGACTCTTGGAGAACTCGGGGTCCTGGCCAACGCTTAGGTTGAACGCTACCTGGTTAGGCCGGCATAGAAGACTGCAATGAATGAATGGACGATCACATGCTGCACCTGACCGTTGTGAGATGGAAGTCAAAATGACCAGCTTTATTAACACAATGTCCGTTGACTCCTTGCTTTATCCTAAGAGTACCTGAGCGGCCCAACCCAACCGAAGCCGAAACGCCTATCAATCAGAGACTTGCGACAAGCCTTTCGAAAGATCAAAAGCCATAGAGCATGCTTTTGCCGCTCCTCATTGGCACCTCCTCGTACTTGTTGTTGTCCTCTCTCGCGTGTGGCTTCCCCTCCGTGGCAAGGACGGTGCCGCCCTGCAATGGTCTATCGTGGAACCGCGATGTCTCGGTCCTCATCACTGGCTCCGAAATAGTCATCTCGTCACTGGTACCTTCGACCTGCGGCGGAGAGTATTGCTTCGGTCGGGCAATCCTTCTCACAGAGGGGAGACCCAACGAGGGTGTCTTGCGGTGAGATCGGGGAGGAGGACCTGGAGGCGGAGGAGGGATGCCGGAGCCTCGATCGACCGAGGCGGCACGGCGCGAAGCAGCGGGTGGTTGCTGGATCGTGGGGACCGCCTCGGTGCTGGCGAGCGCCTCGTTTGAGTTGAGGGCCGCGTGGATGTTCACGGAGCCGGTGGTTTTTGATCGAGCGTGGCCACGGGGCGGCGACGCGGTCCGCGTGCTGGACCCTATGCTGTCGTCTGAGCGGAGTCGTGAGACGGCTCGAGGGATGTATGCCGCATGTGAAGGCAGGGCGCTTCCAGGTCCGCGACTTCGTGATCGCGGATCAAAGGCATAGTGGGGTCTGGAGGCGGTGATGTCCTCCTCCTGCTTGTCATAGTACTCGCCGCTTGTCATAGAGGGACCCTTGGCATCATAGCCGCTCTGTGGAGTGTTCGACCGCAGGGAAGAGGTCATCTGGCCGCCACGAGGCAGGATGGGGTCGGGCGTGGTCCCGTAGTCGCTATCACGACGGTCCAAGTCGACGTCCTTCTCGTTGCGGCCCATGCGCTTCTGCCTTCGCCAGTGGATGATGAAGAGAGACAGTCCGCCAAAGAGGATGAGGCCGACTCCGACGGCGATGCCGACAATGGCACCGGTGGTCAGGTCGTTACTGCCGGCGCCTTTCGGCTTGGTGCGAATGTCGACTTGAGGCTCGGTGATGTTGACGGGGGAGCTGCTGAAGACTGTGCCGCTCAGAGAGACCATGTTCCCAGCGTCAGGTTTCTGTTCACAGCCAGCCTCGAGGGCAACCATGACTGCATGATGGGTTAATGCCAATGTTCTCGACAGGGCCGCAGGGCCCGAAGCTTACAATTGGAGAGATAGCTGAACTCTTGGATGCGCAGGCACTCGACGCACTTCCACACTTTCGATTTCTCGAAGGATGCGTCGTCGGCATCGCAGTAGTCCCATGTGTTTTCGGCTTGAGCTTTGAGGTCGTCATCTGTGAGAGATGCTTCGAGTGGTTCGCAGGCATATTTGAGAACGCATGGCGAGCTGATCTGCCTGTTCTTGTCGGACTCTGGCTTGTCGAAAAGACATGTACTGAGCGCGTATCGAAGGTTGTCTGTGGTTGTCAGTTGTGTACTTTGAGGCGGCCGCGCATCATTTCGCTTACATATGAACCAATGACTGTCGGATTCCTCGTCCTCGACCTTGTCGCTTTTTGAAAGGCACTCTAGGCAGTTTTGGAACTTGATTCCCTTGTCATCCGTCGCGAAGTCCAAGTCGTCGCAGGTGATCTCAGTGCCATTCGTGAACGAGGCTTTGGCGCTGAACGCATCGTCTTCCCCGTCGTTCAAGCAATATGTGGCGCATGATGAACCAGGTGTGAACTCAAGCGCTAGAACAGCCGGTGCGGACAAAAGAAGCGAGATCGACCGCAGTAATGACGAGGGAAGCATGGTGACTTTGTGTGTCTGTGCGCGCGCGAGAGCAATGAATTGGTCGGGAGGAGCCGTCACCTTTCGGTGGTCTGCATGACAATTCTAGTGAGAGTCTCCTTGGCTCTTCTAGTTGTCAGTTAATGTTCACGAAGTGAGTCGGGAAAGCAAATATTGAAAGCCAAGAGAGCTAATCTACATTCATGCCGACGCGCAAAGGGTCGCACAGTTTATAAGGAGACTACTTTCGAAAGTGTCCTTGCCTGGCGTGTGGTACCCAAAATGGCCAGTCCCGCCAAGATGGCCTGACGTGTGGTTCATGGCGGCTACAGGGCGATCTGCTACGGACTGAGCCCAGTTGTGGTCGGCTCGACCACGCAATTCTGTAGAGTCTGTAAATAGCATCATCCGGGTGTGGCAGAACGGCTTGCAGGCGACAATATGCGTCTGGATCCATGCGTAGGAACGTGGTGGTGCGACGCTGGGGTGAAATTGTCCACGATGCATATCTGGCCAATCGAGTCAATGGGATGCGAGGTAAACGCATATGCAGAAAATATAAACGCCGGAAGTCCCAAATTGGGAAACGCATGTTCGAATCAATGTTAGCTGCATTATCCAGATAAGGTGGTTTCACACGCGAAAAGAGATCTCACCTCTAACATGATTGTTATGGCACTATCAGCCAATCAATCGACACAAACCACCACCCTGACCCCGCGACGGAAGATTCCTCGACTCGGGTGAGTCCATGTGGGCCATCAATGATCAACCACGGAGCTAGGACTTAATTAAAGTAGAGTTAGCAGGGGTGGTCGATTCGAAACTAAACAATGTGCTTTGAGTGGTCAACGTAGGCGCCGGCCAGGTATGCGGCCAGCAGTTTTGAATCTTTTGATCGTCTGGAGCATCTGGCTGTATAACATTGTGGGTGCATCCGTATGACTGATGATGAGGATGGTACGGAGTACGTCTAGCCATGCGATGAGCACCTTAGTGACGACAGGAATCATGAAGCCCTGAGCATTCATCGTGCCATGTTGTAGTTCGATATGAATCCTGCAATCATGGACTTATCACACGTTGGATCCAAACTTTGCTGCCCTCGTCCAAGTAGGGACGGCGGGATCGTCAATAGGTGCTGTTGAGTGTTTGTTGCTGTCTTCACCCGAGGTTGGTTGTGTTACCTATACATAGTAGTTACCCTGGGCGCCAACGCGTGTATTTCACGATGCCGCGGCAAATTCGTGTTGGCCTTCGCTTCGAGCAGGGAATGACCAACAGATAGTGTTGGCAAAACAGACGGGGCCCTCAACCCCGATTTTGCCATTGAATAATTAATTAGTTCATACCGCCGATCTCCAGGTCGTACCATCTGCTTAGTTTCATGTGAATCACTAAACTACATCATAAATAGAATTGGGGCCGATGCTCGAGCAGATATGTGAATCATAACTCGGTGGTTGATTCTTTGTGCAATTGCGGCGTAAGCCCGTAAGCCATTTAGAGCTGACTGACAGATTTTATAGTCTGTATACTCAGCCGACTCCTGGAGATGGTCAGGATCGGAGCTGCCTCTTCAAGGCGTCTCCAAGCGATAGCTAATCAAGTCGTTGGGATCAAAATTCACTCCTCGAAGAGTAGAGTGGTCAGGTCGGACGTGTTGTGAACCATACTGGTTGAGTCTAGCGATCAGCGAAGCCTTGACGACTGAAGAAGGGACAGGGAACAAAGGCTCCGACTTGACTCTGGCAAGTCGGCTCATCACCCATCTGGGTCTTCCGGACTGACATTGATGGGTGTGCCAGCATTATCCCGCCTGGGGAAGAGCACGGTGCACATGGGGGAGCCCGCCTTGTTGCCCAGATTTGTTGGCAGCCGCTTGCCGCTGCAAGACAAGGATTCAGAGTGTGACAAGGTCCAAGCCGCGCGCATGTAGTGCGTATAGTATCACCCAGGGTCCTCGATTGAGGCTGGGGTCGATTCCTCCCAGTTACACAACGATTTGACATGACGTGTGTAGGCAGAGTTTCTTCAAAGAACTATAAGACTATCGGAAGGTGAGGAAACTTGAAGAGGCTTCGATTCATGAATTGCTTGTGTCACGCGAAGGTCGACATTCGCGAGCCAAGTGTGCTGAGTGGACGAGCCTTTATGCAGTTGGTTCTACAAAACATTGTCGCTGTCAGCCAAGGAGGGGAAAGGTGCGTGTAGCCCAATGAGCAGAGGGAAAGCGTGACCAGAGACTAGAGGGCCAGGCGGATCCTTGCCTTGAGGAAAGTGGGCGGTTAGTGAAAGGCTCTAGTTGGCCGGTCCAGCGGCTCCAGCCCCTCATCTGCAGTCGCTCGCCAATCACGTACAGAGCACAGCGTACCAAAGCCATCCTGTAATCCCTGAATGCCCTGACCGGTTACCGAGGGGTAGGTATCGCAGTCGATGCTTCTCTCCCCTCTCAATCGAATCACGTCCATCAGTAACGATAGCCCTGTTGTGCCCGGCCATCGCCATCACTCGCACACTGTTTGCTGGACGGATTGGCTGTCTTGCGATCCAAGAGACTGGACTTGGGCCGCACTCACACTGTCTGGCTCCCGTCGGCGCCCCAGCCAGCCATGTCAGTCGCCTGTCTCCCAGTGATTTGCTCTGGCCATACCTACTGAGACCAGGCTGACCAGCAAGTCGGGTCCCTAATTATAGGACTTTCACTTGTCTCCTAGGGTACTTATCCAAAAGGAAGCCCAGCCCCATAGTTCACCTGTAAGGGTGGCCGAACTTCCCACGTCTCGTCGTGTCTTGCGCCTGACCTTCGTCCCGCTCTCTTCCTCGCATTGCAGCGGATCGATCCCAAGCTGGTGCAACCGTGCTACTCGAGGATACAAGCTACGTACAACTACCAGAGCTAGCGAGCCAGTGACGACTTGACCCTGCCTGCTCGACAATCATCGCTTGTTGCTTGCCACGCTAGGGTGAACGCCACGGTGTCTGGGATTCATGAATGCGGCAGTCGTGAGATCAGGGCAACATGCGGATTGGGTGTCTTCAGTTCGCACCGCAGGTCGGGGATCTGAACAATAACCTCAACAGGGCCGATGCGGTCCTCAACCGGGCGGATCCAGAGGATCTCGACCTCCTCGTGCTGCCTGAGCTGGCTTTCTCAGGTAAGTCGTGACACTCGTGCTACCGCACTGGTCCACGCAGCGTGTGTGATTGACGTCGTGTCCCCTATCTCTTGAAACAAAAGATCTCTCGTCACCAACACTGACTCGTCACGAAGGGTACAATTTCAAGAATCTCCGCGATATCTCGCCTTTTCTCGAACCTAGCGGCTCCGGTATCAGTTCGTTGTGGGCGAGAACGATTGCGCTGAAGTACGACTGCACGGTTATCGCTGGGTACCCTGAGAAGGTCGATCCATCTTCGAAATGGCCAACGGGCCCCGAGTATTACAACAGCGCGATCATTGTAAATGGGGATGGCGAGACCATAGGAAATTACAGAAAAACGCACCTGTACCGGACAGATGAGACCTGGGCGTTGGAAAATCCCGAAGGCTTCTACAAAGGCTTCATTCCCGGGCTCGGCCATACAGCCATAGGGATTTGTATGGATCTCAAGTAAGGTCACCCCTTTTTTTTGCCTCACCCCACGCGGATCGCTGACCTGTCCTAGTCCTTGCCAATTCAAAGCCCCGTGGCATGCCTTTGAATTCGCTTTCCATGTCCTGGAGCACCAGTCGAATCTTGTGGTCTTGTCCATGGCCTGGATGACCGCCCAAGACGGCAGGTCTTTCAGCCGGATGCCTCAAGAACCAGACGTAGAGACCCTGATGTATTGGGTAACTCGTCTTGAACCCTTGATACGCGCCGAGGAGGATGAAGAGATCATCGTCGTTTTCGCCAACCGGTCTGGAATCGAAGATGACGCTATCTACGCTGGTACAAGTGCTGTCCTTGGTATCAAAGACGGCGAAGTGGTCGTCTACGGGATATTGGGTCGCGGAGACAAGGATCTGCTGGTGGTCGACACAGATGAGGCACCGTACGCACGACTGGTGTACCGGCCTTTCGGTGCCGACCTCGAGTCCGCGACTGAACAAAGCCACGCGAATGGCGTGAAATCCCGGAATGATGGTGTTGCTTCAAACGGCTCACACACAACAATCAACCCCAAGGGCCCTGGCAACGTCATCTCAGACTACGGGACAGGGACGTCCGAAACTGGATCTTTGTCTGCCCCATCAACGCAGTCCAATCTTTCAGAGTCAAGTGGATCCTCGACCAAGGCTCAGACATCCCGAAGCAGTAAATCGAGGGCGAAACCTCGAAAGAAGCTGTCACTGCAGACGGATGAGGCGACGCTCAATGCAAACAATGTCGACGCCCCGATGATACAAACACCGACAGGGCCAAGCCCAACACCGATCGCCGTGAGGCCACGTTTGACCATACCACCCGCTGATTCTATTACGCACAAGTATCTCACAGAGAACTACCAGGATCCCAACGCCGGGAATGCGAAGTCGTCTCAAGCTTTATGTGTAACTACTCAAGCGTTGCCGGTGCACAAACTGACTCCCCATCCCATGGTGAACAACGCAGGAGGAGATGGAGCCATCAAGATCTTTGGGGGCGAGGTCAGCATCGTGCGTGAAGGAAGCGAATCCGGCGCTTCATCAGCCCGCGAACCTGTATCTCATTTCTCTCCGCTCTCCGCATCATCTTCCAACCTTTACTGGATGCCGCCAGGCAGGCTACTCGACACACCACTGCCAAATCGGGGCTGGACGCCTGCAGCTGCCTCTGATGCGACTGTCTTCTCAGACGCGTCCCCTATTGTCTCCCGCAGCAATGCAACGTCGGCTCTTTCCAACCGTTACCCAAAGTCTAGCCCGCATACTGCACTTCCGCACGCAAATGGGCAGACTTTCGCTGAAGGGTTTGCCAACGCTAGCAGACAGCTACAAAAGGCCCGTGAATCCAGCAAGAGTGCTCAGGGGCTGGAGAGTGTCCCACGTCCAGCTTCGCCAAAGTCCAGGAACGCGAGTAGGTCTCGCGGACCCGAGAGGCCTGGTTCGGAATTGGACTCGAACACAAACCTCAACGCCATCGCACTAAAGCTGGATGAAATTGCCCAGCGGGTCGATTCTGCGCAGTCTCAGAGGAGAGAGCAAAGGTCACAGTCTGTCCACGGGGATAATGGTCACATTGTTGTTTCCGATGCGCAAAATCTGAGAGATGCAAACGCGTCGCGCCAATCGATTCCCATCACGGCATGCGCGACTCTGTGGGACCGGACGAGGGAGCTCAAATATGAATCATCACAGCATGATCATAAGAGCCTCGCTGCCAATGAAGCATCGGGCTCCGGCCATGGCACGCAGACACCAGAATCAATAGCCAGAGGGCGGCATGAACGACGACCGATCTCACGGGCCGGACTGCATAGCGCCAATGGTACACCAAACCGAAGGGTCAGCCGGGGCAGACAACCCGAGAACCCAACAGGGGGAACACCATCGAAGCAAGGACGTTCCTCGGCCACGAGCTCTGGGAACCGGAGACGAAAGTCATCATCCACCAACCCCGTGGATCTCTCCCAGTTCCGCCTAATCGAGGAGTACAGGTCACCCAACTGCCCTGTCCATGGAGCCCATGCGGCGGCTCAGGGTGCGGACAGGGTCAACTCTACAGGGTCGGCGACGGTAACCCAACCCCCTTTTGGATCGCCCCCAATCAGACGTGTGCACACTACGGATCCCTCAATGTTGTCTCTCAATGACACAGCGCGAGCTCCCCTCGAACCCTTGGCTCAAATTGACGGCAGCGACGGTGCGGTCGTCGTCGCAACTGAGGTACGGAGCACAGCAGCATCGTCTGCGACAAGTAGCGGATCCCCTTATTCACTCTTCGAGCCCTCGACGCCCCAGGCTATGACATGGATCTTTGAGGACCTCAACAGCGCGCCTCTCGATGACGTACACAAGCAGGTCGCGCAAGTTGCCGAGGTCGCTCTTTCACGACCTCGAAGTGCGCTTTGGTGAACATATGATGGGTGATTTGAAGCTAGCCAGGGTCATTGTGACAGGCGGTGCATACCGCATCACGAGCTATGACAGCGAGGAGTTTTGGGCACGTTTGGGCTTTGCGTTTGTTTGTTTTCTAGATATCCTTCTTTATGGGTTGAGTATGCGATGAATTTCATTTTCCACACGCTCGACTCTCGACAATCCAGGCATTGGTGCGTTCGCGCCTGAGCATCGCGTATCTTCCGACAATGTATCTGGCGCACACAATATGGGTAGCAGGCTTGAAGAAGATGGGGTTGGACTACAGCATCTGCCTCATGGCACTGGACCGGTACGGAGTACATGACTGGGATACACAGTCATCTTGGACACTAGGGCATGATCAACTCTCCAAGTGCTCTTTTAACATGAACACCCGATCACCTCGACTCGCTCCAGGCATGCCCATTGCCCGCTCACTTTCTACGCATCTTACGTGAGGCTGTTGTTAGGTCTCGCCCTGGCCGGTTAAGTTCTTCGTACATGGACTAACAGACCAGGGCAGTAGGGCTGCCGTTGCGGATGCCAATCGTTCCCAATGTCTTCCGTTGCTGGTGCGGGTATATTACACAGTCTTGCTCCGGACGCCCAATCAGGGAGAGAGGCAGGGATCGCGGTGTGAAGACGACAGGGTCATTTGCATGACGGCGGCCCGAGGCGGTCGATAAGTGGTCGGCTTCACGGCCGGCCCCCGCATCGACAGCCTCCATCCTCCTCCAGCCGCCGTGATTCTCGTTCAACCATTCAATGGCAATCATCACACGGGCGACTGGTGAGGTCGCATTGGCAGCCACCCGTTAAGCGGCCTGAAGAGGCGAGAAGCAGGCGATGCTGCTGCAGGAGATTCGATAGCCCGTGTGCCCGCTAGTTCTCTCCTCCACGCCCCGATGGCTATCACCAACACTGCTTCCTCGTCGATTGATTGCAGGCCCGCTTGCCGTTCAATCGTTCCGAGCCCGCTGTCTGACCCCAGGAACAGTCCTCGAGTGCCGATCTGCAGGCGAGGAGTACTTACGCTGGGCTGCGCCTGCTACATCGTATCTGCGAGGTTCTCCAACATCCTGCTAAAGCATTCTGTGCCCTGGCTTTCACCATCACGACAACGGGATTGAAGAAGGCTTCAAGTGCTCTGATGCTCTTGTGGCCCAGCTTACTTCCCTGGTCTTCAAGCCTACTTTGCACCGATTGTTAATTCCTTCCCCTTTGCCAACGGAGAGACCACACAATTGAGTGGTCAATATGGCCTTGAAATTGTTGACGAGTTTCGCGACAGTCGCTGGTGTCGCAAACGCTGTGCTTTCCAACCCAGGCTCGCCCTGCGACACAAGTTGCGGCAACGTCCTCGACAGGACCACTTCCGACGACGTCGTGTGTAAACAAGACCAAGTTGAAGCAACACAGGGCGAGCTCTTCAGCACTTGCGTCGACTGTCAATTGCAGAGCGACTACTCGTCCCACGATGGCACAGACACCGATTACGCCCTATGTAGGTTTCCATCACTTCCCAACGACGCGACACATGGCTGACTCTGTGGAGACAACTTGCGCTACGCTTCATCGTATTGCGTGTTTGGGTTCCCCAATAATGATCATTTAGAGAGCACTATTTGCACACAGACGTACGTCAGGCTGATACACTGCTCGTCGACACTGATACTGACTACAGATAAGCCAAGCTTGCGGACGGTTCCAAGACGCCATTCAGTTTGGGAATCTGACCAGAGACTTTGAATCGTACGAGTACTGTGCCGTCTGGCCGGTGAACGATATCGAGCACTTCCAATACTGTGTGGACTGTCTCCATGGGCTGCGACAATTCTCAGTCGCTAATTGTGAGCGCTTTCTTCTTCATTGCGGGCAATACATACTGACCGGCCCAGTCGTCACCGCCCTTCAAGCCGGATGCGAGCAGCAACCGCAGCCAGGCGTCAATCTAGGCATCGATGGAGAAATATTTTCCTCCGTGACTGTCAACATCACCGACCCAGAGCCTCGCGCGACCGTCAACCCTGAATGGTTCGACCAAGGGCCCCTGAACATAGGCGCGATAGCTGGCATCGTCGCTGGCGGTGTCGTGGTCCTCCTGACCGTTGCAGGATGCTGCATTATCTGGCGTGGCAAGAAACGACGTCGCGCGTTCCTGCGGGACTACGACGTCAAGAAAAAGAGCTGGCCATCGCCAATACAAACGCACATGAAGGAGGTCAGCGATACGCCCTTGAGTCAGCGACCACTGCGATCGTGGGATGAGAGCCCAGCGAGTGCGCAGAGTGAACAGCCCTTCCCGCGGTACTTCTCGCCGTACTCGTCACAATACAACAGTCCTGTCACTGGGAACGATGCTGTACAGGCTTATGGCAACGCGTGGCCTGCCTCCCAACAGCACATGCAACAAGAGGCTCAACAGCAGAGCATGACCAGGAACATTGGACTAGCACTCGGTGGTAATGAGAGCTCGCCAGCCGTCGACAAGACAAGTGACAGGGGCGAGGCATACGAGATGCAATACGTGGATAGTAATAGGCAGGCGGGTGATGAGAGAATTTCCACGACGGGGTCCGAGCAGGAATCGTACTTCACACAACAGAGGGGCAGAACTTACAGTGGCTCATACAGGGAGTTCTCGTACAGGGGTCAGAGGATATGAAGCATGGGAGAGCATGCAGCGATATTATGAGCATGGAGTCTAGGATCAATACCAGGAACTGAATTTTGTTGCGCTATCATGCCTTTCGTTTCTTCATCGTTTGAACAGGCAATCAACTTCACAGCCGAAGCATGCGGCGGCTAAAAATATCAGAAGCTGGCACATTTCACTTGCTCTTCCGAACCATAGACTGAATGAAGTTTTAGATCGTTGACAATGAAGTTCTCGTTGTCTGTCAGATGTTGGTGTGTGTCAAGTTAAAAGGGAGCATCAAATTGTGTAGGGTAGGTTGGACCGCGCAGCACAGCCTGAGACGCGTCTTGTGGGGGGCACTTAACGCGGTTCCGATCGCGTCTTGCCTCACAGAGCACGTCTTCAACCGCACACACACACATACACGCACAACACACAAGATGACAGTACAAAGGAGACGCGCGCGTGGCCGCGCGCATTCTACAGATGACGAGGCGCCACCGAAACAGGAGCATGAAGAATACCAATACCTCGACTTGATCACCGACATCTTGGAGGAGGGGGAGTTCCGCCCTGATCGGTCAGTAACAACCCCACCAAACATCAACGCTCGCCTAACACGCAAGCAGTACAGGGACGGGCACGTACTCAATCTTTGCTCCCCAGCCGATGAAGTTCAGCCTGAACAAAGATGGCACACCCATCCTCCCTCTCCTCACGACGAAGCGCGTCTTCACCAAAGCCATCATCGCCGAACTCCTCTGGTTCATCGCGGGCACCACATCCTCGATACCGCTCAGCGAAAACGGCGTGAAGATCTGGGATGGCAATGGCTCACGCGAGTTCCTCGACAAGGTCGGCCTGTCTCATCGCGAGGTCGGTGACCTGGGACCCGTCTATGGCTTCCAGTGGCGACACTTTGGCGCCGAGTACGTCGATGCCAAGGCGGACTACACTGGCCAAGGCGTCGACCAGCTGGCCGAGGTCATCCACAAGCTCAAGAACACGCCCTATGACAGGCGCATCATCATGTCGGCGTGGAACCCCGCGGACCTCAAGAAGATGGCTCTGCCGCCGTGCCACATGTTCGCCCAGTTCTACGTCTCTTACCCACGGCTCAAGGGCGGAGTTGATGTCGAGAAGAAGACCAAGGGACAGGGGCATTTGCACTGTCAACTATACCAGAGATCGTGCGACATGGGTCTCGGTGTGCCGTTCAACATTGCCAGTTACGCCCTGTTGACGCACATGATTGCGCATGTTTGTGATCTTGTCCCGGGTAGCTTGACGCACGTCATGGGCGACGCGCACGTGTATGCGGATCATGTAGAGGCACTCAAGACGCAACTCGAGCGCGAGCCTCGTGATTTTCCCACATTGAAGATTGGTCGGGAGAAGGGTGGCGACATTGATGGCTGGAAGGCTGAAGATTTCGTGATTGAGGGATATGAGCCGCACAAGTCTATTTCGATGAAGATGTCAGTATAAAGGGATACACATAGAGACGTTGCATTTGCCCAATAGAAGCGCGGGCTCAATTCATTTTCATCAGAGCCAACTTTACGGATAGATATGACAGCATGGGCTCTGCACTTCTTCCACTGGTCGAGGCTGAGATCATTTGTGGCTTGACTCTTGTGGCTGGTGAACACCACCGTCTCATTGGTCGCGCCACACTTTTGAACTCGGCCGCCCCACACGCACTGCTCCGGCCGTCAGAAAAAAATTTGGGAGGCTTCGTCTCGTTCGTTCCTTCCGAGAAAATCAACCATCACCGACCGACACCGAACCGCACTTTTTCACGACGCAATTGCTCACTATATCCCAGAGCGTGTCGCACCTGCCGGTCGGTAAATTATCAGAGAGTCTTTCCGAAAAAAAAAGGAAGGAACCCGAACGACGATGACTATGGAGGTTGTCAGGAAGGAGGAGGAGCATGTTATCAAGCCTCAGGCTGTGGCACCTGCCATTGACACAAGCCAGTGGCCGCTACTCCTCAAGAACTACGAGAAGCGTTCGTGCCATCATCTCATCAGGGCGCAAATTGGGGTACGCTGACACCTTTTTGCAGTCTTGGTCCGCACCGGCCACTTCACTCCCATCCCCAATGGCTGCTCCCCATTGAAGCGTGACATCAAGTCCTACATCAGCTCTGGTGTCATCAACCTCGACAAGCCTTCGAACCCCTCCTCGCACGAAGTTGTCGCTTGGCTGAAGCGCATGCTCCGGTACGTCAGAGTCAATCGCGCTTTTAAGGAGAGAGAAAGGCTAACATTGTCAACAGTGTCGAGAAGACTGGCCACAGCGGTACCCTCGATCCCAAGGTCACAGGCTGCCTGATTGTCTGCATTGACCGCGCCACCCGTCTCGTCAAGTCCCAGCAGGGCGCCGGAAAGGAGTATGTCTGCGTCATCCGCCTCCACGACAAGGTCCCCGGTGGCCAGGCGCAGTTCGCCAAGGCTCTTGAGTCGCTCACCGGTGCTCTGTTCCAGCGCCCGCCTCTGATCTCCGCTGTCAAGCGTCAGCTCCGTATCCGTACCATCCACGAGAGCAAGCTCATTGAGTTTGACAACGACCGCCACCTGGGTGTCTTCTGGGTCAGCTGCGAGGCTGGTACCTACATCCGTACTCTCTGCGTGCACTTGGGTCTTCTGCTCGGTGTCGGCGCCCACATGCAGGAGCTGCGCCGTGTCAGGAGTGGAGCCATGGACGAGACCAAGCAGCTGGTTACGCTGCACGATGTTTTGGATGCTCAGTGGACCATGGACAACACGCGCGATGAGTCGTACCTGCGCAAGGTCATCTCGCCCCTGGAGACTCTCCTGACCTCGTACAAGCGCCTGGTCGTCAAGGACAGCGCCGTCAACGCCGTCTGCTACGGTGCCAAGCTCATGCTTCCCGGTCTTCTGCGCTACGGTATGTATTCTCGAGATGGATGATGCAAGTGTACATGTGCTAATGTAACACAGAGGCCGAGATTGAGCACCACGAGGAGGTTGTTCTCATGACCACCAAGGGTGAGGCCATCGCCCTGGGTATCGCTCAGATGTCGACCGTCGAGATGACCACATGCGACCACGGTGTTGTCGCCAAGGTCAAGCGCTGCATCATGGAGCGCGACCTGTACCCCCGCCGCTGGGGACTTGGCCCCGTCGCTACCGAGAAGAAGAAGCTCAAGGCCGACGGCAAGCTCGACAAGTTCGGCCGCCCCAACGAGTCGACCCCTGCCCAGTGGACCTCAGGATACAAGGACTACGCTGCGCCTGCCGATGGCGTCGCTGCTGCTGCTGCTGCCGCGGCCGCCCCTGTTGTCGAGGAGACCACTGTCACCAAGATGGAGGTTGTGCCTGCTGAGGATGCCGACGAGGGCAAGAAGAGGAAGAAGCACGACGGCGAGACAGCCGAGGAGAAGGCCGAGCGGAAACGCAGGAAGGCGGAGAAGAAGGCCGCCAAGGCTGCCAAGAAGTCCAAGGACGACGATGAGGATAGCGATTAAGGGGCTGATGGCTTGAATATCTTGTGACTTATTGTCTCGCTGGAGCAGACGGTCACGATCACGCGTCTTGTTGGCTGCAAATGGTCGTTTGGGGTACTTCTTAGGGGTCTGTTCTTCTTGATTGTTTGTGCTACGCTGTATCACTACAAAAGTGTGGCTTTTTCTGGCACTCGGCGTTTTTGGCTCAGACATTATCGGCAAGGGTTTATGAGTAGTTGAGGATCACAATCAAAGCATGTGCAACATAAAAGACGTTCTCTACTGTGCTTTTATCGTTCGGCTCTCTGATTCCGAGAGGCCTCGCATGCCGACAGAACCGCACCCGCTGCAATAGCTTTTGATGTTGAGTCGCACCAGACCTTATGTGGCTCGACTGCTGTTCCACGCTGGTGTTCTAATGTTGGTATAGTAGTCCCTCTAATGCCTTGTAATTATCTATATGGATCGTCACCTTGGACAGCATGCCATCTTTGGTAAACCTAGCGCAATGCTACTTTTTTGTGCTCGGGCGCCGCCTGAGCTTTCCACACTCTGGCAGTCTTAGCGGTACCGGGATTGATCTCAAATATACGCCAGCACCAAGCTGCGATCATAGCGCCTTCTTGTTGTTAGGTTTGCCCAGCTTGGCTCTCTGAGCCAGCATATGACCATAGAGGACGTAGAAGGCTACCGGAAGTGTCAGTGTTAGGTTCTACATCAATTCTCGGTCGTCTTCTGCTTACCGGGGAAGTACATCGCCAGTCCAAACCACAGCAGATACTGATACAGTTCATTTCGAGCTTTTGAAGGCGAGATGACCTCGTAGACAAGGCGTGCTTCGGCCAAGATACCGATAGGATAGAGCACAATGAACAGATTGTACCGTAACCACAAAAGAGACGAGGGAACCCGCCCGGTGCCTGTCTGGAGAGCAAAGTAGAGGTATCGGACTGCGTCGGCGGCATTCCAGGCCATCAGCATAAGGCTGTAGGCCGTCTCTCTGGCCGCGACATCTGGATAATTCCTGGTGATAGCCCAGATGATGGTGTTGCGCCCTGCGACTTGCAGGGCTGTCGTGGCAGGCGCAGCACGAACGAGGCCCGTGATGGCGTGGACGACCTCGATGGCCGTCAGGGTCTCAGTCCACCGCGCGATGAGATTGAGATCGGCCCAGACAGCCGCGTTGCCTTGGGCTCTCCACAAGAGTGAGACGCGTACCAAGATCCAGAGCCGTAGCAGAGCTGAGGCGGTGTTGTAGAAGCAGAGATATGCATTCGTCAGTCCGTTGGACTTGCTCGTCGGCTTGGATGATGCACTCGGACGAGAGCGAGCCATGACTGCTGCTTGTTGGAGTGGATGAGAAGATTTCGGTTCACTAGGATGGGATTGTCGCTTCAGATCCAATGACACCAGCAGCAGGGGAGGAAGAGTGTGATCGTCAAAGACGGGGAGAAAACCCTTACGGAGCATCTGTAGCTAAATTTCAGAGTAATGCCGAGGCTTGATTGATCAGATAACAGATTCTTGAAGGCCCATGTTTCCTATCTAGGCCATCAGGCCGACGGGGCAAGAATCTGATCTTTATTGCCCCCGGCTTCTCGAAGCCAGACGCATACCCTGTACCACCAGCCCCAAGTGAGTTATGGAAAGTCTCATGATAGAACATTGAGGCGACGTAAGACGCCTAGACAACTGGATGTAGTGCCAAACTTGATCACTGGGTCTTGGCTCGTCGCGTGGCGCTTGTGACTGGCGCCACGCTGAACACTTCAAGTCCACTCGACTCGACATTCTCCCACCTGACCTCCTCTTCTTCACTCCTCATCATGTGCCACGAGCTATCTTCAACGAAGCATCATTGTCCTAACCACTAGGATCTTACACGAGACCATTGAGTATCTTGAAATCAGGCACACTTGTTTCATGGCATGGAATATTGCACGTGGATCCCTCTGATTCTCTAGAGTTCACTGTTTCACACTACACGACCTTGATGAGGCGGCCGGCAGACTAGAGTACATATAGTCCCGCCCCCTTGGGACCAGCGCAGCTTGCCATCAGGTACTACCTCACCCAACAAGCTCACTGACCAGTCGGAGAACTAAGCTAGTCAAACTAAGTCATATTTGATGATACTGTCCATCGTTGACTTTCTCGCGTCATACGCACCAGCAGCAAACATGGAGCAGAAACATATATCAGGCGTTGAGACGCCCCTTTTGGCGCACAGGAGAGCACACCTGCTCGAGAGAAAACTCAAGCAGCAGCGATTTTCTCGCCGTTATCGAATCTATTTCACCATGGCTGGTGCTACTATCTTTATTATCCTGGCGGCGCTCATTCTGTACGGCGTGGCCATGCCACTTTCCTTTGACACACACAGGAATCATGGACTGCGACTCCGGATCCTACACGACGGGTTCGCCATGGAACCCAGTGTACCGGTTGATTTCCCAGATCCGTCCTTGATCAGGCACGAAAACGGCACTTGGTTTGCCTTTGCCACCAACTCGGGCGGTCGAAATATTCAAGTGGCCAGATCACGCACCAGAAATATCCTCGGAAAATGGGAGCGTCTGGACATTGACGCAATGCCCGAAAAGACGTGGACAAGTGGACGCAACACCTGGGCACCAGACGTCAAGCGCCTCTACGATGGCTCGTACGTTATGTACTTTGCTGGCGAGATGCCCGACTCGCACCAGCACTGCGTCGGCGTGGCACGCTCAGACAAGCTCGAGGGTCCTTATGAAGCCGACCCGGAGCCGTGGGTATGCCCAAGGGAGGAAGGCGGCGCCATTGACGCCGCTGGCTTCCGCGATCCTACCACGGGCAGGCAGTACGTCGTCTACAAGATAGACGGTAACTCCAAGGGTGACTTCTCGCAATGCGGCACCGGCACCGGCGATCCGAACCTCAAGACGCCGCTTTTACTGCAAGAAGTGTCCCCCTACGATGGAAGCACCAAGATTGGCGCAGCGACCATTCTGCTAGATCGCATTCCGGCGCTGGACGGCGCGCTCATCGAAGCGCCCGAGCTGACGATCCGTCCTGATGGGACGTACGTGCTCTTCTACAGCAGTCACTGCTTCACGGACCCCAAGTACGACATTAAGTACGCCTATAGTAGGAACGTGAAAGGGCCATATCGTCGTGCCAGCAAGTCCCTGCTCCAGACGCCGCACTTTGGGTTGAAAGCCCCTGGAGGCGCGTCGACCGGCGGCGAGATGGATTGGTTGGCTTTTCATGCGAATTGCAAGGACAATGGGCGCTGTATGTATATAACTGGGTATGGCGAGTAATAGCATTGAAGTGTTGCATCATTCTCTAGAATCTGGGGGTTTCTATCTGTTGCTGTCTAACGACGCCCACTTGGTGGTGGAGGAAACGATGTCTGGATGTTGGTCATCGACGTCGGCGAGCCATTAGTAGCCGGCGATTCTTTCTTTCTCCCCATGTCTCTCCCTGTTCTTCCTGCTTCTGACTGATCCCACACGGTCTGGTTCTGCTGGGGCGACAAGCTGCTCTGTTCCGTGAACGATGCGTGGCGTGGGCTAGGAAACCCCTGATAGGGAGACCGCTCGGTCGTGGTGATGGCCAATCCAGGGGCCCCCGACATGCCATACTCCGCAGGTACGTATGGCCTGTAGCTGGAGCTCAATAGGGGCGCGTTGGACCGGATCGAAGTGGTGGACGTTGGTGTCGTGTACTCACCAAGCCTTGGAGATGCTGCTGCCTTGGCGGGCATGGCGGGCGTGGTCGTGACAATGCTCGTCAACCTCTTCTCTGGCGGATTGGATCCCAAGGCGGCTGACGGGGACACGTATGATTTCTCTCCCACACCAGGAGGGAAGTCTGCCGTCAGGGGCGTGACGTGTGTCTGGCATCTGAATTCCAAGGGCGAAACACGCCGAATCCTCTTCTTGTTGCGGCGTCTTCGGATTTGCATATACACACATCCTGCTATGAGAAGTAGGAGAATGACACCACCAATGGCGATACCTGCGATGATGGGCGTTGAGAGTACAGGGCCAGTCGACGTGTCGGCAGACGACGTTGTCGAGGGGTCTGTGATGAGGACGGTATTCGTGGTGAAGATGGTCTCGTTGAGTCCGACAATTGTCCCTGATAGAGGCTTCTGCTCACATCCGGCTTGAATGGCCGCCAGGACTACACGAATTAACAAGGTTTCTAAGGCGACAGGCAGGAGTAACCATACAATTTGCCAAATAGGGGTTGAAAGAGTGGACGCAGGTGACACAGTCATCCATGTAGCTCGACAGAACAACGCTGTGGTTGACATCGCAGTAGTCGTACGCTTCAGAGTATGCCGGCTCGAGAAGGCCGTCGCTCAGTGCTTTGTTGAGAGCACCACACGATTCCTTGGTGGCGCAAGGACCGGCCTCAACGTCTGTAGCGTTGAAGTCGCCAAGGACACAGTAGTCGACAGCGAACCTCAGATTGTCTGGGCAGTGTTAGCTCGTGTTCCGGAAGGCGATTGTCACACTTACAGAAGAACCATTGCTGATCGCTCTCAAGGCCATGCTCGAACCCACTGTCCTGCAGGCAGTTCAAGCATCTCTGGAACTTTTGGCCTTTTGCTTCCGAAATGAAATCCTTCACGTCGCATACAATATCATCTGGCGTCGTGTTTGAAGATTCGGGATCGGAGTCATCAAGATCTGGATCGTCAAGACAGACCGACGAGCAAGGAGATCCTGGTGTGACCTGTAAGGCGGCCGTGATGTGGATCAGGGCCAACAATACGGCCAATGCATTAATGATCGCCATGGCGTCTCGAATTAATATTTAATGAATGAATAAATGTCACAAGACCAGCTTGTGTTGAAATTAAAAGCGTAGTAGTGAAAGTGGTCAGAGTCGTAGCGACGGAACAGGCACTCAATGCCCAACGTAGAGAAGCAGAGATGAAGAAAATAGAGATAGAGAACAGATTCACAAACTTACTTCCTTCCGTACCACCAGCGCGCAAACAGACGGTATACATATCCCCATCACATCGCGAACCCCACGATGTGGACGATGCCGATGCGCGCGATGGCACGTCCAAACGCCATGGTCTAACCCAGAAAGTCACCATCACATCGCTGACCGCAACATGCACCATCACGAGGGCTGCTCTTGAGCGGTTGTAAAGAACATTGTTTGGCCAATTGTCGTGTGCCCCGGCCAATGAGAGTTGCGAGGCGCGCTGTCGGGCAGATGGGCGCTTAAAAACATGTTCGATCTGGACGCACATTGGGCGAGCGCTTAGGAGCTGAGTGTTGACCAGAAGCAGCAGGGCTGGGTCAAATCTAAGAGCAAATCTATTAGCGAGTACATGCTGTGGCCACTTACGACTGATCATCGCCGAGGTATCGACTACCAAAGTCGTTCGAAGATGGGGGCCACTCTTGCGGCTCCTTCACGCCAGTTCGCGGGTGCAGCGTCGAAGTAATGACACTAATGAGATGTGATGAGCCTAATGGTTTGTTGACAGAACTGCCGGTGCGTTCACCATGTCGCAGCATGGGAGAAAGTTGTCGACATGCATGTCTAGCTCTGAGGATTGTGATGATAGCGTCAATTGGTGGAGACTTGCAGCGCGGGATGCCATGATACCTTGAAATTCATATCTTTTCGATTCGTCACGATGCCTAATCCTCATCCGAGTCCTGCGCCTTCTTCTTCCCCTTCTTCGATTTCGCGCCGCCCTTGTAGTGCTTCTTTCCCGACACGACCTGCACGTCCTTTGGGTCTATCCCATTCTCCAGCGCGACGAGCGTCCGCGCCTTGCGTCCGGATATCGGCTTCTCGCGCCCTTGCTCGGTGTACTTGTGGTTGAACGGCATGGTCATCTTGCCCCCTGAGCTTGATGCGCCAAAGAAGCCCTTGTCGAGCTGCTTGGACTTGGGTCCGGCTGGGAGGGCCACAAACTCCGAGATCATGGACTCGGTGTCCGCGCCGCCGTCCTTGGCCTCGTTGAGTGACATGTCGTCTGTGGCGGAGACCAGAGCCGCCCGTCGCTTCTCGGGAAGGTGGAGTTCGTCGTACAACTCGCGGTTGAACCACTTGGCGTCCTCGATATCGGGCGGTGGTTCAACGTACAACAGCTTGCCATTCACGTAGTCCTTCAGAACATAACGTGCGGCGCGAGATTCGTCAGGCTGACCGAGACCTTGCGTTTGGTAGCCACGTGCTGAGGCGTAGGCACGCAGCAACTCGCTGGCAGTGGGTGTGCCGCTACCGCCCTCCTCAAGGGCACGCGTCTTGATGCGGATACCGTATACAGCCTCCAAGAAGCTCTTGGGAATGCGCTGGGTGACCAGGCCGCAAGGCCCGGCGAACTCTCGCATCTGATCAATGGGCAGGATACCATTGCAGACCAGGTCGGCCTTGGTCGTGGCAAAGTTGGGAAAGACGAGACCAGGGCAATCGCACAGGATGACGCGCTCGCTAAGGTGGATGGTCTGGAAGTGCTTCGTCTTACCGGGCGTGGCAGAGACGGACACCTTCTTGGCGCCGATGAGGGCGTTGATGGTGGATGATTTACCGACGTTGGGGTAACCGATGAGACCGACTTGAAGTTTGTGGTCGCCTTCTGGACAAAAGTTAGACAACATTCATGTAGGCCATAAGGATGGACTTGCCGGCATTAGTAGGCGAGTGGCGCAGGAAGATGCCTTCCAACTCTTCAATGGTCAGGATCTTTGTGTCCTCCTCGTCGAGGGGCACCGCTGGTACGATCCCGTCGTCATTTTCATCCCCAAGACTCACGCCCTCGGACACAGCTTGCTGCGCTGGGCGCTTGGAGGACGATGCCTCTGGCTCGTCGTCACTGTCACCCTCCTCGTTGGCCTCGGTCGCTAGACGAGCGGAGAAGAATTTGAAGGCAATCTTTGCCTCCTTCAAGTGAGAAGCCCAAGCCTTGCGTTGCTTTTGGGTCAACATGTCGGATTTGTTGATAAGAAGCAAGTTCTCCTTTTTCGGGTCAACGTCCTTGACGTAGTTCTCCAAGTCCGCAGAGCGGAAGAGTAGGGGGTTCCTGGCGTCGACGATCTGTACCACCAGGTCGGAGCGCTCGATGACTCGCCATAGCTGTCTCCAGACCTCGATGTTTCGTTCGAACGGCGTCATCAAAAGATCATTGTTTTCCTGCAGCTCTGCAAGCCCCCGCCTCCAGCTCAGGAAGCTGTCTCTTTCTTTGCGATCCAACTGCTCTGGTGTGGTGTTGGAATCCCATTTCGGCCTCCTTGGTACCGTCAGTCTGGCCTTGTGTTGCTTGTGCTTTCCCAGAACGACCCTCTCCTCATGGGCCGACAACAAGTACGGGTTCTTCTGGTCTGTGTGGATGATCTTGACATTGTCCATCTTCTCCGCTGTGAAGTCGGTACCGGCCAACTCCGCTGTGGAAAGGAACTCGTCCAGGGCGCCTTGCTGGGTGACTGAGCGCATCTTGACCCACGAAGCATCTTCCTTCTCATTGATCAGGTACTCCTCACCCGTCTGGTGGTTTGTACGGGTGACTGCCGATGCCTTCTTGCGATCGCCGCCTTTGCCCTTGCCAAAGCGATCATTCATCAGGGAGTTTCCCAACCCCACCTTGTTCTTCGACTTTGCCAGAACCATGGTGGCGATGTAGTCTGTTCTGTGGTATAGAAAGAAGTATAAAGGAGCCGGAGAATTCAGGCTCGTTGCTCAGATGTCTGAGATGGAGATGAGAAGATGGGAAAGGTGTGAGCTCGCGATGGGTGACTCGACTTTGGCCTTGGCTGAATAATGGGCGTGATGGAGGGGCAAATCTCATTTTGATTATTCACACTGTGTTTAGCGCCGGAAGAAAGCCTCTAAGCACAGTGTAGCGATAGACGATAACGGTGTAGACCCTTAGGGAATTTTTCTGCCCCGCCAACTTTTTCTGTCTGTGCCTTGGGCCTTGATGTCACATTCGCCCAACCGCCCCAGCCCTGTCTCGAGGTTTCAAAGATCCTCGATTTCCTTGACACCTCAGATCAGAAAGACAAGCTACTCAAGATGCCTAAAGGCAAGTGGATGTAAGTGCGAGTACTTCGGACATGATGGAATAATTCGCATTGACTTCTTGCTAGCGACAAGCGCACGGCGCAACACTTCACCCTCGTCCATCGACCACAAAATGACCCTCTCATTCACGACGATGAGGCTCCCTCCATGGTGCTGAACCCGACGCAGAAGCAACCTGGATCATCGAAGAAGGGAAAGCAGCTCGATGACCTCGCCTCTGAGTTCGGTTCCGAGGCTGCGGACATTCGCGCCAATGAGGGCGAGGCGGCGAACTACGGCATCTACTACGACGACAGCGAGTATGACTACATGCAGCACATGCGCGACCTCAACGCTGGTTCAGGAGGCGACGTGGTATTTGTCGAAGCGAAGTCCACCGGCAACCTGAACAAGGGCAAACAAAAGCAGTCGCTTGCCGATGCGCTCAAAGACATGGATCTCGAAGGGGGCTCGCAAGTTGACGTGGATGAGGAAATGCTACCATCCAAGAACTTGACGAGGTTGACATACGAAGCACAACAGGACGTCCCGGACTCAATAAAGGGCTTCCAACCCGACATGGACCCCAGGTTACGAGAGGCGCTTGAGGCACTGGAGGACGAGGCCTATGTTGATGAGGATGACGACGACGTCTTCAAGCAGTTGACAAAGGATGGCGAGGAACTTGAGGACTACGAATTCGACGACTATGAAGACGATGGCTACGAGTCTGACGATACTGCCAGACCCAATAAGGAGTACAACGACGACGCGCCACAGTTGGTGCCAACGCAAGGCGAGCAGCCTGAGGAGGGACCCTCGCAAGACTGGCTGGAGGACTTTAAGCAATTCAAGAAGGAACAGAAGACTGGGCGCGTGCTTCCGCCAGGTGCACCCTCAGAGCTCCAGTCGGCCTGGACCACGACTACCAACGGGGGCAAACGCAAGAAGCGCAAGGGCGCACTGACCGACGCGTCAAGCTACTCCATGACTTCGTCCTCCATGGTGCGAACGGACCAGATGACACTGCTGGATGCGCGGTTTGACAAGATCGACGAAGCGTACAATGAGGACATGGACGACATGGCGTCTGTATCGCAGGCGTCAGGCATGTCGACGGTAGACGGGCCTACGAGAGGTGATTTTGACAACATCTTGGACGATTTCCTCGGCAATTACACAAGGCCGTCAAAGAGGACGAACAAGAAGACAAAGGCGCAGACTGGCTTGGAGCAGTTGGAGGAGATCAGGCAAGGTCTCGGACCAGCGCGCTTTCGCAGTCTGGGGAAACCGATCACAGGGCCCAAGTCGAAACCTAGCCCTTTTAGTTAGACTGGACAAAATTTAATGAATCAACGATGACTGCAAAATTGGATGGCTGGGAGTGCTGTCACTGTCCCAACAGACCCTGTTCATCGGCCTGGTATCACTAGCGACATGGAACGATGGTGATTGGTGACACCTCAAAAGAATAAGACTGAAACGATAGCGGCCGATATCTATAAACGACCTCATGATTCGAATTTTCAATTGAAGTCTCGGTGCATTGACTCTGGCAGTGTCCGCAGTCGCAGAGTCGCAACAAAGAGGAGCGTCACGTGACCTGTGACGACAATGCAATTACTTCCGCAGATCAACAGCCTGAGTCCCGACCAAGCTCCGTTTCGCGTGAGCACACCGACCACCTCCCCTTCGACACGTTCACACTTGTGCATCGGCTTTGTTCTCTTTGTCTACAAGCGCTTTCTATTTCAAAATCTCTTCCAATGCGCTGACATATAATCGGATGCATGTAACGACTGTTGCATGGCGAACATCCATCTCTAGTCGATTCTGCACGACGCGAACATGGCGACGTTTAACCCGTTCGCAGCAAATAACACGACTAAACCCAGCACAACCAACAATCCTTTTGCTCCCGCGACGACTGTGAATCCTTTCGCGCCGGCTACCAGCAATCATGTACCGAACGGGCCTTTCTCGAGAGGCGCGACGCCCAACGGTGATGTGAGCGATTCCGGCCTTGCCAGCAGCCAAGGCAAGGACAAGCAAAATGGGACAGCAAGCATCCAGAATAATGTCACCAACGGATCGGGTTCTGCCTCGCCACAAGTTGCGCGCCCATTCGCAGCTGGGAAAGCCCTCGGTACGCAAAAGCAGCCCAAGCCTTCAGCACCGGAGGTCGACTCGAGTAGCGAAGACACCGACGGCCAGCCGTCACAAACCCAAGAGATACCAAACACAACCGATCCGTATGCGCGGCGCGTATACGAGCAGTTGCGCAAAGACAACATTCGACCTCCAAAATGGCCCTCGAAACAATACCATACTCTGTACAACAAAAAGATGGAACACTTCCGAAATCAGTACGAAGCGTACCGTCAAAAAGTGCGCGAATCACTCATCAAAGCCGGTCTTCTCGATGATCCGAACAAACGAAGAGCACTCAAGGATGCGATCGATTTTAGGGGCATTGCGGAAGACATGTGCCCAGAATGGGAGAAAATCACCCGTATCTTTGAAGGTGATGTCGTCAAGTCGGAGAAGAATGAGGTGTCAGACATACCCGAGACTTCGAAGATGGTGAAAAAGATTGCACGCTCGGCTGCCGGGCAAGATGCGCCGCTTCCCATGGATGTGCGCTCGATCCCAGCACTCCAGAGAACACTCGACTATCTGGTGGGCGACTTGCTTGACGACGAGGACAACCTTGCCAATGTGCATGGCTTCCTATGGGACAGGACGAGAGCGATTCGACGAGACTACACCTTCTTCTCGCGACTGGAACCGGAAGAGATCAAATCGCAAGTTGCAGTATTTGAGAACATTGCGCGGTTCCACGTCACTTCTCTGCACCTTCTTTCACGGAAAGACGTGGACGCGGAAGGGTTCGTGGAGCACCAGGAGACGGAGCAGCTCGCGCGGACCTTGCTTAGTCTGAGAGATCTGTACGACGACTGCAACCAGCAAGGCATCGAATGCCCTAACGAGGCCGAATTCCGGGCATACTACCTGCTCTTCCATGGACGAGACCCCGACGTCATTGAGACCTTGCAAAGATCATGGCGACCAGAGCTGTGGAAGAATTCAGAGGAGATCCAGATTGCAGTCTCGCTCGTCGAGGCGCTGCAAAACACGCAAGACTTCCAGGGCCCTATCGTCAAGACAATACCAAACTCAACTGATCCAGCTCTGGCACCTGCCCCAGCAGCGTCCGCCTCGTATCTGACGTACTTTCGGATCCTAGAGGACCCGTCTGTCTCGTTCACCATGGCCTGCTTCGCCGAGTGCCACTTCCCGGTGCTGCGCCGTTCAATCGTCAATTCTCTGGTGAGAGCCCTGGCTCGACCCAAGGTAACTAGCAAAGACCTCACCGCGGCTGGACTCAACAAGTTCCTTCGGTTCGACACTGCAGCAGAAGCCGTCGACTTTGTGGACCTCGCAGGGTTGCAAGTCGAGGTGGACGACAGCATCATCGAGGACGTCAGCGATGGCAGCAACCAGCGGCTGCTGCTAGAGCATCGACAGGAACTCGATTGGCCGTCCAAGCTACCCCATCAATCTTCCGAGAAGCTCGTCGGCAGGAAGCGAGGCTCAAAAACGCTCGTCGAAGTCATCCGGGAAACTGTCTACGAGAGTGGACAGTCGGCGACGACAGCCACGCCATCACCAGCACCGACACAAATGGCACGCCCGGCTGTGACAAAAACACTGTCCCCTCCCAGCCATCAGGCACCGCCCGTGCCAAATGCGCTGTCCAGCAACAGTGTCTCAGGTAAGAAAACACGGAGCAGGGCCTACAGGTTCCCATTTGGTTACCGATGCGATGGGCTTCTTAGCTCTTTACACACACTCGTGCCGTGATACCACGAAAAGACCGAACCAAATCATTTACACTAATCTTCACTCGTATAGACAATGCCAGCCCAGGGCTCCAGACGAGTCCATTTGGAGTTCACTCGACGCAAGCACCACAGACGGCACACAACCCATTTGCAGCAGCTGCAAGCACCAGCAAGGACGCACCAAAGTTTCCTTTTGGGTCAGGAGCACAATCCACTTCGGTATCAGCCCCTCAGCTCGGAGGTGCTTCATCGCCAGCGTCAGTATTGAATCAGCCGGCAGCCGCGCCGAGCACATTTGACGGAATGTCCAGTGCCGGCAAGGCAACCGACCAAAAGGCTCCCACACCAGGCCTCTTTTCGGAACCAACGAACAAGCCAGCCGAAGCTCCTACACAGAACATGGACTCCCCAAAGCCGAGCCCTTTTAGTATGAGTAAACCGCAACAACCGGAGGCCATCCCGAAAAGCGGTTCCCCCCAAACCTCAAACCCCTTTGCTGGTCTCAAACCAGCTCCTGTATTCAGCTTCGGGCAACCACCAAACCCAACAGGCACTCCAGCGTCAACAGCGTCAACGACACCACCAGGTAGTCCGAAACGGGACTCCAGCCACGGGCAGTCCTCTGACAAAGGGCAGGCTGCCGCCAACGAGCCTCTACCTGCAACTCAAGCGAGTCAAAATGCACCTGCAGCGGCCGCCGTCGCCAGTCAATCAAATCCTTTCAAGCAGCCGGCCGCCAGGACAACAACGCAATTAGGAGCGCTCGCTCCCCAATCTGAGCGGACACCTCAGGCTCCAACGACCCCAAAGGAAATCATGGATGCTTTCTCTAGGTGGTTCGTCCTTGGCGATACCGGCATCATGGACCAATTCACAGAGTACATCATCGGCGAGATTGTCGGAGAAGCTTACAACCAGTGGATGACAGAAGAGACAGAGAGGATCCGGAAAGAGGAGGAGGATGCTATCAACGCGGAAGTGGAGGCGTTTAAGATCAGGAATCTGCGGATCAAGTACTTTTATAGATGGAAGAAGAATGCGCGGGCGAAGCGTATGGCAACATTGCGCCGGCAACAGCGGGAAGAGCTTCGAAGATACAAGGAGCAACAGGCGGAGGAGCGAAAAGAGGCGGAGCGGCAGCAACGAAGAGAGGAAAGGAAGGCAAAACTAGCCAAGGCGGATCGTGCCTCCGAGATGGCGGAAATTGCGCTGAGAGGGAGGATGAAGAGGAAGAGCAACGCTGAGCAAGCCTTACTCGACACTGGCGTTCTCTCTGGCGTGACAGACGAGCACCGATCCGCCAAGAGGATTGCACGAGGGGAACATGTGGTGGAGGACGGCAGCCGGCCCGCCAGCAGGGCCTCCTCCTTGGCCTCATCTACAGCGTCGACATCGTCCAGGTACAAGGGCAAAGCCAGGCAACTCTATGAGAGGTTTGCTGGGAAAGCCAAGGAGGGCTTCTACAGTTCTATGCCTTCATTCCGCAGCACTGTCAGCCCCAAGCCGAACAAGAGCATTAGCAATGCTTCCGAACGCTGGAAACTCAAAGCCATGGGTATCGTGCAGATGCCCGACGGGACCGCACTTCCGGAGAGGATGGCCGATGCTGTTTTCAGTGGACAAACGCCATATCCGACGGCACGGCAACGGGCGTCGTCCCACAGCACCCTGGACCGCCGCTCCCTTCATGGTGCGATGAGCCCGCCACCTCGTCCCCAGCGGAACACATCCCTGTCTCGGTCTATTGGCGCCGGCAGCCCTCCTACAACGAACAAGCGCAAGCGGAACGGCGAAGATGACGAGGTCGAGATCACGGACGACGGTGACTCTGCCGGCAGCGAGAATCCACACAAACGCGTGCTGAGCGAAAGCGAACAAGTGATCAACGACCTCCGTGCTATGCGCAAGGAGCTCGACGAAGACACGGCTTGGCTCCGAACGGAAAGAATACGATGGGAGAGCGAGTCGAGGAGCAGAGCGAGTACGCCATGGGGAGCAGAAAGACACGGGGAATCTGGCATATAACTGGGCGTTTGCGGGTATTTGTTTACACATGGTAGAGGCTTGTCCCGTTGATACCCTCTGCATATTGGGGATGTACCACAAAACATCCATCCAGGTTGAAATGTAAGAGCGCATAATGCTCATTGTACATATACACGATTGTTTCTCTCAAGGACACACAGTGATGATGCAGTCTTTTTGTGCGATTGCTATCGACAGTTGTTATTATTATGTATGTGTTTTGTCCACATGTCTAGGTGGACGTATGCCCGTTGCTGTATCCAATCAATAGGAAATTAAGTATCCAGTAATACCCAGGACCCAAACCCCGAACCAAGGCGAAAGCCGTTCTATAGCCCAAACTGAAAAGAAGAAAAGGAAAAGATCATAAGCATTCGTCAAAAGAAGACTCTCGGGAGCGAGACATGAGGAGATGTAGAATGGTGACTTCCTTCTAGTAGTTGTACACCATCAAGCTGGGGTTCAACACGAGCGGCACCAGGGCGTGGAAGCTCACGTTCATGGCGAGGGGCACGATGGCGGTGAAGTCGGTAATGGCCCAGTCCGGGGGCGCAAAGGCGCCGAGGTAGACCATGCCGCCGACGATGAGGACGAGGACGAGGTACATCCACTTAAAGGTGTTGAAGATGCGAGGCATCTCCTGGAAGAAGTTGGACTCCTCCTTCTCCTTGGAGGTGGCGCCCCACTGCATGTCGATGTGGAAGAGGTGGCAGAGCAGGGCGGTGGTGACGTGGTAGGCGATGCCGCCGAAGAAGCAGGTCAGCATGGGCGTCCACTTGAAGTTCTCAAAGAGGGAGCCCAGCAGAGACTTTTCGCCGGTGCGGTAGCGGAGGAAGGCGAGGGCGACGTGGCCGAGGAGGTTGAAGACGACGACGAGCGAGAGGAAGACGTTCCACGAGGTCATGTAGCAGGAGCTCAGGTCGTCGCGGAACCAGCCGACGAGGAAGTAGTTGAGGATGGAGAGCAGGAGGGCGGAGCCGAGGGCAAAGTAGGAGCACATGTAGGCCAGGATGGAGAACTTGGAGGACCAGATAATGTTGGAGCCGAGGAAGGTGTAGAAGAGGGGCGTAAAGGGGCCCTTGAAGATCCAGCGGTGGAAGGGGTGGAAGATCATCTCGCTGACGCCGTAGGCGTACTTTTGCCAGCGGGCAATCTCGTCGTAAATGGTCAGCGAGACGCCCTCCTTGAACTCCTCGCCGTGGTAGGTGGCGACGCGGACGATGGAGCCCTTAATCTGCAGACGGAGGGCCATGTCGAAATCCTCGGACACGTGGCTCTCGGACCAGTAGCAGGTGTAATCGTTGTCGCTGGGGATACCAACGTCCTGGACAGCCTGCCACCTCAGGAAGGCGTTGTGGCCGACGAACGGGGCGACCTCGCCCGAGCCGATGGAGAAGCGAATAGAGGTATAGACCAGGTTGGTGAAGAAGGTGATGCCGTTCTCAAAGTAGTCGTACGCGACCTGCATGACGCCAGTGTTGTGCTGGACAATGGCGACCTCGGGGGACAGGAACATCTCGGCCGCTCCGTAGAGCAGGCAGTCCACGGGGACACGGGTGTCCGAGTCAATAATGAGGATGAGCTCGCCGACGCGGATGTTGCCCTCGGCCCACGCAAGGGGGTTCTCCTCAAGGACGCGGGCCAGCGCGAGCTGGTACATGTCTTCCTCCTCGGTCTCGAAGATCATGTCGTCCTCGCCGTTGGCCATGCGGGAGTCGATCATATCCTGGAGGTGGGCTTCGACCTTTTGCGAGATGTTGAGGGCAAAGTTCATGTTGGATGCCTTCTTGAACTTGCCGGCACGCTCAAAACCCTCTTCGCCGTTGTGCTTTGGACGCGCGACCCAGCCAATGTTGTTATCGTGGTAAAAGTCGCGGCGCTGCTGGCACTCCTCCTCGGTCAGGCCGGCCCGAAGACCGTCGTCGTTGACGAAGATGTTGGCGGTTCCACCATGGGACTCGTAGTAGGAAATGGCCGCCTGAAGAGACTTGACGGTGGGCATGATGACGGACTCCATGCCCTCCTTGTAGACGGGGAGTTGGATGGTGATCTTGGGCGGGGTGAACCCATCGGCGAAAGCGCGGCGCAGGCATGGCTTGTAGCAGGAGTAGAAGCGCGAGTTGGTGGTCGTGCCGCCAATGGGACCGATGATCTGGAAGATGTTGCTGAAGATGACCTGGAAGAAGAAGAGACTGATGCACATGAGGATGGGGACGGGCGCCAGCAGTGCCAGACGCGTGTAGTCGCCGTCTAGGAGAGTCTCACTGATGAGCTTGCCAGGGTACACACCCATGAGCAAGCACATGCCGAGACAGAGCGAGAGCCCAACGAAGAAGGCAGATGTGCGGATCACCGGTCGGGCGAGCGACTCGGCGCGGTCGTATGAAGGGTCCTTGTCCAGGAAATCCTCCTTGTCCTCCATGATGCTCATCGCCGGACCCTTCTCCAGACCAGGGGTCGCAGCACCAAAGTTGGTGCTGGACATGGCGGACGACATGATCGAGGGGGTGCGCGTGGCGGGCAGCGTGGGCGCCTGAAGAATATTAAACGGCAGTCTTGCCTCTCCCCATACCAGAGACAATAGACGCTCCTCCACCCGGGTCGCTTGGGGAATGATGTTCTGCAGATCATCCTGCCACACCAAGATCAAGCGCTCTTGACGGCAGATGCAAGCGTACTGAAATTTCTTGACGGTGGAAGGCTGCGCCAACGTCAGGGATTCAATGATCTGAAGCTGCGAGCCGTCCTTGAAGCGGAGCTCGGTCTGGCCCGGTGTGAGTGAGTTGAGGATGCCTTCGAGCATGGACGGCCTCATTGTGAGCGCCACCACGAGGTTGAGGCGGATGACGGCGCCTTGAAGAACATGGTGGACCTCGGCAGGGGCTGTGACATAGCTTCCTCGCGTCCTTCGCAGCAAGACGCCCACGCAGTCTTCTACGCTGCGCTCGCCACCCACAACCCAACCACTCGCTTGCATGCGCTTGTAGAGGTAGCCGATCATCTACCCGCCCTTGAGTCAGCACAGATACTAGAAGGAGGGCCAATTGGGCTCTGTGCGCATCACGTACGGTCTGGAAGCGAAAGTCATCATCGTATGTGATGCTCAAAGGGGTCAATCCGCCTGTCCTTGGCTCGTGCGAGACATCTGAGACGGAGATGGCTGCTGACGACAGGGCGCGAGGTGGTCGCGTGGGCGGACCCTGAAGCGAGGGTGAGGGCGAGTGGTCGAACATGGTTTGTTGTGTGAGCGAGTGTCGTGGTAGGTGAAGGGTTGGTTTCGGGAGAGATGCTCTCACGAGAGCGAACGTTGGCTCGAGGCCCAGAAAGAAGGTAGGAAACGATGGGTGAGTTGACTGAAACACCAAGAGCTAAGATTAAAAAGATATCTTGCGCAATGATGGCCCGGCAAAGAGACGAGGCAAGGAAGAGGATATGCCTGTGAGAAGGGGACCTAAAGGAAAGAAACAGAATGTGCTGTGGAAGTGGGTGATTCTAAAGAAGCTGCAGGTCCTATAGTCTAGGCAGACGGGCCAGTGCTGGACAACGACCAGGGCTTCAAGGCTGAGAAGCCGAGACCAACAATACGACGGCGTCAGGTTGCGAACGTGTTTTCAGTGCACAGCAACGGTAGGGCCCATCACTTGGGACTAGACCTTGACGTGACAGGTGGATATGACCGGGCTGAGAAGGCCCCAGCACTGCTCGGATCTAGGCGCAGTCAACCTAGCATCTCGTAGTCTTGGGTGTGCCATGGGTGATGATCCGGCAGCAGAGGCCGAGCTTTGCATGGGCGGCCGATAGGGCCAAATCTCGAGCATGGGAAAGTGGCCAGGGGTCATGATGTGCGCCCAGGGGTACGACGGAGCTGAGGGTGGGCATGATGCCCCCATGCTGGTCTGTTCACACAACGGTGCGAGCGGGAAGACTCGACAGGGATGAGGCAGCAGCGCGTATACTGCGCACGAAAGCCAAGGAGCGAGATGTCTAGCCTCAGCGCCTAGTCTAGAGTATTCACAATAGACTGGCTTGGCTACCCAGCCAGAGATGCGAATGCCCGAATGCTGTCCTCCACACTTTGCACAAAGGGACCGTTTGGTCAACGTCGGATAGGGGGTCTGCGAAGGAATCGGTTAGCCAGCGTGGGGAGCAGAGACCACAACACACAGCCAGAGACTAATTAGCACGACCTGAAAGACGAAAACAAAGAAAAAGCACGCGCCAAGCCCATGACAAGCCAGGGTCAGGACGACGTAGTGCAGCAACGGTGAGGTTCAGGCTCAGGTCGGGTCAGGGGAGGGGAGGGGTGTCCGGGGGCCAGTCTTGAGGATATGTACAGACCCTCGCTGAGCTACCTATCTGGTGGCCCATCCTGGGTATAGCGTCCGATGCGCGCGGATAGGAGATCTGGCCTGTCGTATTTATTGTGTGCCAGCCTATCGCAAAGCTCGGAGCAAGGGCCCGGTCGGGACGCAGACGATGCATGCTGTACTACTGCATGTGTGAGGTCTTGGGTGCTCGTGATAGGGAAATCCAGCGCAACGGGACCTCAAAAGACAACGAGGCTGGCGGAGAGCTGCGTTTCTTCTGTGCTCGGTTCGCCCCTCTCTTTTTCTCGCCCACGTAGACTAGTCTTCGGATGTACGCAGTGTCTTTGCTAGGTACTCCCAGGCACAGAGCGCTTCGAAACGTTAGGGCAGGCTTGGCCCTTGGGACCGGCGTCTTTGTAGTTGTGGATTGCCCGTTGTCAGCGCTGCACCAGGATTGGGTACGAAATAAAGAACAAAGGCTTTTTAATGGTTCAAGCCACGTTGTGCGCGGGTAAGGTCTCCACGATGATCCGAGCATGGATAAGACGCCCCCTGACTTGTAGAGTGTAGACTCGGAACTTGTCGAAGAATTGTCCGGGAGGGTGGGCGAAGTGAGGGCCCTGAGGCAGTGAGGGGTGTGGACGGGCCCAGCCCACTCTCGGTAGACGCATCCATGCCCCTGTCCATCATGCATCCAAGTGTATTAATTACAGCCCGCAGGCTGCTTGTCAATACGACGTTTGATTCCGTGGTCAACATGAATGTTGATTCGGGAGATAGATAACGCGGTCTGCAGCCTGCAGTCTGCATCAAGCAATATCTAGGCAGCATATCAGCTCTTGCCAGACCCCGTCGCGGCGCAGCCAGCTGAGAATCTTCTTGGGCTGAGGGGCCGTCGAAGCGAGAGGTTTTGATAGAGTAAGTTAGGCAGGCCCGACAACAATCTAGGCCATGGGTGTGATGGGGGATCGATCCAGTCCGGGTCGGGCGCGATAGTTTCGCGGTGGCTTCAGGCTGGCCGGACAAGCGCGTCTCAGGAAGAGAAGAAGCAGCATTGCCGGTGGGAAGAGTGCTGAAGGCGTGCTTAGTTCGTGGGCTAACTATAGCCTGGTAGGCTAGTACCTTGACTTAGTCAGGTACCAGATCGCCGAGGCAAGAGCTGCCAGAGTTTTCCAGGGACTCCAGGTCGGTCCGGCTGAAACTCCGGTCTGCGCTCCACCACCGCCAGCACAGTTGAGGCTTCCCTAACCATGCCGCATCAGGTCTAGCGTCAGAGGCGGTGCGCATCTTCGCCTATTGTGCGTGTGGTCAACAACCGTCAGCTTCATTCCAGTCCTCGCGATTCACAAAAACCCTCTATTATGCTAGACAGCGGCTCTCGTCGTCTCCATCTTGCGCCCTACGTACGTACCAACAAGCTCCATTTCCAACAACGGACGCACGACTGGACCTCGCTGCCATGTGTGACCGCCACGTTGTGATCGGCCGCCTGGCGAGCAACTATACGGTCCACATTCCAGTGAAATCCAGCTACCTGGCTCGGTTATTGATTGTTTGATTGATTGATTCATTCATTCATCCATTCATCCATTGATTCATCTAGAAGTCTGGGGCCGCCAATATTGTTCCAGATTTTCTTTCCAGATCTACAATTTGTCGCTAGCCATGACGTTGGTCACGATCATGTCCGTCTAGGGGTCCAACGCCAGCCTCCTCCCACCCAGCGCCAATGACAGCAAAATGTCTCGCTTGTCGCTTCGTAATACATCTGCATGCGCGCGCATGTATGCAGCAGCCACCGCCTGCCGCCCGTATCTTGATAGCCTTTTTTTTTTTCTTCTGCTTGTCTTTCTTTTTCAGCCTGCCTCTCCTCCTGCTCTGTCTGCGTCTGCGTCTCTTTTGGGCCTCAATTCATTGCCAGCTGATGCGGCTGGACGGACCCATACAATGATGCCTGCAATCACCTCTCACCGGGGTGGATATCACATCCGTCCAGCAGTGAACCTCACAAATTCAATGGGCAGAGATGCCAAGGCACCATTCGTATGCGTCTGTTTGCCGTGCCGCTCGTGGCCTGTCGCTGTTATCGCCCAGACGGCCAGCCAGGGCTCAGCCACGACTACGAGAACATGATGCACGCAGCAGCCCGAGTCCTTTCGAATCGTCCATGGCAATCGTCGCCAACAATTCGGCATCGAACTGTACAACAAAGCCATGATATTCCCCAATAGACACACTACAGGTTCCACAAAGAAACATCAACCCTCTCGAAGCTTGCCAAGTGGTACAAATCTCCCGTAGGGTCCCCGCTTGTCTGGGCTGAAAGGCTGGCGGCTGGCCTGGCCGAACCTGTGCGACTCGCGCATAGTTCGGTCAGTCAATAGCTCAGCTTGTCAAATTGTCCGTCTTCAAATGTAGCCTAGTTGGTAAACGTAGTTGGGGTGCCCCCGCCCTTCCACAAGCCTTAGACTATAGTGCCCAACAAGTTGCTCTTTGTTCCTGGCGCTTGTCTGTGCACGATAGAATCAGGTGGCAGCCACTTTGAGTTGAGGCGTTCATTCCCCTTGGCCTTGTCAGCCAGGATAGCCTGACTCGCCATTGACATCTGCGGAAAGAAAATTTAACTTTGGTAGTCGATTGCTCACAATCTCACCCTGGCCCTTGCAAGTTGTGTCCCTCTCTGGACTGGTGTGACCAGCGCCCAGGTCCACAAGTCGAGCAAAGGACGCCATGTCACCTCGTACTATGAGTCCATGACTACATAAGTATACACAAGCCGCTTGGCGCGTGTACGTACAGGTACAGAACCCTGCAGTGACGGGCTGTAGCATTTGCTGGTCATGACACGACGTGGACGTGCATGCGTGCTCGCAGGTTGCTATTTCGGTCTTCTTCGGCCACCTGCATGGGAGGGACACATATCATCTCGCAGGACAACTTATCTCGCAGGGCATAATTGCCAATATCCACATGCACCAGATCCTATCGCCATGTACAGAACAATTTATTGCTGCTTCTCTTGCAGGCGAGCTGAAATCAAAGTGCTTGGTATTATCATTTGTGCACGTTTCGTGCATTCAATGTCTGATTAGCAGTTGTTGTAGTATCTATCCCCATTCAAGGCCCAATGTGTGATCCCAACTGTAATTCCGTGCCCCAGAACGCCAAACCATTGATAAAATATAGGAGATTATTAGTCGTAGAACGAGCACTGCATCAAAGTTCCTGCGCGCCACACGCACCCTCCTGCCACATCCTCACCTTGCGGACCGTCATGCCGCGCTTGTCGCCCTCGCCCCAGGTCGGCAGCCACTCGTCCGCCGCGTTCCAGAACGACCACTGCGCATTGGTCGCGTCGTCGATCCACGGCTTCCCACCTACATTGTCACTGTGCGTTTGCACCGTCAGTAGCCGTAGCCATACTCGGAGGATGTACAGAGGGAGGGAAACTTACAGGAACCAGCCGTTGCGCGAGCCGACGGCCACGTTCATGATCAGGTAGAAGCTCTGGTCAAACGGTGCGTTTCCGGACGTGCTCTCGCTCTGCGCCCACGGGTTGGCCAGCAGCGTCTGGTTCTCGGCCATCTTGCTGAAGCCGCCCAGGTCGTAGAGCGGCCTGCTCTCCTTGAAGCCGATGAAGAGGATCTGGTGCACGCGCGAGTCAATGTAGAAGTAGATGTAGTTCTCGGTCCACTGCATGCCAAACGTGTGAAAGTCGTCCGAGTAGTCGCCGCGGCGAATCTGCTTGGCGTTGGTCGTGCGCCAGTAGGCGTCTGTGTTGTGGGTGGGACCTACATGTCGTGAATTGGTCAGCATGAGCTTCAAAAGCACAAGATAGTACAAACATACCCCAGTGCAGCGTGCCGTAGTAGTGGTTGCGGCCGCCCTCGTCGTAGCCACGGCCGTTGCCACGCGACTCCATAATGTCAATCTCACCACTCCGGGGCCACTGCCCGTAGACGCTGTCCTCGGGCATCATCCAGATGGCGGGCCAGATCCAGTCGCCCTTGGGCAGCTTGGCCTCGACCTCGACGCGTCCGTAGCGGATGCTCTTCTTGCCCTTGGTGGACAGGCGCGCGGAGCGGACGGGGGGGATCATGTCGCCCTCGTCCGGGTCGGAGCGGATGCGGCAGGAACTGTTGCGCTGAGACGTGCACGACCCGTCCTTGAGAAGGTCCAGCGTGTAGTTGGCGTACATCTGGTCCGTCGTGATCTTGGTCGTCTCGTTGGTCAGGGTCGGCACAATGTGAAGACCCTGGTCGTCGACGTATGTGTTCTCCGGGTCAACGGTCGTCCAGTCAAAGGACCCCGTGCCGAACCCGTCGAGCTGCACCTCGTGTGACCAGATGTCGAGGTCTAACTTTTGAAAGTCATCTTCATAGATGAGGCAGTACTGGTTCTGTCAGCCTCGACTCATGGGAAGCATCAGAGCAGATATTCAAGATGGGAGTGAAATAGAAGACATACCTCGCCCTGCCGGAAAGGCCACACGGTCAAAAAGGCAATGGCACCCGCGCCACCCAGTCCCAGCAACATGAAGACACCGACGATCCAGTTGTTCCATCGCGTCTTCTTCAGCGCCGGGTCACCGAGCCATGGCTTCTCGTACTCGCCACGCAGCCGGTAGCTCTTGAACTTGTGCTTGGCATCTGGGAAATAGCCATCTGCCGCTGTCGTCGTGCCCATGACGCCGCCTGACGTGCCCGATGAGCGCTGCGACTTGCGCGTGGGACGCTGGATGGGCGTGGCTACGTCGCCAGCCTCAGACATGTTGCGCTGCTGCTGTTCTGCGTCTGTTTAGCCTTTGTGACGGCGCAGTGTGCTGCGAGGACAAGGAGTTTTTTGGTGAATGAGAGGATGAAGATGGACTTGGACTGAGAGTAAACGAAGATAGAGGAGAAAGAGGTTCAGTTGCCAAGCATGAAAATCAAAAACGCACGGATGGTCGAGGGCTGAAGCTCATCCAGGCCCCAGTACGTATCCGTACTATCTGATCGGTGAGGTAGCGTTCAGGGTCCAGTCCTCTTGCATCCACGCGGACGGTCCATTCAGCAGATCTCGAATTGGTCGGCACCCGGCGAGCCCGCCCATTCACTGTAGGCGGAATCACGCAACGATAATTAGAACGGCGTGCGTCCACGTCAACCAGCGCGGAGCGAGGGTCGAGCGGCGAGCCCGTGTCCTGCAGGCCAAGCATCGTGGCTGCTGCTGCTGCTGCCCACAATCCGACCGGGCCAGGCGGCAATCTGCGTCTCGCCAGCCAGAAAGAACGAAAACGCTCGCCCAGTGAATTATCGGTGTCAGTGGTGAGACTGAAGCTCAATCACGCCGGTGCGTTTGTTTGCTTGGAGGGCTGAACTATCGATGGGGACAGACGCTAAGGTAAGGAAGGGGGGGCGTGCCGGTCAGGGGTAGAGATCTGACGGACAACGTTAGATCAACGCCCCCCTGGCTGCAGCCCGTCTTCCCCCTGGCTGCAGCCCGTCCTCCCCCCTGGCGAGCATCGCCTCTTTTTCAAGGTCCCCTGCAAGCGGCACTTGGGCAGAAAGTTCAAAGAAATTCAGACTTGCCTGCAGTGCTGTCACCGCCAGATCCATTCTGGCATTGCTTCGTGTTCGTAGGGTGACACAGCAGGCTGGCTGCCTCCCGCGCGCTGCTGTCCACCTGCTCACTCCACCTCTGATACCTCCCGTGGGTGCACATGGGACTGGCAGCTGGACGAGATCTCGGGTGTGGCTATCTGTGATCACCACCTTGATGCACCAGATCCGAGCCGAGTGAGACATTGGGCCAGACACACCGGTGACCTCAGCTGGTAGGCCAACAACGGCATGAGGCTGGTCACGATAACGCAGGCATATAGACACTGTGCCGTATATACCGGGCGCAAATAAGGAAGAAAGAAATGGGTATTCACAATGACTGTCCTGGCGCATTCCATGCGTCCTGCCGTGTTGCTCCCCGCCCGTCCTGTCCTGATAATGTATGTATGTCCATCGCGCCTCGCTCAGCTGCTTCCCAACCCAATGATGAAAGCACGCGCTATAGATGATGATAACCATTGATGACGGTGGAGGGCATACATGACACCCTCACTTCTTGGACCCTTGGCTTTGCTGACCCTGGCCCGGACCCTGGCTTTGCCGGAAAAGCCTCTTCGTCCCACCCACCCTACCCAGCTCGCCAAACTTGCTCTTGTTGTAATCCTCGACCGCCTGCGACGGTTGTTGAGGTGGGGGTTGTTGTTGCGGTTGGGGAGGCGCGTGGTGATGAAGCACCTGGTGGTGCGGCTTCGACCCGGCTATCTTTCGCTCGCCGCTTGCGAGTCGGACCTTTTCCTTGACGCTCTCCACCCATGCTTTGTTCTCCTCGCTCATCTCAACCTTTCTGCCCGTCGGCCCAGCCAACCCTAGGAAGGAGCTGTCATCCTCGACCCAGCTGAGACGGGAGGACGATCTCGAACGCGTGGAGCGGTCCTCGGACGATGGCGCCGGCAGCGGGCCCGGCAGCGGCCCAGGCGTAGTAGGCCGTAGACGGGGCCTCTCGTTGCCGGCGGCGCCCATACTGCGGCGCGTCTTGCGCACAGCTAACGGCGACATGGGCGTGGCCTCGAGTGCGGACGCCGGTCTGCTAGGCGGACTTGAGCGCATCTGGAGGCCCGAACCACGGGGCGCGTCGCTGATTTCCACCTTGGCGTTGTGGTTGCCCTTGGACCGCCTGCCATGGTGACTGGCATACTCCTTCAGGTACTCGCTGAGATCCGCCCAGCCACCGCCCACGCGGACCATTACACGCTCCCCGTTCTCCCCGACACAGCGGATGAACAACTTGATGGGGGCCTCGCCTGTTGATCGTGCGAGGTGATAGACCTTGATCTCCTGCTGGCCTCGTTGCGAACGTGGACGTGCGTTCTTGGCAGGCGAGAGTGTGAACGAGGGCGTCGTCGTGCGTGATGACATGTTGGAAACGCTTGACAAGCTTCTTTTGAATAAATCCTTGGAGGGCTGCTTCCGGAGACGGGGCAGCTGTAGATCGGGTGGGTTGAGATTGGGCGGCTCCGTCGTCAGCTTGATCTTGGCGGGGATGCTGTCGATGATATCGCTAATTTGCTGCCGCAGTTGCTGGTCGCCCGAGCTCCCGCGCCGCACGCTGGGGCTCGCCGCAACATCGGAGACCATGGATTCACCAAAGTACTCTGAGAAAGAGCTGTCTTCCACGGGTGTCCGTGGGAGCGTCGCGTCGTCGTTCTCCATCAAGGACGAGTCGTCGTGGGGTACGGCCGATGACGAGCGTGCGCCCGACTTGGCCATCGGCGGCGAGCTAGGAGGACTGCCTCCCTGTTCGGGCCTGGTTCTCAGTTTCCTGGGCCTGTTGAGAGCCGGGGACGCAGAGACCTCTGGTGGCTCATCAGACAGGAAACTGCTCGAGGCGCCGTGCAGCATGGTCGAGTTCTGGGAAACATCACTCTCGCGGCGGTCGCTGTTGATGAGGGGCGGGAGGTCCATCATTTCGGAATCGTCACCGATCAAGTCTGACCCAAAATCATCATCAGGGGCATACATGTCGTCCTCCACGTTCCACTTGTGAGATCGCTGAGGAGACGCGGCAGTCTCCTCTCTGATGGGGGTAGGTATCCGAAGGCGCGGGATCTCCTCGTAGGCCCCGTCGAGTGAAGCTGACTCTGGCGCATTCGCCAGCTGCAGCTTCGGCAAGTCCTGGCGTGGCGAGCCTGGGGGCTTTAGAGTGGCTTCCGATGGAGTGGTGGAGACTGTAGAGCCGTTTGACACTTGCCGGGCGTCACGTTTTCTCTTTGATGGCTCCTCGCCGTCCTTTGTCGCGATGGGCAGGGGCAGAGCGAGAGCACCATCGCTGGACCGTGGTTGACTCCCCTTTGCCCACGCTGTCTCTGCTATTCGCCGCTCGCTTGCAGCTACCCAGTCACCGTAGCCGTGCTCCACCGCCTCCATTCGATCTAGCCAGATGTCGGGCAGAGTATCTGTGAGACCCTCTAGCCGGTCGAGCATATAGTCGAGTGTCCGGGCCGGAATCGTAACCTTCTTCTCAATAACAGATCGCATGACCTGAAAGTCGCTGCGGGACAAGGTTGGAAGCGCATCGCCATCTGACCCTGTACGGCTTGTGATGGCAGTCCACCCTGACCTGAGTGCTACCTCTGCTTCCTCGATAGCACGCAACAGTCCGGGGATGTGCCGCAACACGACGACCCGTATACTCCACACTTGCAACAAGCCCGACAGCTTCGCCAGATTTGGTAATGTTTGTAGCACGATCGCGGTAACGACCGCTGTAAGGTCTTCCATACGGTTGTATGCGGCACCCGACATTTTCCCCAACCCGAGGATTGGTGTGGCCGGTCTCGATAGCGGCATGATGTGGTTCGTCATGACGTGTCTCTTGATCTCATCCACCGCCAGCTCGTCCAGAGCCGCGTGGACTTCATCTATCCGTCGTCCATATCGCGCAACGTAGTCGCTGCGCAAGCTGCCCATGTAGACTGCATTTTTGTCTTCCTCCGGCGTTGCTGTGGCGCTCACAAACAAGCGTCGGGCTGTGCCCTCTGGTGGCTCAAACCCAGCTGAACCACCTTCGCTCGGCCACGACCATTTGCTGAGCTCCTCGACCCATTCCCACACTTTTCGGCTGGCGGCAGCTGTACGGAGGGCGAATTCCTTCTCGGCGGCAGAGGCCTCGTCCAGACATGTTCGCAAGGGTTCGACGGGGTGCGTAAGAGCGTCGAGCGCCGAAGCAGGTGTGATGTAGGCGAGTATATCGTCCGATACGCGCATCGATTGTCGAGCTGGTGTCTGCCCACCAGACGTATGACGCTGAGGGCGCAGCAACAGCGGCGAGTCTTTCATGGTGTTGCGTGCTCCGTTCACAAATTTGGGGGAGTAGAGGCGATGTCTATATCGTTCTCGAGGCCCATAGTCGTTTGGAAAGGTAAGAAAAGTTGGATTCGTGTCGCGCGGCGCAGGATGTTTGGTGAGGGGGGGATTATTTCTGGTCGGGGTTCGGTGAAGGAAGATGGGGTCTCTTTGGCTGGAATGTTGGACAAGAGACCTATGACAGCACGTCTGACACAAGCAAGAGTGGTGCGCGCGCGGATTCTGGCGCTTGGCACAAGGTTCGGAGAGCTTTCAAACGGGCTTTGCGTGACAGAGGTGTACAGGGTCGTCCGACAAGGTTGTTGGGCAGCGCAAACAAAAGTATGACAAAGGCGTGCGTTGTAAGGAAAAGCAAAGTGTAACTTAGGTGTTTGTGCGTAGTAGTGCACAAGATGATGAGAAGAAGGACAAGGAAAGAGAGTGAATGAATGTGGGGGATGCCCGGGATGAGGCGCGTCGGATGCAAGGAAAGAAAAGGGAAGTGCCGTTTGACGCGAAAAAGAGACGAACGCGTGTGGGCAGGGGAAATTGAGGTCGACGAAGATGAGAGAAGTGGTCAAGGCATCCGCGTCGCCAGTTGGAGGAGGTCCCTAATTACCAGGTAATTAATGACGGGCCCACGGCCGGGCTCCGGCGGGTCCAGGTGGCTCCTGCCGGTTGGTCCACCGTCGGTCCCTGGATAGCAGCCGCCGCTGGCTTATCGATAGTCGATAACGGCGTCAGGGCAACGGCGTCAAGGATGCAAGGGACATGGACCTACTAGGACGATGGAGATGAAAAATTGATGTTTGCCTGGAGAGGCCTTTTGGCAAGGAGTATCTTGTTTGCGCTACAATTCGATCTGAATGATATTTGCGTGCGTCCTCGTCCGGTCTGGCTGTGATGTGCCTTTTGGGCTACCCTAGATCTGCATTGGCGCCTACGCATGCCATCTCTACATGTCACATGTGGAATCAAGAAGCTCAAGAAATTATGAAGATGGTTATTAGTGACAAAAAATGATGTACGTTCCTATTTACATCGAAGCATTCATGAACAGCGGCGTTCGACAAGCAAGGTATCACCGTTCAGGGGCAAACACCACACGTCGTCAACGCTTCCTTATTTTGTCTAACCTGTACTATGCGTATGCTCAAAGCCATAAACCATACCTGACGTGGACCCCAGACACCGCAACGCCCTACCCAATGAACAAACCAAATCAAATAACCAGACAGATCAAATAACCATGGGCCCATCCACCGCCACAGGAGCCGCCGCCGTACTCTCCGCCGCCGGGAACTGCAGCCACTGATCGACATCAAAGTCCGTGCCTGCCACGGCATTCCAATCAAACTCGTCATGGCCCTGCATGAAATCAAGGTCAAGATCCAGATCCATCATCTCCACCTCGGGATCACTCGCGCTGGGCGTCGGACCGTTGCCGTCCCCGAAATCGGTGTGGGGGGGACTGTGCCCGTTGAAGGGCGGCGTCAGGTCCAGGTCGGCCGTGTTGACGGTGGCCGGGGGCGCCATGGCCTTGCGGAGCTGCTCGACGGAGGAGACGGACATGTGTCTCTGGTCGTTGAAGAGCGACTCCGAGGCCGTCATGTACGGCGCGTTGTCCGGCGGCGGGGTCTGCGCGGAGAAGTCGGCGGGCGCCTTGTTCGTCGTCATATGTACGGTAGTATTAGTGGCCGCCGCGGCGTTCTGGCTCTGCACGTCAATGGCGGCCTTTCGCACGGCCGCGTCCAGGAAGCCCGTCGCGTAGTCGGCCGCGGCGTAGATCTCCCGCAGCTTCTCCATGACCTTCATGCACTGTTTGAAGCCCCGCGTAGCGCGCTGTGCTGCCTCCTGGTCGACGTTCTTCATCTCGAGGAGGTGGATGATCATGGCGGGCAGGACGACGGTGACGCCGGTGGTGGGGAGATACTTTTCGAGGCGGAGCTGGTGCAGCGAAGCAGCCATAAAGGTGATGTGGTTCGCCGCGTCGCGGACGCGCACGCGGGACATCTCCTGCGCCTGGCGAGACGTCGTAGGCGCATGCGTCGGGCTCGATGGTAGGAACTGGGGACGGTGGAGGGCGGAGATGGTTGTATAGTAGACCATGTGGAGTAGCGTCCTCTGCACGGCGAGCGTCGACTTGCCCCCTTCAATGTCCAAGGGCGTCAGCGTGCGGTACTGGCAGGACTGGGGCAGAGACTCGGCCCAGGCCATGAGCTCCATGTCGACGACCTGGACGCTTTCCACATTGTCGAGCTGTTTGTTGGGGAAGAGCATCATGGTGCTGTTCGTGGTGTTGTCGGGCTTCGTCTTGTCACGGATGAGGACCGAGTACTGCGCCTTGAGCATGTGACTGATGCACACACAGAGTTCTGCCTTGGCGATGCACATGGCGGCCAGTTCGCGTTGCATAGAGGTGTCGCGCATCAGTGTACAGCTGGCGGGGATGACGGTCACATTGTCCGCGAGTGGCTGGATCTCAAAGTCGGATTCCTCCAGCATGGGGACGTCAAAGTCTTCGTCCTTGATGCGGGTGGGACGTCGCATGCCGAGGGCGATGAGGCGGTCGCGCATGAAGCAGGACCACCAGATGCGCTTCCAGAGCTTCTGCTTGCGGATGGACATTGTCGTTGCGCCAGGGTTGCGATGGAGGCCGATGGTGTGGGCGAGCGAGATGGCGACGCCCATCCAGTGCCAGGTGTCTTTCTGGTCGTCGGGAGTCTCGTACCAGTAGGACATGAGGAGCAGGGCCTGGACCAGGACGAGGCGGTCCATCTCGTAGTCAAAGTCATAGAGGAGCTGTGAAGTCAGTTTTTGCTCTCGTTAATATGGGCAAGTCAAGTGTCTTACCCTGGTCTTCTGGAAGAAGGACTTTCTCGCCGCTTTGCGTGTGGTGTAACCAGCCTCCTTTAGGTACTTCATGTCGACAAAGGCGGATGCCGAGAACATGACGGCATGGTACAAAAACAGACTCGTCTGCCCATTGATCCCATCTCTTTGGTTGACAATGTCCAAGAAGTCATGGAGATCCATCAATGGCATGTACGGATGGACATACTCGACATAGCTTTGCAGCAGGGCATTTTGCAGGCCGACAGAGGGCAGGGTCAGCGCGCCCTTGATGTGCAGATAGCTCACATCCTCGGCGGCGATTCTGGTCGGAAGAGGTCGAATAAAGGCGGGTAGTTGCGAGGCGAGGTCAGGCTCCTCTAACGAGTTGAGAAACTGCGCGGTGAGGTTGGAGATGGGCTGGTTGGTGGCCGGGTTGGCGTTGAGCGGTGTCGGCGGGGGGTTCGGCCATTGTGGAGTCTGGGATTGAGGTGTTTCCACCTGGGCGGCAGACTGGATGCTTCTGTAGCCGGCGCGTTGGTCTTGTGGCAGTCAGCGATCTGTCTCTGTCATGTGCTTCTCTGAGGAGGAGTGAGGTGAAATTCAGTGTGCGTCGTGCGTTGGCATGTGAAGGTGGGGAAGGGAAGGAACTGGAGCACTGGCAGGTTCCTCCATGTTTCGAGGGAATGAAAAGTGGAGACCGATCCCAGGAGATGCGGAGAACGAAATCGGAGAAGCTTGCTTTCGTCATCCAGCGCACGCGCATCGCATACATGCATGCGACGAAGCAGGGTGACGGACACAAACTCCCGTACTGGAAAGAGGTACTCACAAAGCAAATTGCTCGATGTCTCCTGTGACGAGGCCAAGAGATCGACATCGCTCGAGATGGCGGAGCCACTGCTCGGTCTCCTCAGCTCCGCCGCGCTGTGGATGGGGACCGGATGCTGTGTCGACGGTCGTGCTGCTGATTTGCATCGCAAGTGCGGCGGGCCAGACGAGCTGCTGCTGTTGCTGGTCTGCTGCGACACGGGGGGCGTCAAAAGGTGTTTCCTAGCCGCTCATTAGCATCGCATGTCCTTCCATGGGTAGCACGGATGCACGTACTTCCTTCGTCGGCTCTCCTGGACATGGCACTGCGACACTCCGTCAGCCATTGCTCTGATCCTTCACATCACCTTACCCAAGATGAGGCGCGTAAATTGGTCAAATACCTCAACATTGTCAAAGCGACAGTTGGCGCAGGGCGACTCGTCGACCACGTTGCAGCGCACTTTACGGGCGCGGCAACTCACGCAGGCGCGCGCGGCTCGGCGCTTCTTGGCGGAGGGCTCCGTTGCGGAGGCTGTCGAGTCGGACCGCTTCTTGGATTGGGGTATCTTGTCCATGGTGGCGGACTGTGATGCGGGTGGTGGTGGTGGTGGTGTGCCAGCGGCAGAGGTATCTGAAGCGTCGGTTTCCGATGTCATTGTGAATAGTGTCTCAGTGTTGCAGTTCCCGGTGGAAGTTTCCTTTCAATATAATATTTGGCGGTAAATTGGTGTGGGTGGTTGTGACGTTTTCTGTTATTGCAACTGGACTTCCTTGTGTCCGTTCGTCCGTGAGGGTGTCCCGAGGCTACAGCCGCTTGAGTGATGGGTGATTTTTGATTTTTTTTTTCTGCAATTGCAAACAACAGCAAAAATGGTAGAGTGGAGAGTGTGTACAGCAAGTGAATGCGTACGGGTTCGCTAGACGCAGCGAATAGTCAGAGCAGAAGATAGAATGGTACTATCGAGGACTCGAGAGGAGGTGGACTGGTGTGTCGACCTTGAACCTGCTTACAGGTGAGTGAGGTGAGAGTTTGGAGGGGCAGTATCCGACTCCAAGAACGAGAAGGGGGAGGGAGGAAGACGGAGAATCCGGGGGTGGGGGCATGTGCGTTTATATGAATTTGAAATTCACTCTGTTCAAGAGAGACTCGAGCACTCCATAAGTGGATAAACATTCTGTTGCTGAGGCTTGGCCGTGCGTCGTGGTCCTGGACGGGACTCGTTTTGGAATGCGTGGTATTATGGGGCCGATGTACTCCGTACTGTACCATCCCATCCGGGGCAGGGGAGGGCCAGGAGGATGTGGATGCCAATTGCAACTCCAGTCTCCTGGTGCTTCTATCGGTGCTTGAACTCTGCTATTTAGGCTTGCATGGCTGTTTGCTTTGCTATACTGGCCTAGCACTCGTCATGAGAAGTGCTCGCCATGCACATGTACCAGCGTCGAAGCCCTATCCAAGTTGCGCACACGCTCGGTCAATGCCCGTGTCTGCTCCCGTGGGAATAACCATTAGGTACGGAGTACGTAGCAATTAGGCCCTGCGAGTAAAATCATCACGATGAATCGCGGCAATGCTCCACGAGACGTCCCACACCTTGGATGAGCCACCGCTGTGGAGCGGCCAATCATCGAGCATTGGTTCGAGTCAGGCGCTTTGGAGGAATTCTCTCCGTCACGAGCCTACGAGTCTCGCGATCATTTCCGGGGAACACAAGCCTCGCTTCGCTCTCCTCGAAACGTTTGCATGTGTCAGGGCAACAAATAGACTCATTGATGGCAATTAGCTTCATGCGTTCAACCTGATCTCAACGCAATGCCTTTACTCCCAGAGAGCACGATCTCCTGCTCGCGAGCATCTCACATGAAAGTCGCGTGTATGTAATGGGCAAGAAAGCTGCAGCCCACGCCCTCGTTCCCACCAATCATCAATTTCGATTCCTCACCATGATGAAGCAAGCGTCTGCTCTGCATGCTTTATACCTAATAAGTCGGCAACAGTCGGACTGCCGCGCTAACGTTATTACGACGTGCGCTCGATCCCTTTTTGCGTCCAGGGCTCGGACAAGAGGAACACACATGTCATGATGAACTCATCCGTACAACTACTCTACATGTAATTACTGACTGTATTACTATTCGCCATGTGAACCAAGTGACCACAAGTGCGCCCCAAGGTCATGTTCCTCACCGCTCACAAGAACTTTCCACGGCCCAGATCACCAACTTCATGCTCCGTCGGCCAAATCTCGAGTCGCCGGACCCTCACTCGGCCAGCCTTCCCGTCCAAGACGCGGTCAGCGTGTCCGATGATCCCCTCCATCCATCAAACAAGTCCGTCCATCCATGGACCATCCATCCATCCATCCCCCCTTTCGCGCTCCACAACTGCTCCCCGTCTCCGTCCGCCCACAGTGGACGGGGGACCTCTTGGCGTCCGCCGCTCGGTCACCGCGCGGAACTCCGAGTCCAGCGCCGAATGACCACCATCAAGCTCCCCCTTTCATCAGCTGTACCTCTCCAGTCCCCCCCCCGCGGAGTGCGTCCCCCTCCATCGAGCCCCGAGGTCTCCTTCAATAATAATCTGGGGCTTCGTCGAACAGCGCGAGGTCACGACCCGCATCTACTCTTGGCGAGATTCGACGCCTGCCTTTGATCACCACGATCCAGATCCGCTGCCGAGGCCCTCCCCCAGGACCCTCACCTGTCAAAAAGGTGAGCGCAGGTCCCCCGGGCCCCCGTCAGCATCGACACCATGCTCTCTTCATCGTGCCGAGGCACATGAGACCTGGAGAGCTCCTCCATCAAGGGCCTCTTTCTCCATTGAGAGTCCCTTGCGATCCGTTCATGGGTGAGCGCGTCGCTGGTATTACTTACTTGGGTTCGAACGAGCGAAGCCATTTGTCTCGACAGCTGCAGCTGGAAGCCTCGCTACACGAACATGCGCCTCATGCACTATCGTGCGATGATCCTGTCCGTTCGCGAGAACAAGCTTTCCTGCATACGTCAGTACAGCGCGGAAGATATACTAGTCATGATTATCATTAACATTCTCGCCTTTGGAGCTATCCCATCCCGCCCCTCACGGCAGTTGTCACCACCCACACACATCAATCAACCAATGCACCTTCGGCTCCGACCGAGGCTCCTCCCCCTCACCACCGCACCGGCGCCCAATGTCCAGAAGCGGTAGCATCTTCACCTTGTCGTCCCAGGCACACGTCACCGCTGTCCTTGGAGCTGGCATAGTTGATGATCTGCGCACATTGGCTTGTTGTGTGTGATTGGGTAGCTGTCAGTGATCACTGATGGCATCTCGCATGACCAACTCGGCCGAGCAATGTTCAGCCAGCCATCCCAGCATCGGATCCGGTCTCCCGCGCACGGCATGCACACACGGAACCGACGGACGGCAAGTGGCAGCGAACAATGCACTCAAGTGAGCTGCGCCAACTGCCAGGCTGTCTCTGCATCGTGTCTCTGTACAACAGTCACCACGAGTTCATGGAAGTGTCATCCGCACAAGCGTGCCGTCATTATGAATTATCCTGGTATCTATCTTTCTCTCCTCTAGCATGCTCTATAGCCGCCCCTTGGCATCAGCAAACGACACCGGGTCGTACACTTGCGACTTGATAAACGACACGAGGGCGACGTCGCCCCACTCCTCCCACTCGACCCATTGCTCCTCAGGCAGGTCGCTCACGCCGTCCCGCCGCGCCGCCTTCATCACCTCCCGCGCGACGACGAGGCTGGCCTCGCGCACGCGCTCTATCCGGGGGTAGATGAGACCCGCGTGGAGCTCGTCCGCCGTCAGCGACTTAGACAGCGCGTCGGCGGCCGTGTACACCATCTCGTCCGTCACGCGGGTGGCCTTGGCCAGGATGGCACCCAGACCCAGGCCGGGGAAGACGTAGACGTTGTTGCCCTGGTTGGGGAGGTACGTCACGGGTCCGCTCTCGCCGCCCGTGTTCTTGGTGATGGGGGAAAAGGGCGAGCCCGAGGCGAAGATGGCCTGGCCGTCCGTCCACTCCATGGCCTGCTCAAAGGTGCACTCGGCCTTGGTGAGGGGGTTGCTGAGGGGGAAGAGGATGGGGCGGCGGCCCGCGCCACCGGCGTCGACAGACCACTTGAGAGCACGGATCGTGGGCTCGGTGAAGCAGCCAAAGGTGGCGGTCAGGCCAACGAGGGCGCTGGGCTTGACGTACTCAATGACCTCCTCGAGCGTGCGGAACTGGCGCTCGCGGTTGTCCGTGCGGGCAAAGTACTTCTTGTGCTCCGCAAGGCGGTCGCCGCGGTCGTGGGTAACCAGACCCTTGGTATCGACGAGCCAGAACTTGTCACGGGCCTCCTGCGTTGTCAGGCCGCGACGGGTGTAGTACTCCATGAGTTGCTTGGCGACACCCACACCGGCGGAGCCAGCACCCATGAAGACGAGGCGCTGCTCCTCCAGGGGCACGCCCGAGTTCTCGACGGCGCCAATGTATCTGTCGTCCTTGTTAGCCAATGTTGCACAGCGATGACCGCAGCAGGCGTGCTTACCCTCCTAGGACCACGGCGCCGGTGCCTTGCACATCATCGTTGAAGCACCTGTGGGTGTTCCTGTACCGGTCAAGGTACTTGAACGCCTTCTCCGTCTCAAAGTCCTCGAATTGAACCACCATCTCGGGGAAGACGTCCTTGACGGCGTCCATGAACTCGTCCATGAATTCCTGCTGGACGTCGACGGGCACGCGACGCTGGCGCAGGCCGAGATATAGAGGATCTTGGAGGTTCGTCTCGTTGTCGGTGCCGCAGTCGAGCACGATTGGCAGGGTCTTGGAGGGATCGATGCCGGCGGCGGCTGTGTAGAGGGCGAGCTTGCCGATCTGCTACTTGTCAGTCTCTGGTCATCCGATAGTTGGCAGCCTGTATAGTACTGACCGAAATACCGACACCGTTGATGCCTAGATCACCCAGACCCAAGATGCGCGAGCCATCTGTCACGACGCAAATCTCGGGCTTCTTGCAGGGCCAGTTGCGCAGCATAGTGCGGATGCTCCTGCGCTGCTTGATGGAGATGTACAGGGCCTCTGGACGTGTGTAGAGGGATGAGTACTGCAGGCAGACGTCGCCAATGGTGGGGGTGTAGACGAGAGGCATGAGCTCGCGGATGTTGTCCATGACGACGCGGTAGAACAGGTCAATGTTCTCGGCCTTGAGCGAGGACAGGTAGAGGTACTTGTCGATGGGCGTCGGGCGCGACTGGATCATCTTCATGGCGCGGGCGCATTGGGTCTGATAGGACTCGATCGTGTGGGGGATGAGACCGGTGAGGTTCTTGTTGATGCGCTGGTCCGGGGTGAAGGCAAGGCCCTTGTTCCACTGCGGCTCGCGCAGGAACTGGTAACCCGAGGCCATGGTCTTGTCGAAGTACTCTGGCTCGTGGTCCTGGTGGACTTCGGCGTAGTGGTTCTGGGCGTACCCGCGGTGCTGATCGAGCGAGGCGGCCTGGACGCGCGACTCGATGGAGGCGAGGCTGGTTGTTGTGGAAAGAGGGTGGCTGGAAGTCATCCTTCGCGCGGCGGCGGCGGAGGAGGAGGAGATGGAGGAGGAGGGAGAGGAGCGACCCTTATGATGTCTAGAGGCGCTGGTCGCAAACGCGGGTGTGGGGGTGGGCGAGGCGTCTCTGAGGGAGAGGGCCGAGAGGCTTGGGGACCGAGGTGTGGGGACGGTGAAAATGCCCGAGGCAGAAGACGACGAAGCGACAGACGACATTGATCGTCTGGAGGATGCTATGCAGAGAGAGGACAGGCAGTGTGAAGAGCACGAACGAGAGGAGATGGTAATGGAAGGAAAAGGGGACAGAGCTCTGGGTAGGTGCGTGGCGGAGGACCGGCAGGTTATAAAGAGCTTGCTGGCCTGGCCGGCGACGACAGCAGTCTGACCCATCTTGGGGCGGGCGATGGCAATTAGGCGAGGAGGAGCTGAGACCGGATAATAGAAAGGAATTGAGAAACGTTTCGAGGGTCAGTCTCAAGCTCTGCCTGGATATTCCGAAGGGTGTGGGTTGCAATTGACGGGGACTGCAGGTCGCGCGTGCGTGGTTGCTGGGGCTATGGGGATTCAGGGTCTGTCTGAGAACGCGGACGGGGATTGGATCCGAGAGAAAGTCAGGCGCATCGGTGCGCGCAGACTGTTAATTAGAGGTGATGTCTTGGGCAGCAATGAGAAATGAGTATGGACACCAGACAGAAGCAATCCTTTCGTGACGATGGCAGAATGAATTGAAGGTGAGGAACGCCGGTGCCGGAGGCGGTTGGACTGGTACGTGTTACTCGCAAACTGAGTCGCGCCTTCCTACCGGTGAGATTGCGGCTTGCAGAAAATGCAAGCGAGAGCAGGAGCAACCGGCAGACGAATGAATTACAGCGACGACAGGGCGAGCCAGAGAGGAATCAATCACTGCGCAGCGACTGATTCGGTTTGATCTGACAATCTTTTTTCTCTTGCTTTTCCCGTTTTGTGACTCCAATGTGGAGACTCGGGTGCCCAGGTTTGGGGTAACGGCAGGGGCTGCACGGTCGTTGAGACCTCGAGACGCGCCGAGATCGCCCGTGCTGGGCAGAGGAAAAGGATTGGATTCACAGAGCAAGGGAGAGAGGGGCCGGAAGCTGATGATTTCGAATTGCGACCCGGCCCAGCGTTGCCGGTGTTGGGGTTGGGCTTGCTGGATCAATGTTAGTGAAGTGAGCGCATCGTCTTGGGGCTATGAGGCCAGGTCTGCGCTCCCAAGGCCTTTGATGCTACCAATTGCTGGTTCTGACTGAAGCTTCGTGGTTGAAACATAGCATTAGCTCGACTCCATGATAACAGACTCAGGCCCAGCCCGCCGCGACTATAGGTAGTCCTGCGGCTTGACACGAACGAAGCTTCACGCCGCAATGCTTCAACAACCGGAGCTCAACGGAGGGCCGGGCGCCCCAACCCCACCACAGCGGACAACTTCCGGCGCCGGGGGTCCCACCCCCTGGCGCCTGCGCGCCCCGGGATCGCGTGCTGCGTCCTCCGTTTTCGTGCCTGACGGACGGTGTCCGTGATGGAGCCATCCCCCCCCTTGCTACGAAAAGTGCACGTCGGGACATGTCCGGAAGTGCTGAACTAAAACTACCAACGTTGGAGACCGTGAGCCTGTGTGCGAGCATGGTTTCTCATACGTTCTCACAGCTCGAGAGGCTGAGACTGAGAGCTCGAGATCAGACGCACCAAGTGACAAACTGGACCCCTGCTCCACGTTACAACGTGCATAACGTACTGCATACGCGCATCGTCTCACCGGCGGTGAGAGCCTACATGTTGTATGATAGGTGGTTCTCTTTACCTCCCTCGTTTTCTAGCGAGAGCCCGCATCGATTGTGCGTGAAGTGATGACGGTGGGCCCAGCTTCCACTGGCCTCTATCCGTACTATTCGTTCGTGTAACATACTACGTATGTCTCAGCACCCATCCGAACCTTGCAGAAACAATGCGTTGAAGGCCCCGAGCTCTCCCGAGCTCGTAGCAGCGCTGCAGCAGAGAGGAACGAGTCGGATTCTGTCAGTCTGGGGATGGACGCACATGTAGCAGCATGCGGACGCCACGCGCGGCTCCATCCGTCTTCTGAGCTGAGCTTGTCCGCGTTGAGCCTCGGTGTTCTTGCTAGCTACGGTTCAACCAAGTCGCGTTGCTCGTCGCGAGACAAGTATTAGCTTGTGAAAGGCAAAGATCAGACCAGAGCGAGAGCAAGTGGCCCTCGGCAATCGTCCAGCTGCCCAGCATCCGGGCTTGGAGTATCTGTACGTAGGATCCCGATGACAGCGACCCGGCCTGCATGAGACCACAGACGCTCAACAATTTCCAAATGCTTGTCCCCAGATTCCAGTCGGACCAGTCCTCTCACCGCTCACGGTCCGTCCACGGGTGCATCGTCGGCTCGGCTGGCCCAGCCGATCCTCGTCACAACGCGGGGTGAGACGACTAGTAGGGCTGCCAAGTACGGGCCGTACTTTGTTCACATGTCACTCGCTCCCAACAAAGAAGCTCCCGTAGCGGCTGGCAGCTCAACGCGCATTGCTTGTCGTGCGAGTTCGGAATACCCTGGAGCCGATCTGATCCGGATGTCTGATAGCGACGTTGCGGCAGCAGCAGTCTACATCCCTCGGTTAGACGACTTGTTTGATGGAAGCACATGCAATTTCCTTCGGCATGTGGTTTAGATGGTGTTGATGAAGCGTATCCTTCTCAGGAGCCGTCTCTATACTTCACCTACCATAGGTGCAGCACCCCCTCCCATCTTTCAACGTCCCATCGAGTCAGAGATTCTGCCTCGCTGACAGCTCATCTAGTCAAGCTCGTCCACCAGCTTCTCAATGGTCTCGACCTTCTTGATCCTCCAGAACCGCTGCACGCCCTCGCCAAACCTCCTCGCGCTCGGCCCCACAGCCTCATCCTCCTCCGCCGCAAAGCACAGCCGGAAGAAGCGCCATCCACGCTCGGCGAGGATACTCTCGTTCGCGCAAAAGATGGTGCCCGGCGCCGCGAGTACCTTGTAAGGCGCCTTTGTCAGGTGCACCATGAGGGCCTTGCTCATCAGCGGGCCGTCGAGGACGGGGTAGGTGGTGCCGCGGGCGTTGAAGAGCGGGTGCGACTCAAAGTGCATCTGCAGCCAGATGAACATGCCGCCGCGGGGCCAGTCAAAGCTCATGAGCTTCGTCTTGGAGATGACGCCCCACTCGGCGTCTTGGTCGGCGACGGGCGTGGACTGCTTGAGTTGGTAGGCGTGCTCGTCGAGGAGAGAGGCCATGGTGTTCATGCGACGCTCGTAGACGCCGCGTAGACCAGAGAGCCAGCGGACCCAACCGTCGGTCTGCCAGCCCTCAAAGGACTGCTGCTCGCTGCGCGAGAGGGAGAGGAAGGATCGCGTGGCGGCGGGTGGTTGGGGCCCCATGATGGCTTCGGCCACCATGGTCTGCACAAAGCCCGAGGGCTGCTGTGTGGTCGTCTCTGTGATGCTGCTTGGGGGTTAGCACGCTGGCAGAAGGAAGATGATGGGGTATACGGACCGGAGAAGACGCTCGATAAAGGCGGGCTGCGCCGTGATCCAGCCCAGACGGCAGCCCGGAGCAATCGTCTTGGAGAATGTGTCGAGGCGGATGACGCGACCTTGGACGTCCATGCTCAAAAACGAGGGGACGAGCGAGTCGAGGAATTCGTATCCACTCGACTTTGTCGGCTTGTAGTGCTCGCGGATGGAAAAGGGGAGCTCGCGCGACTTGGCCTCCTCCTCGGCGGCCGAGGGGTACTGCAGGTACCAGTAAGGGTCGTCTTCCACGATGATGACATCGTATTCGCAGCACAGCTTGTAAATGTCCTTCCTCCTCTTGACCGACAGCACGCCGCCTGTGGGATTGTGGCCCATGGTGACCGAGTACATGAGCCTCGGCCGCGCGCCGTTCCTGGGGTCCCAGTTCTCCAGGACGTCCTGCAAACCACCCTTGCCGTGGACGAGCATGCCCTCGGCGTCGACCTCGACGGGGACCATCTGCGCGCCCTTGGGCCTGGCGGTGTCGGGCGCGTTCATGTAGACAAACACCTCGCACAGCATGCCGGGCCTGGCCTCGACGGGATCGCGGTCGGGCAGCCAGGGCTCCATGAGCATCTCAATCGTCTTGTGGAAGCCATCGGTGCTGCCGCACGTGAGGATGACCTCGGGCCCGTTCAGGTAGGGAACATGAGGGTGGAGGTGATTCCTGGTGAACTGGCGGATGAAGCTCCTCAGCGGTGGGTAGCCCTCTGCGGTGCCGTACTGGAGGCCCGTGGAGAGATCAATCTTCTTGAGCGGGTCGGCTTCTGAGTTGGTCTTGGGCACGGTGATGTGGGAGGCTGATGGCGGGCCAGGCTCGTTGGGCGTGGGATCCCAGCGCTCCGGTTTGGCGATTTGCGCCTCGAGGGTGTCAAAGGGGAAGAGGCTGACGTTGGGAAGACCTGCGTTGCTCAGCTGTCAGTCGGACGCGCGCGCGCGACGATCCTTGCTTGCTACATGTATGTTGTCTCGCTCTCCACGTGGGCATGCATGCTAATGAGACATACGCTCACGCTAATGAGGCGTTGACCTTGGTAGCGTGCTAATAGTACATCCAATGCTTATCACGTGGAAAGCTAGAAGGAAGAGGAGAAAACACACCTCCAGCTAGATTTCCTATCCCGGGGATCTGGAAGAACTTGTAGAACATCTTGATGGCCGACGCCTGGCGGTTCTTGGTGGCGCGCGTGAAGTGGTGGCTGAGATCCCGTGGGGGAGCCAGCGGCTCAGAGTGTGGCGTCATGTCTGCTTGTCGTCTGCCCGTGAGAGCCGTGTGATTTGATCCTGTCGAGAAGAGTTGCTGGAAGTGACGCAAAGTAAAAGAGCGAAAGTATGTGTCGAGGAGCAAGTAGGAGGTGGAGCAAGCAAGCAAACACAGAGAGTCAAGTCGATGATCGTAGATAAGGATCATGGACGGGTGAGCCTGACAAATCCAAGAGGGGCCCCCATCGAGGTCACTCCGTCAATTGCAAGGTATGGCTTGGCCGGGGTTGCGGAGTCCGCCGGACAAGGGACTGGACCCGATCTTTATACCGTAGCTGTCAGATTGTCTTCTGCCTTTCAGGCTTCATCTTGACATTGATCACCATGTCCGTCCGTGCACTGCGCTACTACATGATCGTCACCATGCACGCCAACAACAATACTACCATCCCCCTCATATTGTCCTCTCCGGCTCATACCGCAAACCCAGCTCGTCCAGTGTCTTGGCTGTGCCACCCGCCTTCTCGAAGCGCAGTTTCGCATCCGCGTACACCTTTCTCTCCCAGAACTTCTCATCATCCCACCGCGGCCCTTCTTTACCCAGAAAACTGGCCTGCGCCGCCCAATCGTGTAGCTCATTGATGTAGTGGCCATCCTCCAGCGGACTGAACACGTGAAGCGCGCTCTCTTTTCGTTTCTCCAGATCTTGTGACCATTGCCGCATTTCGGCTTTCGATGGCAAGGCGAGTGTGTTGGCCCAGAGCGCCGCGAAGACGGACGCCTGCGCTTCGGCAGTGGGCCAGGGAATGGCTTTGATGTTTAACCCCGGGAAAACCAGTGTCGGATGCTCAATGTGGATCAGGTGCTTGTACAGCCCGTGCACCCCTTTGCCGTCCGTGATGAGCCCAAGCTTCTTGTCTAGAAAGGGATAGCTGTACATGAACCCTGTGCAGAAGACGACTGCGTCAATGTCGGTTTCCACCGAGCCATCAGCAAAGCGCACACCTCGTTGCTCGACGAGGAACTCGCTGATCTGCGGCACTTCTCGACAGCCAGTATGCAAGAGCCGCTCCTCTGGCGTGGCCTCTTTGACGGACAAGAGGGCGGGCTGCCTGCAGACGCCGTTGATTTGAAGTGCGATATCCGTCCCTGACGGTCCATTCCCGACAACGACAACCTTCTTGCCTCTGTACATATCGGGCCGTCGAAAATGCTTGGAGTGGATGATGCTTCCAGGATAGCGCTTCGAGAAATCCTTGATATTGCTGATGGCAGGAATAAAGGGCGTGGCGTAGTGTCCGTTGGCAATGACAACGGCATCAAAGGTCTCATCAAGCTCGCCCTGCCCTATTGTCGAAGTAGCTTGAACCCTCCAGCGGTCATGTCCGTCCTTTGCCGCAAGGTCGATATGTGTCACTTGGTAGCAGAAGCGGATCAGGTCCCGGACATCCTTTGCGTACTCAAGCAAATAGTTTTGGATGTACTCTCGTGACGGGAACACCCAGGCATCTTTGGGGAACGCCTTATCGGAGAATCGCATGAGCTGGCCTGGGATATTGGCGTGCAGCTTGTGATACATTGGCGATGGGAATATCGGCGCCTTGCTTCCATCCTGCTTCAAGGGCTCATCCGGCCGTAAGAAAGGATCCTGTTGAGGAATAGGCGAAGGACCGGGCGTTTCCTCCTTGTAGTTCCATACGCCGCCCACCTCATCCTGCTGCTCCAGGACGGTGACTTGGCTGAAGGAGCCCTGCGCCTTGAGATATTTGGCCGCCGCGAGACCGCAGGGCCCAGCCCCTATGACGGCGATCTTGGAAACGGAGAATGCAGGCGAGGTGAGAGAGCCCATTTTATAGTAAGCGGCAGGTTCATGTTGTCATGGCCAAAAGGCGCGGATTGGCATGACGAGGCCTGGCGAGAACAGTGGTGGGGCTGCAGCACGCCTTGCCACACGACGGCACCTAAGCTTGGCGAGCATTGTGATAAGCCGACTACTAGTAACATCCATATGCCTGATTGAGTCTCTGACCCGGATGCATTCGCATTCCAGTACATCACCGAGAAACCGCGACCTTACCTGTCGTCATTGACTACTTAGTAGCACATCGGTACTAGAGCTCTGTGCTGAACTCGACGAACATCCCCGCTGTGCAGTTGCGCAAAGAAATCACATTGATGGGATGGGACAGAAGGCGCCTGGATGGTCGTCGAGAAACTATCACCTTTCTGAACCAAAATACATGTAGTAGCAAGAGATTGAAGTGAGAGCTCAATGCTGAGCGTGAATGACCAGCAGCTCCTTCACCGCCTTCCCAATGCGGCAGCCACCCGCGTCGACCCGTCGAGCTTCCCATTGACGCCAACAGATGCATGAATAACGATTCTTGACAAGCAGGTGACTTGCTTGTTGCATCCTCACCTTGACCACCTCACCCGCCCACTCGACATCTGCAATCGCACTTCCCCACCACTCCAACCCCGGCACGCGTTGAAGCATCGTCCACCACTCCACGATGGGTGCTGCCCTCGCTATCCGAAAGTGACGTGCAGATGCGCCAACCCACATCGCGACTCTCAGCTAATTGCACGCGACACGTCGGTGCGCCACGAACGACATGGACATCTCGACCATGACGAACGGCGAATCCGGGCACACGCCTATCGCCCAACTGGACCCCGATCTGCCAGACCAACCCAGTCGCTCCGTCCGGGGCGAAGTCACAATCACCTGGCCGTATAGCATTGCTACCCGCACAAGTGCGTTCAGACTCGTCGAACCCGACTTCCGGCTCCGCAACAACAAGGGCCAAATCCGTATCGAGTTCGTCGGTCCAGCTGGGCGCGCCGTGTCGGAGGCGGCCATAGCAAGCGGTGATCAGGTTGAGCTCAGCCTGGAGGGTGTGGAATGGCTGAAGGCTACGCCGCCCGTTCGGCCGAATACGAGCGAGCATGAACTCAGGTTCAAAAACAGGCTGCGTGCCAAAGTACAGAGAGCCGAAGGTGGCGATGAGATTGTGCTGGACATACACGCTGAAGAGGAAGAGGAAGCACCCGTACAGCCGCCCTTGGAGGTCACGCCGATGGACGATCCTGCTTCACCGGTCATGGAGCCACCGAGCTATGCATCTTTCACCACGCCGATTCCCACCACGAAACGATCCGCAACTCAGGCCTTCCTGGAGGAAGAGTTTGCATCGCCAGCATTTTTAAAGAGGGCAAGAGTATCCTACGGGTCCTTGTGGGAAGGCGACTTTGAGAGCCTGGATGACGAGAAGCCAAAGAAGAAAAAGAAAAGTCGCTTCAGCATGCACGCAAACTGGCGGTACACAAGCCGATCGCCTAGCCCAGAGCCGGGGCGCCGCCATGACTCGGAGGAAGATGGTATGGTGGAGGACGAGCACGAGGACAATGGCGAGGATGAGATCCCAGTGACCTTCATGAAGCTTCCGAAAGCGAAGACGATGATCGACGACGATGTCCAAGTCAGTCAACCAGCAGACTCGCCCGCAGCTGCTTCGAGTCCCCCGGCCCAACATGATCAAAGTGCGCCGACTGCGGATATGGCTGTTCCTCGCGTCTCACCACCCCCTGGTCCGGGGGCTTGGGGTTTGGGCGGCAGTTCGCAGCCAGCTGAAAGTGCGACAACCTCACTCGCATCACAACCCGAGGGCATCACAGAGGGCGCTGGTCCGTTCAGAGAACAACAGCCATTGAATACGCCACATGAACCTTTGACCAACACAGCCGGCCAGCCCCCGCTGAGCATGGCCCATGAGGATGCTGCGAGCACCTTGTTTGGATTCTCGGCGGCCCGCGAGCCGCAGCCAGCCCCCAGTGCACCCAGCGGACAAACCAATAATGTCTTTGCTTCGACCGAACTCTTTGGCACGGGCAATGTCTATCCTGAGCCAGATCACCACAATCTTCGCGAGCACACCAGCTATCCAGATTCCGATGACCGTGCACCTGCCGAGGACTTTGACTTTGGCATGCAGCACGACGTTGCTCCTTTTGCACCATCACAGCTCGAGCAAGCCCCTTGGTCGACATTGACGTCCATGCCACCTCAGATGCCGCCGCCGACCAACACAGTGGAAAATCCAGTCGTTCTCGACAGCTCCTCGCCACCTCGTGAGCCAAGTGCTGACTTGACGGGCGACAATATCAACTACCAGCAGCCCGAGGCAGATGCTGAAGCCGAGGAGGACGGGGACAACGCATGGCTGCCCCGCCGGTTTACTTTCGCGAGGGGGGCTGCCACACAGGGGACAGACGTCGGGAGCACAGAGGTGTCGGCACCCACGAGCCAACTGGTCGAAGACTCGGCAGAGGGTTCAGACGGGGGCTCAGTGGCAGGCGAAGACTACGATCTACGCAACTACGACACGGCCCAGGACGACGATGTCGTTGAGACGGACGGGGAAGAGGGTCCTCCCTTTGACCAGAATGACCCAGACGAGCAGGCTGTCGACTTTGAGGAGGAAGATTCGGCAGCTGAAGACGACGAGCAACCAGAACGGGACATGGCTGGTAGCCGGTCTTATCTGGGCGCTGAAGTTCACAAGGGCGAATTCGAGCAGGACGCAGGCGACTTTGAGGGGGAATACGAGAGTGGCAATGATTACGAAGATGAGGAAGACGACGACGCCCTGGGATATGGGTATGATGAGTCTGACGAGTTGGACGAAGATGATGAGGAGGAAGAAGAGGAGGAGGAGGAAGAGCCGCCTGCGCCTGCTGCCCCAGTGTTCGTGTCACTGCTATCCGATTCAGAGGATGATGAGCCACCGCCCCCGAAAACCGCGCCCACTCGAATCGAACAGGTGCAGCCATCGTTGGCAGCCGTTGAGCCCCAACTCGATAGGCCCTCAAATGTTCGCATCGAGGCTGAGGGAAGCGAGCAACAGGAGGCACCCACCGAGAAGGGCGACGTTCCAGCTCCTGCTATCTCTCATCAGACCGCAGAGAGTGGGGATGATGAAAGACATGACATGCCCGCTCAAGTTCCTGAGCAAATAGTCGTCAAGGCCTCTCGAGAACACGCTGAGGTGGCGGACGACGAGACCTCTGATCCTGATACGCCAATGGATTCTGATGTCGAGTATGACTACACTGACGATCGTGTGGATGGGCGACCCGATGCCACCATGAAGACGGAAACACAGAAAGATGCCGGGCAAGAAGAAGAGACGCCAATGCCGCCCCGCGATGAAGATGTGGGCACCGAGCGGAATGCTGACGCCCAGGTGCATCCCCAACAGCAGCAGCATGATGCACCATCGTCCCCTGTGGTCTTTGAAGAAGATCGAATGTCTGTCGACGAAGTGCAGCCCTCGGACAATCAGCCTGCCGAAGAGCAGCGAGGCCCTTCTGACAAGGAGGTACAGAATGAGGACCAGCCGACTCCTACGATTCCGTCCACCGTCATAGACCATGCAGCTGTCTCGGTCGGTCAAGAGGCTTCTAGCCCAGTGCACGCTGATCAGCCGGAGTTAATCGACGACTCCATGAACCTCATTGACTCGGAGCAGCTTCGTCAGAATGCAGCGCAGCTAGTAGAACAGAGCCTGGCTGCTCAAATCGGCGTGCAAGGTCAGCTGGGCAACGAAAACACAGTCCTTGAGGTCATGGAGTCTTCCGTCGTCATACCATCACAGCCTTCGCATGAGGAGCAAAATGCGCTGGGTTCGGAGGGGTCTGGAACGAAGAAGTCCGATACGGGCGACGTGGCAGACAGTGCTGAAAACGTTGAGAAGAACAATGAGGCTGCGGTCGAGGCCCAGCAACAAATGACTTCAGTCCCCCAAGCTGAGGCGGTTGTAGAGACACCCAAGCCGCGAGAGATTGCAACTTCTACCGCCGAAGCTCAACAACCTACGCAGGCAGACACAGAGTCGCTTGAGCGCGACGCCCCAGTAGCCAAAACCGGAGGCGATCAGCGGAACCAACAGCTACCGACGCCTCGTGAAACACAATTGAGTGAGGAAAACGTCGTGCACATCGACGATCGGGACTTGGAAGAGCCCGGACACGAGGAGGAAGACGAAGAAGAAGAGTACTCCATACTCGCAGAGCAGCAGATCATGTCCGAGTACGAATCCACGCAGAACCTTGAAATTACCGAGGCCAATGTCGCCGATGCCACGACGGATGAAGCCCCAGCCCCACCTACGGAGGAAAAGGCCTTTGCCAGCATCGAAGCGGAAGCGGCTGACGAAGCCATGCGTGAGGTCATTGGGGACGATCCGACGGAAGAAGAAGTCTTCGAGTACGTGGAACAACGGGCCAAGAGTGAGGCCCTGGAGGAGGTGACAGCAGACGAGCGGACCACCCAAGCTGCATCGCACGATGGCTCGGCAGACCAGAGCTTCAACGACCTTTCCGACTCTCAAGCTCATAGAATGACAAGATCAAAGGTCAAAGTCGGACCTAGCTCACGGCGGGAATCGGGTCTGTTCCATTCACTGCGCAACCGGGACCACCGTAAGAGCACACCCTTGGTCGCAGGAGAAGACGGAGATCGACCGGCTCTGACAGCCACGGCCCTCTCTCACCTACGCAACGCGCACAATGAGGCCACATCTCCACCGACAATACACGTCACGAGGAGTATGGGCAAAGACGCGAACTCAAGTTCTGAAGCCGAGCCACTCCCAGCCCTCCATGTTACTGGCGCGGAAGTCGAGGATGGCGACCCAAGCCTGCGCCTGGCGATGGCATCTGAGACGCCGACACCAGAGGCTAGAAGGCATGCCGCACTTGAGCGGGGGGCGGAAGCATCTCCCAAGACAAGACGCAACCGCCGAAGCCGGACGCCCGAACCAAAGTTCGAGACACGACAGGCTGCTTCCAGCAGTTCGCCTACAGCAGCGCGTCCTACTGGCCACAACCTCCGGAGCCACTCGCCGGCCATGGCAGAGGGTGGAAAGGAGAAGGAGACCATGACCAGCATCAAGCAGAAGCTCGGCAAGCAGCTTCGCGAAACTCTGCCTGACTACCTCAACCTCAGCAATTTGCGCAGTCACCTGAACCGGGTGGCCGACTACTTGGCCATTGTCACCGCAACGCCCGCGCCTTCGGAACGTGTTAAGAACGGACCAAAGGACTTTATGCTTGAGCTCATTCTGACAGACCCCTCCTCGGCATCTTCTACGACGGGATCGGCCGTGGTGGTCGCCAATGTCTTCCGTCCGCATAAGAAGGCCCTGCCAACCGTGCATGCCGGGGACATTATTCTGCTCCGGCGGTTCCAGGTGCAGGCCATGGCGGGCCGCGGATACGGCTTGCGATCTGTCGATGCTTCTGCATGGGCCGTTTTCGAGAAGAGTGACCACGATGGACTGCCGCAGATCAGAGGGCCACCAGTGGAGATTGACGATCCAGAGTTCAAGTATGTCGAGGGGCTACGGAGGTGGTGGACGATGGTTGAGAAGGATGAGAAGATGCTGGGCAAGGTGGAGAAGGCGGCCGCGGACAAGGCCAAGAAAAGCAAAGGGAGATGATGAGGCATCATGAGTAGAGACAGAGAGATATGTTGCTTTATGTGATGCCTGAGACTACATACCATATATGATACCCAAGTTTTCTCATGCAACAGCCTACCAGTGAACATGGGTGATGCACAGTACAGTCAATCACTTGGACGGGGCAAGACATGTTGATCATAATGAAGACAAATGAAATTGTCATAAATTGACTCTTCTTTTTGTGAGACCAATCCTGCAGAAGCCATTGACGCCTCCATAGTTCATCCATGCTAAACCCTTCCAGAAAAGACAAATCGTCCACCTGTTGCACACCCACCAGGCAGACCCTCCCATCGCAAGAGCACTCTCGAACCCGAGGGTACCCTTACTCCTTGGTGCTCTTCTGAGCCTCCTTGGCGTACTGGGACGCGTAGGGGTTCAGGCGAAGCATAACCTGCTTGTTGATGAGCGGGTTCTTCTTCTGCACAGCCGAGCGGCGAGTGAGAGCATCGCCCTTGGGGGCGTTGAGGGAGGACTGGATCTCGGAGGAGTTGATGAGACGGGTGAGGTCGGCCTGGGAGACGACGTTGCTGGGGAGGAGGAAGTCGCGCTTGTGGGCCGAGGGCTCGGTGGTGGAGCCGTAGATCTCGTCGAGGGCCTTGAAGGCGGCCGAGGTCCAGACGACGAAGCGGCCGAGGTGACCGCCGGGGGCGAGCTGAAGCAGGTTGAGGGCGGTGACGGGGCAGGACTCGACGCCGGGGATGTTGCGGAAGCCCTTGACGAGCTCCTTGCCGTCGACGGCGGGGTCGTAGACGACGAGGGGACCGCGGCGCTGGCGGTGGCGGCGGCCACGGAGCTTGCCCTTGCCGGCGCGCAGCTTCTTGGAGCCCTTGACCTTGTCAATGTCGGGGCCAGCACCGACAGCCTTGAGGATGGCGACGGAGCCAGCGGTCTTGAGGACGGAGCCGGCCTCGAAGATGCCAGAGTCGATGACGAGGGGGACCTCGGCGACGGTCATGACCTGGTGGCCGCGGGCCATCAGCAGAGGTGCGGCGGCCGAGGCGGCGAGGGCAGAGCAGGTGGCGTAGCGCTTCTGGCCCTGGTTGACCTTGACGTGCCACTTGCGCCAGATCTTGGTGGGAGCGAACATGCGACCGGAACGGCACATGTTACCAAAGGCGGCCTGACCGGCACGGTGAGTACCACCACCAGAGACACGGGGGATACGGGCGACGGCACGTCCTGTTGAGATCCTGTTAGCGTCCAATCCTTCATTTCTCGTCTCTCCGTTCTCGTCCCCCGGTGTAGACTAACCAGTTCCCCAGGACTCGGCAGAGGTCTGGTGACCAGCCTTCTCGCTCACGGCGTAAGGCTGACGCTTGTTCTTGGCCATGCCCTTGTGCACCTCCTGGACAATGTCCGGGCGGATGGGGCTGCTGAAGACAGCGGGCATGGGGTGGGTGTTGCCAGTGGCAGCACCATCTTTGCCGATGATGGAGACGGTAGGTCGCGAAGCCATTGTGACGGTGGGACTTGGACCTATTCGAAGCAGAGTCAGTATTCCGTTCGATCGAGTCCTTCTGCGTCGCTTGTCGACAGAAAAGAGGGCGTGCGTACCTCGGTCGTGATGCGGCGTTGGTTTGGGGGATGTCGGGGGGGATTCAAGGTTTGACGTTTGGCGGGCCACGATAAATTTCACACCAAGGAATTTTCGCTGCGTGGCTGTTTGATTTGGTGGGCGCCCTAAGAAGCACTGGCCCCGCTGGGAGTGGAGTGAGAGCCCTGCGCGAGGTGGCACGTGACCTTGGAGACTCTTGCACAGTACGTACTGTGCGCTTCATACTGTGCCGTGCCGACCTTTCACCGGCTGCCCCTCCAAGCGATGTCGGAGCTAGTGGCCACCCCGCCTCCATGTTCTGACGTGACGGGCTGAAATTCTAAAGTTGGGACTTCAATTGAGGCATCAACATACAGCTACACAATTCACAGCAACCATGGCTCAACAGTAAGCTACATTCCAATCCCAAAACCAATGGCATCATATCTGACAATGGCGGCAGCTCTGTTCTTATGCTCGGTGCGGGCTTCGTCACCCGCCCCACGCTCGACGTCCTGGCCGAAGCTGGCATCCCCGTCACCGTCGCCTGCCGAACCCTCAAGAGTGCCCAGGATCTCTCCGCTGGCGTCAAGCTGGCCACGCCCATCTCTCTCGACGTCTCGGACGAGAAGGCTCTCGACGCCGAGGTCGCCAAGCACGACCTTGTCATCAGCTTGATCCCCTACACCTTCCACGCCCTGGTGATCAAGTCCGGCATCCGCAACAAGAAGCATGTTGTCACCACCAGCTACATCTCGCCCGCCATGATGGAGCTCGACGCAGCTGCCAAGGAGGCTGGCATCACCGTCATGAACGAGATTGGCATGGACCCCGGTATCGACCACTTGTGTACGTGACATATACCCATCCATCCATCAATGCCTGCAGAAGCACGCTAACGCCGTAGGCAGATGCTGTCAAGACCATTGACGAGGTCCACCGCGCAGGCGGCAAGATCAAGACCTTCCTCTCCTACTGCGGTGGTCTTCCCGCCCCCGAGGACTCGGACAACCCTCTCGGCTACAAGTTCTCCTGGTCGGCACGCGGCGTCCTGCTCGCCCTCCGCAACGCCGCCAAGGTGTGGGAGAATGGCAAGATTGTCGAGATTGCCTCGGAGGATCTCATGGACTCGGCCAAGCCCTACTTCATCTACCCCGGCTACGCCTTCGTCGCCTACCCCAACCGTGACTCGACCCCCTACAAGCAGCGCTACAACATCCCCGAGGCCGACAACATCACCCGCGGCTCCATGCGCTACCAGGGTTTCCCCCAGTTCGCCAAGGTCATTGTCGACATTGGCTTCCTGAGCGAGACGCCCAGCGACGTCCTGAAGCAGCCCATTGCCTGGAAGGACGCCACGGCCCACGTTGTCGGCGCCAAGTCCAGCAGCCCCGCGGATCTCGAGGCGGCCATTGTCTCCAAGGGCAAGTTCGCGTCCGAGGAGGAGAAGCAGCGCATCCTCCGCGGTCTCCGCTGGATCGGCCTCTTCTCCGACGAGAAGATTGAGCCCCGCGGCACCCCGCTCGACGTCCTCTGCGGCTCGCTCGAGAAGAAGATGCAGTACGCCGAGGGTGAGCGTGACATGGTCATGCTGCAGCACAAGTTTGGCATTGAGAACGCCGACGGCTCCGAGGAATGGCGCACCGCGACGCTCGTCGAGTACGGTGACCCCAAGGGCTACTCGGCCATGGCCAAGCTTGTCGGTATCCCCTGCGCGGTGGCCGTCAAGCAGGTCCTGAACGGCACACTGTCAGAGAAGGGTATCCTGGCGCCCATGTCGATGGACATCTGCGAGCCCCTCATCAAGGAGTTGAGGGAGAAGTACGGTGTGGAGATGATTGAGAAGACCATCTCGTAAGCGCGCCGGCATCGACTTGCAGCAAATGAGACAAAAGGGGACAATAGATAAAGTAAAAATGATAGACTGGTGTATACCAACGCCGCCACCATGTAGCGCGCCCCATGAGTGAAGATGTCGTTATATCTCACCAAGTCCCATGGAAACCACTCCCCCAAATCAGGTGAAGCTTGTCCTGTACTATTCGTGAAACGCTATCGTCGAACGCTATACTCCAGATTCATCATCAGTCATATCCGTCATTCCCATTTCTTCCATTCGCTGATTAGCTTGGCAACTTGTTCCTCTGTATACGCGTCATCGTGCCCCCCTCTGTCAAGCTTCACCAACTTGGCGTGTATATCCATCTCCACCTGCATTCGCTCAATGACCTTGGCGCGCAGGTACTTGGAGTCGTTGCGCCGACAGGCCTTGCTGAAGATCTCTCTCATCCTCTCCGAGTACAGCTGGCAGGTGGCCAGCTGGAGTCGTTGCGGGTCCTTGTAAAAATTGCGCGCCAGGAGATCGGAGCTGATCCTCGGCCGCACCACCTCGTTAAAGCAGTCGCTGCACACGGTGAGCTCCGGCAAGTACTGCATCGTGTGCCAGTACGCGTTCGGTATCGGGGTATCTTCGCGGCACTCCTCGACCGCACTCAGCCGCTCGATCTTGGACGCGAGGGCGCTGACGTCGGGCGGCTCATTGTTACTCACGGCCCTGTCGGCTGTTGTTTCAAAGATGTCAAAGTATAGGGCAAATCGTCGACGCTGCGGCTTGAAATGCAGAGCGCACACACTAGGAGGGGGCTCGGGCCGTGAATCGGGGACGAGCGTCCCCATGAGGTTGGGAAGCAGTACCTCCAACGTCTTGGCGCATCGGTAGCAGACGGTGAAGTTCGGGACTGTCCGTCGTTTGTACGGGTCTCTCACGGTGAACCAGTTCCTGTGCGCCTTGCGGCTTCCAGGACACGGCTGGTTGCGTGACGCAACCGCAACGTTATCCACCTGGTGGAACAGCCTCAGGTCCGAGTGCTCGTTCTTCAGCGTGAGCAGGTACGCGATGCGATACCAAGGTGACGAGCCAAAATCGCACGCCAGCGGCCGGTCGGTCGGCCGCAGCATGGGTTGGAATTGGGTGCGGAATTCAGTGTTGGCGAATACAGCCTGGTAGCAGTCGGGGCATACGTTAAGGTCTGAGTGCGGGAGCGTGAGCCAATCCATTTTGCCTGCAACGGGCTCCTTGCGAGGACATTCCGGGAATCGAGGCATGCTATCGAGGGCGTGTCCCTCAGAATAGCGTCGGTAAGAACCCATGTCTTTACTCGCTGGCTGCTTGTCTGTCGGTACCCCGTCACGCTCGGGATCAAATGCTTGAGGGGGCCACGTATTGGAAGCGGCAGAACCCTGCGTGCCCGAGGCTGTGCTGTCGAAGCTGCTTTCCATTGGTACCGACGCTGGTAGAGGCACGGCCGGCGTGGAAGCGGATGGTGCTGGTTGGCTAGCATGCGGTGGTACGCGAGGTGGTCTGCCCGAAGCGATATCATCCGGGTACGGGCGATGAAAGTCACCCGCAATGGGGAACGTTGCAGAAGCCCTCGGGTACATGGGAGGTTCGCGAGCGCCCACCATGGGCGTGGCTTGGGTTGTCGCAGAGGGATCTCGTGAGCGAGATCGATCGTCGACCCAGCGTGCTCGTTCCTTTTCGGAGACATGGTGCGGTTCACTGTCCTGGTGCACCGATGTCGACTTGCCGCGCGGACGATTCGAGGTAGGTGCCGAGCTTGCCTCTTTCTCATCGCTCGATCGGCTGCCTTCCCGCCGTGGCCTGGGGCCCCTCGGCCTTTGCGAAGATGCTGTCACAGGGGTCGGCTCCTCAGGCCGTCTTGGGGGCAGCTGGCTCTCCCGCCTGCTGCCGCGGACTCCCAGCGGCTCGTCCCTGTACCTTGGTTCGCTCCGGTCGACAGACGCCTTTCGTCTTGACTTTCTAGCATCGGGGTTTGATTCCGAGCGCATGCCACGACCTGGGCTCAGGCTTTCGCGTCGCTGTGGCCTGTCTCTTCTCCGGTCATCGGTCAGGTTGGTGAAGCTCTTCTGGTGAGCCATGCGCCGCGGTCCCGTAGTGGACGATGCAGTCTCGTAGTAGACCCTGTCGCGTCGGCTGGAGCCATTCCTCACTGAGTCCGGCGTTAACAAGTCCTCCTTATGAGATACCCCGGGCCTTGCAGAAAAGGCCTCTGGCCGAGGACCAACGGCAGACTTTGTGCGTTCTTTTCGGTATGCTGTATCCAACGGTGGCAGATCCTGCCTGCTCCTTCTACGAGGATTGGCAGGTCGTGGCTCCGCCGTGAGGTTCTCGTCAAAGACAGGCTCATACTTGCGATCAGCATGTGGATTACGTGGCGGCTCGCTATCGGACTGGATCTTGCGACGCCTCTCCGCGTCTGATCCCTCGTCTTTGTTCTGGCTCTCCGCTGGTGCAGTAGGTGCAGTAGGTTCAGGCGAGTCGGGAACGAGCACAAAGCGGCGCTCGGGATTGTGCTCGTGTACCTCAAGGAGAATCGGGTGTTGCTCAAAGTCACCCCGCGACCGAGGTTCTTCTGCCGATGTGTCGGTGCACAGGGACCCAAACTCCTTGGCCAGCGCCTCTGCCTCGTCTTCGCATGTCGGCGGCGGTGGTGGTCGCGTGCGTGGTCGTCGCGGGTCCGCGACTGCCAATGCTCGTTCTTGTTCGTAGCGAGAAGGGTCGTCCGCAAGCACAAAGTCGAGCGGCGGTGGGGAGCTGTCTGATTGTGATGTCAGGGATGGAGATTGCCCGCTGTTGTTGGTGAGTGCGTTGCTCTGGTCTGCAGGTTGGGGAGGACCGCATACTGTTGCGCAGGCTTTGCTCGCGATGTTTTGAAGTAGCCATTCTGCAGAACGGCCTGAAGGTCGAGTTGTTCACTCATGGTGCACCGCGAAATGTTATCGTCGGGACGGGTTCCAGCATGATGATCGCCCGCCACGGCTACAGCGTCGTCTGCACTGCGATAGAGTCGTGTCCTCCACCGGGTCGCAAAGCGCCTGGATGAGCTTCTGCAAAGGTCTGTCGCCTCGAATGATTGATTGTGTGCAACGAAGCTGCTGCGGACGGCGTGGCCCAGCACAGCAGAGGCCCAGAGGGGGGGTATTTGGAGGATAAGGCGGAGGGGTACCAAGTAATTGCAGGCAAACAAACAAGGATGCGGGACGATGTGTCGGCAGAAGGAAACGATGCTGGCGTCACAAATTACCTTACAATTCATCCAACAAACAGCCTGTGTCAAGGGCGAAGATGTCTTGCAAAATATCAGGCAGCCCCAATTACGTGCATTAATCAATGCGAGCCACGAACGGTCGACTGGAGCCCTCACCCAAGCTACCAGGTCGCTAACTCAATAAGGCGTCTGTCTGTCTGATGGAGGGCTGATGACGTTCCAGCCTTGTTGACGCCCGACTGCCATGGATGATGGCTGCTTGGCTTGGCTTTGGCCTGTCTGGCCCCGCCCTCCCTCACCGGCCTCACGAACACGCCCAGTTGCCTTCTCCGCGACGACGTACCTGTACTTGGTGATATAATTATGCCGCCAAGGTACTGATGTGAGTATCGTACATATACCTCAAGTCGACCACCCGCCCGGCCAAAGTGTAGGTCAAGAGGCTTCCCTCTTGTGGTACCCTCTCGTCCACGTGTCTGTCGTACAGTAATACTTGCCGCGCGCCTGTTTGATCGTTAGGGCACCCCTTCCTGTTCCCTAGACTAGAAACAGTAGGCATATCTTCTCGGCCGGTCGACCGATGAACAGCGGACCAGTACACCGGTCGACATGGCGATTCGCCACATAGGCGATGACAACTGTCGTCGCCAGCAGCCCACTGGTGCTTGTGAACATCAACCAACCCTACAAAGCTCACGCACCAAAGATACACACAAAGGTCGACGACATGGCTTCCAAGAGCGGCGGCGTCACTGTGAGGACCTGCAATGCACTCAGACGCCACTTCGATATCGCATTACTTTCAAGTGAGCGCCTCAACGTCGAGACCTGGGTAACACACTTTCCACCAAGATCAACGTACCCTTTGAACGCCAGCGCAGATCCTTCAGCCCTGCGCCTTGCATGACAACCCTTCAGGCTTACTGATACAAACGTCAACCATGAACACTGTCAACCTTTGTCTAGGGGACACAGGGCAAATGCACCTGGTGCCCTCCTTGACTTGACGTTGCCCCTCCTCAATCTTCCAAAAGATCAGCAATGTCTTCGTCCTCTTCCTCTTCCCACCGCCTCTTCTCCTCAGCCTCGAGCATCTTCTTCAGCATGACACGCTGCCTCGTCCTCGCCTTGGCGCCCCAGCCAGACGCGCCCGTAGCTTCAGCGGCCTCCGCCTCGTCGTCGTCCACCTCCTCCTCATAAGGCCCGGCCTCCTCCCCGCGCAGCTGGTTGGGTGAGATCTTGGCCTTTTCCTTTTCCGCCTTGTCCTGCTTCTCCATGCTCTCGACCTGCCTCTTGCCGAGATATGTGGTGACATAGGGGCGGAGGAGCAGGTAGGCGCCCACAATGACGACGAGACGTAGCCACTGCTGGAGAGTCATGTCGTTGAACGCGTTGGACACGTTGCTACTGGCATTCTGACCAAACTTGAGAAACTGATAGGTGAGCTTGCCAAAGTCGTTCAGCTCAGTTTGGTCAGCCGGCGGCTGCTCCTCATGGCTGGACATTTTGGTGATGGTGGTAGTGTAGGAGGTGATACAGAGTCAATGTTCACGTAGTGTGAGGTGTGGTCGATGGCTTTCCCAGGGAGTCCGAAAATGCGTTAGGAGACCAGGCAGGTCCGTAGAAAAGGATGCGGCGTAAAATATTATATCTGTCGTTGAGTGAATTGGAAGGGCCGGAACAAACGCGAGGGCGAACCGCGTATTAGGAATGAAATATTTGGCTGATCTCTGATTGATGGATTTGGCCGAAAGTGGACTGCTCGAAGAGCGCAGTGCCGTTGTCCGATTCAACGGGACGGGTCTCAACAGCATCAAATTGTCCCTCATAGCCTGAGCCCAGCAGCAGACATTACAGTCCATTATAAGACTGCCGTATAATGTAGACTCCTGCAAGATCATTTGCCCCATCATTTAGTCAAGTGCGTGGTACCTGGTCGATTGGACTTGGCATCGACATGATCATTCGCGTGCTCACGTGACCTGGTAAATTGCGCCAGCAACTCGACCCCCTGCGCGGAACCAGCTTCAACGCCAGTCGACGATGAACTCTGAAAATTTTGGCGGCATCATCTCGACTTGACTTGACTTGCATCACCCTCCCCCACGGTCACTCCGTTCTCTCTCCATCTCTGTTCTTCTAGACCTTTTTATCCTTCTTGTAATTCTGGTTTCCTGTCTCTCGTCACAAAAATGTCGACGGCCTTCCGATCGATCGCCCCATTCTTGCGCACCGCGCGCCATGGCCTCAAGACCAGCAGCCCCCTTCAGTCGGCCTTGAGGACTCAGTCGACCGCGGGTCTGAGCCACGTCTACCGCACATACGCCACCTACGAGCGATCAAAGCCCCACGTGAACATTGGTACCATCGGTCACGTCGATCACGGCAAGGTAGAATCCACAACATGACCGGAAACACCTCTTGGAACACATAGACTCACATGCGGTAGACTACTCTGTCCGCAGCCATCACCAAGCGCCAGGCCGAGAAGGGCTTCGCCAACTTCCTCGAGTATGGCGCCATCGACAAGGCTCCTGAGGAGCGTGCCCGTGGTATCACCATCTCGACTGCCCACATCGAGTACTCGACCGAGAACCGCCACTACTCCCACGTCGACTGCCCTGGTCACGCCGATTACATCAAGAACATGATTACCGGTGCTGCCAACATGGACGGTGCGATCATCGTCGTCGCCGCCTCGGATGGCCAGATGCCCCAGACCCGTGAGCACTTGCTGCTCGCCCGTCAGGTCGGTGTCCAGAAGATTGTCGTCTTCGTCAACAAGGTCGACGCCGTCGACGACCCCGAGATGTTGGAGCTCGTCGAGATGGAGATGCGTGAGCTCCTGAACACCTATGGCTTCGAGGGCGACGAGACCCCCGTCATCATGGGCTCTGCGCTCATGGCCATGCAGAACCAGAAGCCCGAGATTGGTGCCAACAAGATCGACGAGCTCCTCAAGGCCGTCGATGAGTGGATCCCCACCCCCCAGCGTGACATGGCCAAGCCTTTCCTGATGGCTGTCGAGGACGTCTTCTCCATCTCCGGCCGTGGTACCGTCGTCTCTGGCCGTGTCGAGCGCGGTGTCCTCAAGCGTGAGGAGGAGGTCGAGATTGTCGGCAAGGGCGGTGATGTCATCCGCACCAAGGTCACAGACATTGAGACCTTCAAGAAGTCGTGCGACCAGTCTCAGGCCGGTGACAACTCTGGTCTCCTGCTGCGTGGTATCCGCCGCGAGGACATCAGGCGTGGTATGGTCGTCACCAAGCCCGGAACCGTCAAGGCCCACAGCCAGTTCCTCACTTCCCTCTACGTCCTCACCAAGGAGGAGGGTGGCCGCCACAGCGGCTTCCACGAGCACTACCGCCCCCAGCTGTACCTCCGCACATCGGACGAGGCTGTTGACCTGACCTGGCCCGAGGGCGTCGAGGACGCTCGCCACAAGATGGTCATGCCCGGTGACAACGTCGAGATGGTTGCTACTCTTACTTACCCCAACGCTATTGAGGTTGGTCAGCGCTTCAACGTCCGCGAGGGCGGTCGCACAGTTGCCACTGGCTTGATTACGCGCATCCTGAAATAAGCAAGCTTTGATGGGGAGGTAGTTGTACTAATATAGGAATGGCGGATATGTATGATGATAGAGGTTGTACGATATCAAAATCATGTACAAATGTACAATCACTTTCCCGCTCAAATTCAAGCATGTCTCACGAGTCTCGATCACAGTGAGTTTGTCGAAGGTGACCTCTAGGATGCACGATAGTACCGCGACACGCGTTTGGCCGTCATGCTGTCGCAATGAGGTAGTTCGACATGTCGATGTGGGAGCCCTGCTGCCTCCGCCGTCACATTGCTCGGATGGGAATCAACGGTGCACGCATCACTTCGATCGCCATAGTCGTCGTAATAGTGTTCCAATGCCATAGGATTCGTCTATCACCTCCGAGGAGATGCTGTGTGAAACGCGACTTCTCAAGTCCAGCAAGCCAAGTAACTCCTTAATCCGAAGCCCAGAATGCTTGTGCGCGTGGCTTTCCGTTCCATCGCGACTTTTCCCGCCGTCAATATCCGACCCCAGTGTTCCTCCTCTGCAGATTTCGTTTCGGTCGTTTAACGGAACTGTAGTGACGATATGGTCAGTGACTCGGTTCGTTGGTGGTGCGTTGTTTCTTCGTGGTATATGTACCTTGGTGAAGCCAATGTCCTTGGCCTTCTCGCGGAAGCACTGACGGCACAGGTTGAGGTCGTACTTGCGGACAAGACCGGCCTTGTGCTTGCAGACGCGGCTAGAAATCGAAATGTTAGCCCTCATGCAAGCGATAGTTGTAGTCCCAGATCGCATCCATTGCTGAACCCATCCATCCATCCATCCATCCATCCATCCATCGAATCGGACCATTGGGGAAGGGGGTGCATCGTACCAGGCGCGAGAGCCCTTGCCGTAGGTGCGCGGGCGCGAGTTCCAGACACTCTCGTGAGACATGATGGCGGTTTGTGTTGTTCGTTCGGGGTGAAGAACCGGCGGAAGTGTCGTCGTCGAGCGTTGGGCGTTGGGGTGGAGGGATTCGCAGAGGGCCAGGCGCGGGAAATTTTGTGTGAATTTCGTGGTGTCTGCAGTGCAGCCAATCCGGACTGAAGGGTTGGCCAACCCCGTGTGTAGCCCCACCAGTGTGCGTACCTGCACGTGACTATCCCGATGACGGTGGCAGGGGCTTCAGCCACAAAGACATGCGCCACATCTGATACAACCCAAACGAGGTCTCAGTAACACTGGCTCAAAGAGTCAAGCCGCTCAACGTGGAATTGTTTGGTTCAAGTACCTTAATACCGTAGCTCGACCTCTGTTATCTTAAGTGCAAAGCTCACAATGGCATCCATCGCGCATGAATCAACAATCTTGTGACTCTCCATCATGATCGACAGGTATTCTGCCAATATTAGGTCGTGCTTTATGCCGTGTCTTGTCTGGATCTTTGGGCGGATCGATTCCAAAGGGTCTCACCGCCAAGCCGCCCCGCCACCCCTACGTAGCTCTGTGGAGGGTACTCGCCTCAAGCTCCAGACAGCTGCTGCTTGTTGATTTCAAAGCGACTTTGAACTTTGAGTCGTCTTTCCCATTCCATCTTTCCTCCAATCTCGCAGCTGCTGTTCGTCAACACAGCTCCATCCTCTACAATGTTGTTGAAGCACTTCTTCTTCAGCGCGCTCGCTGCCACAGCGGCCGCCCGCTCCCAGGTCATTGACCTCATCCCTTCGAACTTTGACGATGTCGTCCTCAAGTCCGGCAAGCCCACGCTTGTCGAATTCTTCGCACCGTGGTGTGGCCACTGCAAGAAGCTCGCCCCCATCTGGGAGGATCTTGCTGTCACGTACGAGAACGCCAAGGACAAGATCCAGATCGCCAAGGTCGACGCAGATGCGAACCGCGAGTTGGGCAAGAGATTCGGTATCCAGGGCTTCCCTACTCTGAAGTACTTTGATGGAAAGAGTGATAAGCCTGAGGAATACAAGTCTGGCAGGGATCTCGAATCTTTGACCGCCTTCATTGAGGATAAGACTGGCATCAAGTCCAAGAAGAAGCAGGAGTTGCCCAGCGACCTCACCCTGCTGACCGACGATACCTTCAATGCTGCTGTTGGCCAGGATAAGCACGCCATGGTGGCCTTCACTGCACCCTGGTGCGGCCGTAAGTCAAACCCAAGTGGACAACTTTGCCAAGTTCGTAGCTAACAGCATACCAGACTGCAAGAAGCTCGCTCCGACTTGGGAGACTGTTGCTACCGACTTCTCCAGCGACTCCAGCGTCCTGATCGCCAAGGTCGACGCCGACTCTCCCAAGGGCAAGGCCACTGCCAAGGCTCACGGTGTCAGCGGATACCCAACCATTCTATACTTCGCTCCCGGCAGCAAGGAGGGCATCAAGTACACGGGCGGTCGTTCTGAGGAGGACTTGCTCGCCTTTGTAAACGAGAAGGCTGGCACCCACCGTCTTCCCGGTGGTTCCCTGAACATCACCGCAGGCACTATCGATGCCCTGGACGCTGTTCTTCTCAAGCTGACCGGCTCCAACATTGCCGAGATCTCCACTGAGGTCAGCGCTGAGGCCGAGAAGCTCAAGGAGACCGCTCAGTACAAGTACGCCGAGTACTACGTCCGTGTTTTCACCAAGCTGGGCGAGAGCGATACGTATGTTGCCAAGGAGCTGGCTCGCCTCGATGGCATCCTCACCAAGGGCGGTCTGGCCCCTGCTAAGCGTGACGAGCTCCAGAGCAAGGTCAACGTTCTGCGTAAGTTCATGGCCCAGCTCGCTGAGAAGGTCCAGGAGAAGGTCCAGGAGATCAAGGATGAGCTGTAGTGGATTCAAGGTTACATGCAAGGAAAGACATGAAAGACATCACGACGGCCGGATGAGTATACGAACATGCGAATGAAACGAATATACAAATTGATCAAAAAAGACTTGATGTAGGCCGTGATTTGTCATGTGTGTATCCCTCGTCATGCCGTGCCTTGTCTTCTCTAGACGCCATCACGGTTTGGAAGGGCTCCCTTGGGCTTCCTTCGCTTTGCTCTCCATCAGTTCAGTCTCGAGTTTGTCAATTCGTTTGGCCATATCATCCACTGCAAGTAATAAGTGTGAGCAGCGGCGTGAACGACAAGGATGTATGGCTTGCTGGAAACTAACTCTTGGCGAAGATCTCTGAGGAAACTGCGGCGAATTTGGTAGACAGAGTGTTAAGCAACTCGTCCACGGCGGCCGTCACATCAGGGCGAACTTCTTCTTGCTCCTGTGATTCTCAACAAGTCAGCATGTGTAAGTGAAGCTTGGCTCAAAAGGGTGGTGTGTTTCCTACGTTTGCCTGTTTGGCCTCCTCACTGGGCTGCTGGTCCGACATGGTGTGTCTCGAGTGCACTTGACGCTCAGGCAGGTGTTTGATGTGTGCGGTCAGATACGAGTGAGAGCACGGGAGGTACTATCGTCCAGGGATATTTCCTTAGCTGTTTGATTGAGGTTGGATGTGCCGCGTCAAGAACAAGTGGGACGTGCCCCCACGATTAGGCACCCCGGCGGTTGAGTAACTTGAGTACGGTGCAATACTACCACTAATATATACGCCGCGACGTACCTTTGTCTTTATACTTAGCCTAATATAAATCGCTGCCTTTATTAAATTCTATAATAAATAAATTAATTAATTATAATCTAGCGATTATATACTTTATTATAATAAAAAGGGAATTATATAAATATTTTATAGTTATTATGAAAGCGCCAACTTACAAAGATGATAATTCAAGAGCTCTCTTTAACTCCAGCATCCATGGACGAACTGGCTTCCGCCCTTCCCTCAGTTCTCTATAAAACGTCCTGAACGGCTCCGGAAGTTCGCTTGCGTCCAGAATCCATCATCGTCAACATACTCCTCGATGTACGCAATCATAGAAATTCCGAACGTGCCCACGGGTGTCCCCGCATCCCGTGCATATATTCGCATGAGTGCCTCCAGCAAGACATGAGACTTCAGGGCAACAACTTGGTCTCCGCCCTCCTTGAAGACGCCCGATCCCCGACCTGGTCGCCAGGGCGGGAAAACAGTATCGTCTGACGCGAGGACGTATTGCGGGGAAGCTTCGATTTCTTTGGGAACAGAAGCGAACCGTCCAGCGGTGGGAGGAACCAGAGGGTATCGGCTCGCGGATACAGCCCGACCGTGAATTCCGAGGCCTCGACGTGGACGTGGACAGCTGGAGCTGGTGTACACCGATTTGACGAGCTGGACGGGCAGGTTTTATCGTCTGGACACGGGGTGAGGCTCTTAAGTTGGGATAGGACTTTCAGGCCAGCCCCGGGACAATCGTCCGGGACGATGAAATCAATCGACTTGGAGCTTGTTAGCATAGAACCGTCCCAACGTCTTACTGGACGGGTTACCTACACCGACGACAGACGGCACGCCGTGAAGTATCAGGAGGTATTGACCCCAAAGGACACAGGGAATGTGGGCCCAGTTGAGACTATGCGCGATCGATGCGACGAATGACTCTGACAAGCTTGTCATATTCTCTCTCTGTATTCCTAGTATGGCCTGAATGGTATTAGAGGGCAAACAACTGATGATTACTGATTATAAAGGTGCCTTCCTATGGAAAAGCACGAAGCCCCGGTCGTGACCGCGTTATTGCAGGCTGGGGGCTGCTCACGAGTGACTTGTGCATAAATCCCATTACATGAATATTTTAGCCCAACAATACTTGCCCATGCAATAACAGGACTCGACATCAACGCGCTCCTCTTCATCAACTGTGCAACCGACTTTCGCGCTATTCCTCGAGTGCCGTGCGACTACATACAACAATTGCTCGACGCCTGCCTGCGCTACGTTTCGTTCAAGAACATAGTATGACGCATTCATAGTCAGCGTCGTTGACGCAACCGAGTCAGCCATCCATCATGTCTCGTCAACCCCAGAACACGGCCGGCTTCTTCATCTTCATATTGATGATATGGATGATATTCCCCGATACCGAAAGAAGCGCAGAGACATTTCTGCTGTCCGACCTAGCCGGCGAACGAATACAACGGTTCTGGACAGCACTGCACGTGCTCGGCGACACCAGATGGGGTGACTTTGCGCCGACAAAGGAGCAGGCCAAGTGGGTGAACCTGACCGGCTTTCGGCAGGAGGACGGCCTCTCTTGGGGTGGCCTCGATCACTTCCGTCAGAGATCACTAGACTTTAGCCGGTATGCTTTCTCTGCGGAGGGCGAAGAGCAACTATGGGATTCCGCCGAAGCGCTGCCGGTCTGGACCAACGCGTCGGGCACATTGCATGGGGAGTGGCATAAGACGGACGCAATTGCGCCACGAAGCTACGCGAGCCACAATCTGAGCGCCAGTATGCCGGATATCCACTGGGTTGGGGATGATGCGCCTTGGGCCCGCAACATGACAGGCAGGGAAGGCAGAATGGTCGTCATGCTCGAGGGCAACACAACAGACCTTGAGTACGAGCAGCTTTCGGTGGACGAGGCACCTTTGAGCGGGGGCTCCGTCAGAAGCATCAAGGCCAACGTGCAGATTGAAGATACCCACGGCTCGCACCATAACTGGGAGATGCGACTCTGGGGAGCTCACTGGCCGCGCAAAGGTGTCGTCATGCTGACGACTACGAGTGAGAAATTCCAAGGCCTGTTTGGATTACCGCACTTGACACCCGGAGCGGATTATTTTCGTTCGAGCCAGATGTTGTTGAACGAGACGCTGGCGCACACACTGAAGACGAAGGAGAGGGACATTTACGTCGACCCAAACCAGCCATGGAGCTCCGACGTGGATAACTCAATGTACACAAAGTACCCCTATCCTCATTGCGAATTTGTCATGTACGGGCAGCTGCAGCCTCCTACGCGACAGAGCGTGGGCTTGACGAAGCCCGAGTCTGAGAGAGAGGCGCTTGCGAATATGATCCATGCGGCCGAGTCTGAGTTGGAAGCGCCAGTGGGTGCTCCCCTTGGATCAATACCCGACATGCAAATGTCTGCTGTCATCTACTCGCCCGATTGTGGGTTCTTCCTTGAGACCAAAGGACCGCCAGACTTCCCCCCGGGGCAGGCGCACCATCTTTTGGGGTTGAAGAAGGAGATTCACCTGCAACAGGTGAAAAAGTGGCTTCTTGTCTTCGCCCTGGTTGTTTCCCTGCAGGTTTGGCTGCTGAGACGGCAGCGGGTCGAGTCGTCGACACCATCCACAATGGCACGTGTGAGCTTCTCAACTATGGGCATGATGCTACTCGTTGACGGCATGACATTCACAGCGGCCGCCACATGGGTATCGTCTGCTGCGTCGACATTTTTGCCCACTCTGGTCCTCATGTTCTCCAGCTTCCTGTCCATGACAGTGGGAGGTGCCTTTCTCGGCAACATTCACGATGTCCAGCTCCCAGAAGGCCGCGACCGTCGAGATAGGAATCAGCAGGTCAATGGCGCCTCTGGGGCGAACGATGCGACAGCGGATGCGCAGCCAGCAGTGGCGCCTACTGGGACGCAACAGGGCGGTGCTGAGTCCCTTTTGCCGGCGCCTGTGACGGCTGGCCGCCCGGCGAACACTGTCCCGGACCCGGTCATTGTCCCTTCTGATCAGGACATTGATGCTGAGATTGCTGAGGGCGCGGCCGCTGCTCCTCTTGTCGGTGCGAATCAGCAGCGTGCAGAGGCGCGCACTCCTGTCCAGTCCTTTCAGAGTATTGTTGGGCGCTTCATCCTGCTCAGCCTGACCATCAGCTTCCTGATCATCTCTTCCACCACGTGGTATCCATCGTGGCGATCAGGCTTCCTCAATGCACTGGGCTTCATATACCTGTCGCTATGGGTACCACAAATCTACCGCAATACGATGCGCAATTGTCGCCGTGCGCTCAAGTGGGAGTTTGTTCTGGGGCAGTCTGTCCTGCGGCTGCTTCCTCTGGCCTACTTCTGGGTCAAGGAGGATAACTTCCTCTACGCGTCGCCCGAGCCCCGAGCGTTCCTGGTGATGTGCACCTGGCTCTGGGTGCAGATTGTGATCCTAGCGGCTCAGGACATTGTCGGCCCTCGCTTTGGCGTGCCCGTGAGCTGGACGCCAGATGCCTGGGACTACCACCCGATCCTCCGCGAAGACAGCCTCGAGGCCGGCGGTCTCCCCATTGGCCTGGTCATGGACGACCATCCAGGTCTTGCCGACAGTGAGGAGACAAAGAAGAACCACAACACCCGGACGATTGATTGCTCTATCTGCAGGGAACACCTGGAGGTGCCGGTCATTAAGTCTGGGAACGAAGCCAGCGGAGTGACCGGGGCGCTCGCCAGAAGGCTGTACATGGTGACCCCGTGCCGGCACATATTCCACACCGCATGCCTTGAAGGATGGATGCGGTTCAGGTTGCAGTGTCCGATATGCCGTGAAGAGCTGCCACCCCTGTAACTGTACAATCTTGTATACCATAGCGCGCGGTCGGGTTCATAGCATAGCCCGCATCATGATACCCAACTTGACATTACCCATCCTCTTATATACAGACACCGTATGATACAAAACTCGTACAACGCAATGCGACTTGGGCGGCCCCCATTATTTCTTCCCCTCAGGCTTGTTGTCATTTTCGCTGCCCTCCTTCTTGCTCGAGTCCGGCCTCCAATTCCCACTCCAGACCTCGGCGATCTGGTCCATGATGATACCCGTCATGCCTTTGCCCTCCGCCAGCTTCTGCTCGTGCTCTTCCAGCCTCTTCTTCTGCCAATCCTTGCCCTCGCCGCCCATCCACACATCCTCCACCGCCTTCCGGATACCGCCTTCCTTCTTCTCCTGCGCTGCCGCTGCCGCCGCCGCCGCCGCCTCTCCCTTCTCCCGCGCCAGCTGCTCCTTGTGCTCCCGCAGGATGCGCTGCGTCTCCCTCGCCTCCTTGGGCAGACCGGACATGCTGTCGGCCATGGCGTTGGCGCGTCGCTGGAAACGACCGTAGAAGGACTCGCCCGTGTACACGCTCGCGAGGTGGTTGGTGGAGAGCGAGAAGCCGGTGAAGAGGATGAAGAAGCGGAGGTCGACCTTGCGGGGTGGGAGAAGCATGGCGGCCGGGCAGATGATGGCACCTGCGATGGCGGCGTTCTTGAGGAACTTTTCCGTGCCCTCGGAGGGGGGTAGCGGATGGTCGACGACGGGCATTGTGGTGGGACTTTTTACTGGATCGTGGGATGTTTCCGACTTAGTGGCAGCAGTGTGCATGTACGTATGGTTGTTTGTGATGTCGTCGTTTGCGCTGAATATTTTAGGTGATGTAGTTGACGACATCGACGACGCAAGGTTCGGTAGGGGACTTTTTTTCTACCAGGGTCCGAAGGCGTCGCGCCAGGACGCGTCGCATATAAGTAATTCATGAACAAGCATTTATTCCCTACAACAAAACGATACTATCAATACCTTGTTATTTTCAAGCTTTTGGAAATCAAAAGTTCGATCCCTAGTTTTTTTTTTTACTTTACTCGTTTCAACTGACACCGCACGGGCCAAAGACACACGTCCATGAATTTTAAACACTAGCACAGCAAACTTATTGCTGTCAGACTCTACCATGACATTAGCCAAGGAAATGTTGCCAAACTAAACAACCCTTTCGCTCGTTTTCTTTTGCACTGCCAGGGATGCTTTCTGCAATATTATGGCGACGCGCACGCGGCCCGAAGCTCATACGTATATAGAGTCGGGCGGCAGATGTAGGGTAAGTGGATGGATGAGGTTAGTATCAGAAGCAGCTGGCAACGTGCATGAGAGGTGCCAGACATCTCCCCAGCGTTCAGAGGTGACTATCATGCAGATCTGCTTTTGGAAACACCCTACGGCTCGAGTAATTGCTGGAGCTTCAACCAAGGTCCAAAACCGTGAGTATTGTCCGAGTCGGCCGCCAATCCTTCCCAGTCGTTGACATGCAATGCAATGCACATCGGGCTCCGGCGTGAGGTATCCACTTGGCCGACAGCCTGAGCAGGATCCGGCCCGGCTCTAGGTGATGGGGCCGGGTTCGGATAATCGAGAGTGTCAAATTGTCATTTCGGGTGAATCAGACCGAGTGTACAATCAGACCAGGCTGGACGATATTAAAATGAATCCAGTACGGGGTATTCGAGGTGCCTGAGGTGCCTAGTATGTTTGCCGAAGACCATTACTATATCCTTAAGAGTCGACCACTGTGCTCTGATTGGCCAGTATACCTTACCTACCCAGTGCACCTTCCTCTAGGCGGTTTACGGGGGAGTGCTGCTGCCTGAAGTAATGAGCGCCCGCCAAGTTGTCCGCCTCAAACGACGACCGACCAACATCCAAGTCGCTTGATATTTCGAGCTCTCCCTGCCTCTTCCTAAGAATGAGCTGGCGACTGGAGCTGTAGAAGAGGCCCAGTAAGCGATACTGCCCGCTGTCGCGGCCTCAACGCGCTGGCCTTGCCCTGGAGCGGCTCATCAACCGACACCCTTTTATTACCGGCAGATCACCGCGCGGAGGCGGAGTCGCTTGTTCAGATTCCAGATCTCACTGCGATTTTCAGCCGCTCGCCTCGAGCATACAGGGATCTCGTACAAACTTCACCCACCAGCAAGCGAGACCACAAAGAAGGGGATCGGTGACTGTATGGTACATGAACAGACGGTGGCAGGCAGATCTTCTTGTGGCCTGGCATGAGGAAGAGGTTGCACTACGTGTAGTTATCTCAGGGGCCTCTGCTCTCAACTGACGCCGTCTCGCGGACCAACCAACACCTTCCTACCAATGTGCGACGACCCGCCCAAGCAGAAACGTGGGCGCCAGAGCCGGCCAAAGGTCAAGACAGGCTGCACCAACTGCAAGTAAGAAAATAATCCTTGACCAATCAGATCGGGGAGATCTTTGCTCACATTAGAGCAAACAGGCAAAGGAGAATCAAGTGTGACGAGAAGCGTCCGGCATGCACTCAATGTGTTCGCAGCCACAAGGACTGTACTGGCTATCCTCCGCCTCCGCGCCATGCCGTGCCATACGCCGAGCTTCGTATAGCACCGAAGCCTGCCGTTGCCGCCGCGGCACCTACGCTGGCGAGCAATGCGGGAACATCGTTCCCGGGGCGCGAAAGGGGGCTCCCTCCCCGAAGGCTCAACCGCCAGCAGCAGACTGCACAGTCAGGCAGAGGAGGAGACTCGATATCGCCAGCGGGTTTCGCGCCATCGCCTGCCGGCAATCCATCACTCGATGTATATCGGCCTGCTAACAGCATCCCCTTGAAGGGTATTGAGATGCAGTACTTTGACTTGTTCCGGATTCACACAACATCAGAGTTGTCAGGGTACTTTGACTCCGTCTTCTGGACCCAGCGTGTCCTCCAAGAGTGCCATAGCGAGCCGGCCGTTCGCCACGCAACTATAGCACTCGGGGCACTCTACAAGACACTCGAGCAATCATGGCAATCACCGTCACCCACTGACGAGTCCAACCCGGTGCCGCCTTCGTCGACACATGACGGGAACGTCATGGGTCATTGGCAGGTGGCTGTACGACAGTACTCAGAGGCATGCAATGCCATGATGCTGCTCGACGGGCAAGCACCCGGCTCTCACCGTACGAGGCTCATGGCTAGTGTCTTGCTGGGCTCGTTCGACGCCTTTATTGGCGACCACAAGCAGGCGATCATCCAGGTCCAGAACGGACTCGGACTCCTGGCAACCCTGCGGCTCGACCGCCCCGGCCAACACAATTCGGGACTTTATGGCATCGAGGAGGAACTCGTCACCATCTTCCGCCGACTCGCTATACAAGCCAAATCCTACGATCTGGCCTTTCACTTTCAAGAACCATATGTCATCCGCCTGGACCCCGAGGAGCCTCTTCCGGAGAGTTCTTCGGCACCCTATCCTGAACGCCCATCCAGCTTTCTGTCGGCCCCGTCTCTAGACAGGCAATTTGCCAACCTGCGCGACGCTCGATTGGCATATGACCGCCTTTGCGAGCGAGGTCTGCGCTTCATAGAGCGACTGCACCAGATGAAACGGCACCCCTTTCCCCTCTTTCCGGCTTCATGGCGCCAGTACAGCCTGGGTTTCCAGACCGAGATTGACGACTGGAGCAACGCCTTCCGGCCATTGTTCGACTCTCGATTTTCCTCTCCCCATCTCACCGTGCAAGAAAGGTCCGGGATCGCAACGCTCAAGATGATGCAGATCAACATTAAGATTATCATGATGTGCCTGTTCAACAGCACCGAGTCCCACTTTGAGGTCTTTATGCCCCAGTTCCAGCAGATCGTGAGCCTCGGGCAAGAGATCATTGCGAACGACGAGAGGGAGGCACGGGACCAACGCTGTGCCTACCCACAGCGGTGTCTACACAGGCGATATGACGACCCGGCGGACGTCACGGCAGGGGGGTACACGGCGTATCATATCAGGCCGAGCTTCAGCGCAGAAATGGGCATCGTCCCTCCTCTGTTCGTCGTCGCGACCAAGTGCCGCGAAGGTATCTTGCGGAGGAAGGCCATCGCGCTGCTGCGTAGTAGTTCCCGACGGGAGGGCATGTGGGACAGCGGACTCGCTGCGCGCGTCGCCCAGCTAGTCATGGACCTCGAGGAGGCGGATGGCCCCGCGATGGCGCAGCCCCAACAGCAGCAGCAGCAGCAGCAGGGGATGCCGTTGCGTGTCGACACGTCTGCGATGGGGAGCGGCTATATCGTGCCGCACGGGGCATCTCCAGCCTCGCGCAACCGACCGATATCAGAGGAGAAACGCCTTATGATCCAGTCGATTGACTTTGACCTGCGAGCTAGGTTTGCTGACCTGCAGGTAGGGACGAGGTCTGCGGGCAACAGCATGGCAGAGGCGGATGACAAGAGGAGGCTATTGCACATTGTGTGGTGAGCATTTTTAATGGGTACAGAGTACCAATACCGTACTGTGTCCTTCCTAGGAAGTCCGCCTTTGCATATATTGATATATGATGCTAAATCGTGGATAGATAAGGTAGTCTAGTAGCACTAGCGGTCTTATCGAGGGTGATGTTTGTATAAAAAGGGGCTCGCGGGGCTAAGCGTGCCATGGAGTGATTGGCATTTCTGGCGAGGGGAGTGCTTTTGCTTCTGTAGTCCTTGTACTTTACTGTAAACTCAATTCAGACTTTATCGCACCTCACGGTCCACTCGGAATCGTGAGCCTTTAATGCGTCATCAAACGCGGAATGTATGAATGACACTTGTGACAGTGACACAGCGTAAGTGTGCGTGCATGATCGCGATGAACTTGTGGTGGTGGACCTGGTAGAGGACCTCCACATCCGCAGGCGGCCGTCTGTCAAAGGTATCTCCATCTCGTATGCTGCGCAGCAGCACCCTGCTCGACACGTATCTGAGCTGCGGCGTGTCAGTCATCAACATTGGGCGCGTATGACAACCTCAGCTACACATGTGCTGGTGCTGGACCAGTGCCAGCTGGTACCACAATGGGGGCTGTGAGCGTTTCCTAAAAAAAGAACAGGGGTTGTGACAAAATAATGCGGCTGCGAAGCCCCGATTGTACATGGGGACTGGTGTGGCTCATTATGTCCGGCAACACTGCCACTGTAGGCACGGAAGCCAAAGCCACTGGCGATCACTTCACTTCTGACGTTAGGCTACATACGTAATCTGGTGGGAGGGCCTCTCGCCCTGTTTCGCATCTCAACTCTTCTCCTCGTCAACTGACTTGTCCTCTCATTCTTTCCAAACTGCCCTTGCCCTCGGACTGACCTCATTCCGTCTCGTTCGCTTCCTCGCAGTCTCTCTTGGCGCACTCACTCTCGCTCACGCAAAGGCCCATCTGACGACGCCGCGCGTTACTGCTGCAAAGCCGAGCAAATCACGTCGGATCCATCATCCAATTGCGGGACAAACACAAACAGAATACCAGGATCCAACTTTTCCAGTCGCCAGCCAGCCTCGTAACCATTTTCACCGAGGCTGGACCCTCTCTTTCGCTCAAGGCGTCCTGGGGCAGTTGACGTCGCAACGCGCACTCATTCGCTGTGTCAGCGGCCGGCTTAATTTCCCTCTCGCCTTCGTTCTACAGCATCGGCATTCTCTAGTCGACGCGGTGCAGAGTCATGGCCTCCAACCAAGACTACTACTACTCCTCTGGCGCTCAGCAGCAGCAGCCAGGGTCCCATCTCCCACCGATACGGTCGCCCTCGCCCGTGTCCCTGCTGGATCCTCGCTACGCCAACTCACAAGCAGGCACGCCTGCGCCCTCCTACCACACGAACCCCTATGCCGCGCCGCCCTCCACGCTCGGCTACAACAAGACTCCCTCGCCCGCACCGTACCCACCAGACCAGCCCTCGCGCACGGGGCCGTCGCCCTTCGATACCGTTTTCGACGACAATGTGTACCCGGTGAACTCGAGACACGACCCTGCCGCCGCGAGCAACAGCGACATGTCGCAACCGGGCTACTACCAGCAGGATACGGGCTACTATGGCCAGGGACGCGGTGGCCCGAATCACCCAGAGGATATTCCGCTCCAAGACCACCCGGGGGGCAAATCAGGAGACCCTGAGATGCTCAACGACCATGTGTACGATACGCCCGACGGCTCGGGGAGGCGCAAGAAGAGGAAGCAAAAGATCGCGCTGGGCCAGCTGGGCATGATTGCATCGGACAAGAAGCGCATACCCTGGTGCGTCTACGTCTTCACCGTGGCCCAGATCGCCGTCTTCATTGGCGAGATTGTGCAGAACGGCATCCTCACAGGCTCGCCCATTATGATCAAGCCGCAGTTCAACTACATGATCGGGCCGTCGACGCAGGTCATGATCAACATGGGGGCTCGCTACGCCCCGTGCATGCACAACGTGCCCCAGATCCAGGGCTCCGACATTGAGGTCAAGTTCCTGTGTCCCAACGCCACCAGCTGGGATGAGACGTGCCCTCTGTCGACCCTCTGTGGCTTCGGCGGCGACGTGCCCGACCCCGTGTTTGACGGCAACGCGGACCAGACTCCGCAACCGAACCAGTGGTACCGCTTCATCATCCCCATGTTCCTGCATGCCGGCATCATCCACATTGGGTTCAACATGCTCCTGCAGCTGACCCTGGGACGGGAGATGGAGCAAGTCATCGGGTCCATCCGGTTCTTCCTCGTCTATGTGAGCTCTGGCATCTTTGGCTTCGTCATGGGCGGCAACTTTGCGCCGCCCGCGATTGCCTCGACCGGTGCTTCGGGTTCCATCTTTGGCATCCTGGCGCTCAACCTGCTCGATCTGCTGTACTCGTGGAGCGACCGCAAGAGCCCCGTCAAGGATCTCCTGTTCATCATTGCCGACATGATCATCTCCTTTGTCCTGGGTCTGCTGCCTGGCCTTGACAACTTCTCCCACATTGGCGGTTTCCTGATGGGTCTGGCCCTGGGCATCTCGGTCCTCCACTCGCCCAACGCCCTGCGTCTGCGGATCGGCCAGGACACGACGTACGCCCGGGTGACCGAGTCCGAGGCAGGCATCCAGCCCTTCCTCAAGAACCCCACGGCCTTCTTCAAGGGTCGTAAGCCCCTGTGGTGGGCGTGGTGGTTGGTGCGCGTCGGCGCCCTGATCCTGGTGGTGGTGGTCTTCATCTTCCTCATCACCAACTTTTACACCTCTGCGCACAGTTGCGACTGGTGCAAGTATCTCAGCTGCATTGTACGTCGGCTCTCGTCCAATTTTTCGGTGATCATCCTGCTAACAGCGACTAGCCCGTCAACAACTGGTGTGAGCTTGGCACCATTGAATAGACAAACTGTCATCTGTACAATAGAAAACAAACTGCAACACTCGGTCAATACAAGGACGGAGGCACTTTGGAGTAGACTTGTTTCCTCACAGCGTCGGCGTTCGGGACTTGGAGGCGGCATGACTTGTGGCTTTACCCTCCCTTTTCCGTATTGTTGGTCATGGCATTCGAGGTCAGGCATAGCGGGGACCTGCCCAGAAGAGTCTGATGAGAAAAAGAAATATTGCATAGCATCGCAATACAGAAATGATCACGTCTTCTGCTCATGATAGACAAGATGCTACTGTGTACTACACAGTGCGCTGTGTGATTGATTGCAGATGATCCTGAGTGAAGGCACTGTACCGGACTTGGCGCTGTTGCTCGTCGTCCCTATTTCAGCGCGACCTGTTCCCACACATAATTTTCCCCCTCGCAAGCTTGTTGTCGATGGACTCAACGCGGTCGCCGCAGCACTCGTCGAGCGCTTCGATAATCTTATTCGCGAGTGATCAATTAATTGGTAAGTCTATTCCGCCATCGACAGCCTACAATGATGATTTCTTCTTGCGCAAAACTACTGAATCCGCCCATTGGGTGCTTCTGTTGATTTACGAAGATTGGGTAATTCTGAGTACAGCTTCTGGCTTCCTCCTCCTGTTCTCCTCCGTCTTGTGCATGGACAGTTGCTGACAAGTCAAAAGTATTTTCTCATTTACTATGGTAATATAGAGGTCCTAGCTCGATGCGTTGCGAAAGGGTGGTTGCCATTCTTCTGAGCAGAACTCAGACTGCGCAAGCTCGTAACCGCAATTGCAGATACGATGGTAGATAGTACCTCAATACATGTTACTCTCAATTTATATGCATGTTACTCTCAATTTCTCAGTGCAAGTGAACAAGATGACCTCCAGAGACGCTCGTCAACCAGAGCTTCGCACAGCTCCTGATCAAGCCTAGAGGTGCCACCCACGATCACGTGCTCTCGAATCAATTTACGCGTGGCGGGACCCGCGCTCACGTCACGACACGCGAAGCGCGTTCCCTGGCCAAAGGTCGTGTCAGTTTCGTCTTGCCTTGCCATATCATACCATACAACCATTTGCGTGCACCATCAACTTTGGACCCTCACAGCTCCGGTCGCCTTTCCACCACGAACCATTCGATCGTCTTCCAATTGCTACCCATGATTCATCTACTGTGAACAAACCCTTTTCCTCAGCTTCGCTCTGCTTAACGGCAGCCATGGCATCGACGGTCCTCCCCCAGAAACGAGTTCTTGGCGAGTCCAAGACCTGCCAGAACATCCCCTCGACGCCCTCGGCCGCGAAGAAGCGCAAGACTGGCGATTTCGGCTCCTCGCCCGCGACCGCGCGGATCCCCGGTTCGCAATATGGCCCTCGGAGCAAGATGCCTGGGTCTAGTCAGCCCAAGAGTGCCTTTGAGTCCGAGGTGCTCGAGAAGCTCAGCCAGGACATCTCGTCCGCGAAGCAGAACAGCGCGGACAAGGACCAGAGCTGGGACCGGCCGCCCGTGGAAGACTTTATCCCCGCGCGGGACGCCTTGATCTTCCAGAGCATCGAGGCGGAAGATGGCACGCTGCACGGGGGCCGCGCGACGGTGAAGCTGTTTGGCGTCACGGAAAAGGGCAACTCGGTCATGCTGCATGTGACGGACTTCAAACACTACCTCTACGTGGCGGCCCCGGTGTCGTTCCAACCGCAGGACTGCCCGGCGTTCAAGGCGTACCTCGAGACGCAGGTTGCGCAGCACCAGCCTGCGATCCACTCGGTCCAGCTGCTCATGCGGGAGAGCATGTACGGCTTCCAAGGCAATGTGACGAACCCGTACCTGAAGATCACGGTGACGGATCCCAAGTACATTACCAAGGTGCGGATGTTGATCAAGGACGGCAACGCGAACTGGAAGGGCATGTGGAAGGCTGTCGACGGTGGTATCATGACGTTTGACAACATCCAGTATGTCCTGCGCTTCATGGTGGATACCAAGGTACGTGTATGGTCCCCTGACGCTGAACTCAATCTGACGAGGACAGTTGCAAGGCATGGCCTGGGCGGAAGCCCCCGCGGGCAAGTACAAGCTCATCCCGGACCACATTCGACAGTCCAACTGCCAGATCGAGGCCGAAGTCGACTACCGCGACTTTATCGCACACGAACCCAAGGGGGAATGGGTCAAGATGGCGCCGCTGCGTATCCTGTCCTTTGACATTGAGTGCTGCGGGCGGAAAGGTATCTTCCCGGAAGCAGACCAAGACCCCGTCATCCAGATTGCCAACGTCGTCACAAAGTACGGAGAGAAGAAGCCGTTTGTGCGCAACGTGTTCTGCCTGGACACGACCAGCTCAATCGTGGCGACGCATGTCATCGAATTCGACAAGGAGGAGAAGATGCTCAAGGCGTGGCAAGAGTTCCTGCTGCGCATTGACCCCGACGTGATCACGGGCTACAACATTGCCAACTTCGACTTTCCGTATCTCCTGGACCGCGCCAAGCACCTCAAGGTGCACGGGTTCGACCACTGGTCTCGCATCCCCGGCGTGGTGTCCAAGGTGAAGGAGACCAACTTTTCCAGCAAGCAGCTCGGCAACCGCGATTCGAAGACGACCAACACCAACGGTCGACTGCAGCTTGACCTGCTGCAACTCATTCAGAGAGATCATCACCTGCGAAGTTACACTTTGAACTCTGTCTGCTCGCACTTTTTGAACGAGCAGAAGGAGGATGTCCACTACACCATGATCACCGAGCTATTCAACGGGACGCCCGAGTCACGACGTCGTCTCGCGCTGTACTGTCTGAAGGATGCCTATCTGCCACAGCGACTCATGGACAAGCTCTCTTGTCTCGAGAACTACACGGAGATGGCCCGTGTGACGGGTGTGCCCTTCAACATGATCCTGTCTCGCGGTCAGCAGATTCGCTTCATCAGTCAACTCTACCGTCGTGGCCTCGACCAGAAGCTGGTCATTCCCGACCTGAAGCCAGAGGGCGGTGACGAACAGTACGAGGGTGCCACGGTCATTGAGCCCGTCAGGGGGTACTACGACCAGCCGATCGCCACGCTCGACTTTGCGTCGCTGTACCCCAGTATCATGCAGGCCCACAACCTCTGCTACACGACGCTGGTGAACAAGTCGGTCATCCAGAAGCTCAATCTCGTCAAGGACGAGGACTACATCGTCACACCCAATGGCGACACGTTTGTGACCACCAAGCAAAGAAAGGGGCTGCTCGCCCAGATTCTTGAGGAACTGCTGCTCGCGCGTAAGCAGGCCAAACGAGAGTTGGCGCAGGAGACGGACCCTTTCAAAAAGGCCGTGCTGAACGGTCGCCAGCTGGCGCTCAAGGTCACGGCCAACAGTGTGTACGGGTTGACGGGCGCGTCGCAGACGGGCAAGCTCCCGTGTCTCGAGATTGCGCGGAGCACGACGAGTTTCGGCCGCCAGATGATTGAGATGACGCGCGACGAGGTGGAGAAGAAGTTTACAATTGCGAATGGGTACGCGCACGACGCGCAGGTCATCTACGGTGACACGGATTCGGTCATGGTCAAGTTTGGGACCGGGGACCTCGCCGAGGCGATGAAGCTGGGCGAGGAGGCGTCGGGCTTTGTGACGTCCAAGTTTGTGAAGCCGATCAAGCTCGAGTTTGAGAAAGTGTACTTTCCGTACCTGCTCATCAACAAGAAGCGCTATGCCGGGCTGTACTGGACCCGACCCGACAAGCACGACAAGATGGACACCAAGGGTATTGAGACGGTCCGACGTGACAACTGCACGCTGGTGCAGACTGTCATTGAGAAGGTGCTGCGGATGATTCTCATAGATCGGGACGTCCCAGGCGCTCAGGAGTAAGCATCTCCTGTCCATGATTTACAATGTTTTGTGTCACTGACTCTCGCAGGTACGTCAAGGATATGATTGCGGACCTGCTGCAGAACAAGGTGGACATGTCGAAGCTGGTCATCACCAAGGCGCTGACCAAGGACGACTATGCCGCAAAGCAAGCGCACGTGGAGCTAGCGCAGCGGATGAAGAAGCGCGATGCCGGCTCGGCGCCCGGTCTGGGGGACCGCGTGGCGTACGTGATGGTGCGCGGCGCGGCGGGCGCGAAGAACTACGAAAAGTCGGAAGACCCTATCTACGTGTTGGAGAACAACGTGCCCATTGACACGCGGTACTACCTGGACAACCAGCTGGCGAAGCCGCTGGGCCGCATCTTTGAGCCCATCCTGGGGGAGACCAAGGCCAACTCGCTGCTGACGGGTGCGCACACGCGAACAATCTCTGTGGCGGCGCCGTCGGTGGGCGGTCTGATGAAGTTTGCCAAGAAGACGCAAACGTGCATGGGGTGCAAGAAGCCGCTGACGGGCAAGGAGGAGAGCGCGGGGGCCGTGTGCAGCAACTGCGCGCCGCGGGTGGGCGAGCTGTACAAGAAGACGCTGAATCGCGTGTCGGACCTGGAGGTGCGGTTCGGGCGGCTGTGGACGCAGTGCCAGCGGTGCCAGGGCAGCATGCACTGCGAGGTGATCTGCAGCAGCAAGGACTGTCCTATTTTCTACATGCGGATGAAGACCAAGAAGGACCTGGAGGACGCGGGCAAGGAGCTGACGAGGTTTGACGCGGACCAGGCCGCGATGTGGTAGGGATGAAGGGCCTCTCTCTGAGGTCTCCCTCTCTTGAGAGAGACAGCATTATATGGCGTTTGGAGCAGAGTATATTGCCTTGGCATGGATATGTTAGGCCACTGGGACCTTTGGAGTAGTTTATGTGCCTGAATGGCTTGCTGGAACCTTGGACATGAATACAACGTGTCATCTCATTGCCGTCTGCATGTGTGGTGAGGTATTAGCCATGAATTGTTCGCTTCGAGCTCGCGTGCGCAAACGTCCGTCCATCTTGGTGGGAGCTCCGATATCGCTGCCCGTAGAGAGTACCACCGGTAGCACCGAGATGTCCGAAGATAAACCCGCCCAGCGCGCAGGCGGGACGGATCGCTGAAATCAGATAAAGCAAGGTGATGGACAGGCACAAGGTCTCGACTGTGCGAGGGTAAGAGAATAAGTCGGGTGCGGCTTTTTCGACCAAATTGGCTCAAAGGACTTTCTTTTGTCTTGGCTCCACGACTCCACGCTTGGAGGAGCAGGAGGAGCATAGCTAATCGGGAACGTTTGATGCATAATAACTACGCAGACCAATCATTGAATAGAGCAGGTAAAGATGTAGTAACTCGCAAGAGGTAATATGCAGGGACTGGCTGGCTACGAGTGGCGTCTTGGAACAGCATTCACGTTGAAGACCTGGTAGTAGGGTATCAAGGTCCGACGAGCGGAGCGACGTCATCCATTCACGTACTACGTTAGATGGACCACATCTTGCTCTTAGTCGTGTCTCTTACTTTTTCTTTGCGTGGGATGATGGGGGCGGACAAGAACGTTATCGGGCTACTATGTCCCGTACCCTCTTTTTTTTTTTCATTGCCATTGCTTCTATTCAACCTGGTCGAGGAGGGATTTGCCTGCTTGGCTTCCGTGGAGCGATGATCGGAGCGCACCAGGCTAACGACGCTCAGCTACGTCCAGCCGTGACGAAAGGTTTCATGTCAACGCATCCGTCTGTCGTGGGCCTCGCTGGAGGCGAGAGATAAGAGCGCGGCGGGTGGGATGAATGGATGAATGAATGGGCCTGGCGAGGGCACATATAGATATGCCTCCATCACGCCCTAGGCTGGTGTGCCTGGATCTGCTCCTGATCCCTCACTCTTCTCGTTGACCTTGTCGTTGAAGCTCAATCGCTATCGCATCACCACCAACAGCTACAGAGCAGGCAAGGAAAAGGAAAGACAAAGAAGCCCAGCATGTCCAACTACCCCAGCGAGCCCGAGTTTGAGCAGGCCTACAAGGAGCTCGCGTCCACGCTCGAGGACAGCACCTTGTTCGACAAGTTCCCCCAGTACCGCACCGCCCTCGAGGTCGCCTCCGTCCCCGAGCGCGTCATCCAGTTCCGCGTCGTCTGGGAGGACGACGCCGGCAAGCTGCGCGTCAACAGGGGCTACCGCGTCCAGTTCAACTCGGCCCTGGGGCCCTACAAGGGTGGCCTGCGCTTCCACCCCTCGGTCAACCTGTCCATGTATGTACACCCTTCTTACCAGACACAATGAGCCCTACTGACCTGACCCCCCCCCAGCCTCAAGTTCCTCGGCTTCGAGCAGATCTTCAAGAATGCCCTCACGGGCCTCAACATGGGCGGCGGCAAGGGCGGTGCCGACTTTGACCCCAAGGGCAAGTCGGACAACGAGATCCGCCGCTTCTGCCAGGCGTTTATGCGCGAGCTGAGCAAGCACATTGGCGCCGACACGGACGTGCCCGCGGGCGACATTGGCGTGTCCGGCCGCGAGATTGGCTACATGTTCGGCGCCTACCGCCAGGCGCGCAACCGCTGGGACGGCGTCCTGACCGGCAAGGGCCTCACCTGGGGCGGCTCCCTAATCCGCCCCGAGGCCACGGGCTACGGCCTCGTCTACTACGTCGCCCACATGCTCGAGCACGCCGGCCGCGGCACCTTTGCCGGCAAGCGCGTCGCCCTCTCCGGCTCGGGCAACGTCGCCCAGTACGCCGCCCTCAAGTGCATCGAGCTCGGCGCCACCGTCGTCTCCCTCTCCGACTCTCAGGGCGCCCTCATCGCCACCACCGACGCCGGCTTCTCCGCTCGCCAGATTGAGACCATTGCCCAGCTCAAGGTCGAGCGCAAGGCCCTGACCGCCTTTGACCAGAACGGCAGCTTCAAGTACGTCGCCGGCGCCCGCCCCTGGACCCACGTCGGCAAGGTCGACATTGCCCTCCCGAGCGCCACCCAGAACGAGGTCTCGGGCGACGAGGCCAAGGCTCTCGTCGAGGCTGGCTGCTTCGCCGTCGCCGAGGGCAGCAACATGGGCTGCACCCAGGACGCCATTGACGTCTTTGAGGCCGAGCGCCGCGCCAAGGGCCAGCAGGCCGTCTGGTACGCGCCCGGCAAGGCGGCCAACTGCGGCGGCGTCGCCGTCTCCGGTCTCGAGATGGCCCAGAACTCGCAGCGCTACTCGTGGACCCAGGAGGAGGTCGACCGCAAGCTGCAGGAGATTATGAAGTCGGCCTTTGACGACGGCCTCGCCACCGCCAAGGAGTACGTCAAGGCCGCCGACGGCGAGCTGCCCAGCCTCGTGGCCGGCAGCAACATTGCCGGCTTCATCAAGGTCGTGCGCGCCATGCACGATCAGGGCGACTGGTTTGCCTGAGCTGGCTCTTTCCTTCTTGTTTTCTTGCTTTTCTTTCTAGACATGGAATTCGGGCACAGAGCGTGGTAGATGGAACATGGAAGGCGTTTGGCGCAGGCAGGTGGCTGGGCATGGCCCTGGACAACGATATCACATAGATCGATAGATGACAATGACCTTGATCACGACTATTCTCAGTCAAGCACGTGAGTCTCCAAGACGAGAGCGTGGTGAATACCCCGGACCGTATCCCCGCATTGACCCCAACGGGGATCCCTCCATCCTCCTCCTCCTCCTCCTCCTCCTCACGAGCCTCGGCAACAGTCGCGGTTATTCAATTCCGTGGCATAAATGAAAGATCCCATCATGCCAATAATTCGCTGATGAAGTAAACATCAACACTCACTTCAGCGCCCTGATCCATCGACAACCATGGCGTCAGCACCGCCTCTCACGGGCATCAAGGTCCTCGAGTTCGCCGGCCTCGCGCCTGGTGAGTCTAAGCATGATAAAGAAAACAAGAGCCACCACTGACAACAAAAAGGCCCCTTTGCGGGCATGCTCCTTGCCGACGCGGGCGCATCCGTCCTCCGCATCGACCGCGCCATCCCCGACAAGACACACCACCCGTCACACCCTCCACCGCCCACGGGCGACTTGCTCGTGCGGCACAAGACCTCTGTGGCCGTCAATCTCAAGGATCCCGCCGGCGTCGCCCTCGTCAAGCGTCTCGCCGCCCAGTCTGACGTCCTCATCGACCCCTTCCGTCCAGGCGTCCTCGAGAAGCTCGGGCTCGGCCCAGACGTCCTGCTCGCCCTCCATCCGGGCCTCATCTACGGTCGCATGACGGGGTTCCGTCGAGACGGACGGTACAAGGACATGGCCGGCCACGATATCAACTACCTCGCCGTGTCCGGTGCCCTTAACCTCCTCGGTAGAGACGGCGAGAAGCCCCATCCGCCCTGGAACATCCTCGCTGACTTCGCCGGTGGCGGCGCCATGCTCTTCCAAGGCGTCCTCCTCGCCCTCGCCGCGCGTCACGCCTCGGGGCGAGGCCAGGTCGTCGAGGCCAACATGGTCGACGGCGCGTCGTACCTGGCCACGTTCCCCCGGATGGCGCTCAAGACACCATTCGGCGACAAGGGGCGTGGCAGGAACATGCTCGACGGCGGCTGTCCGTGGTACGACACCTACGAGACCAAGGATGGCGGGTACATGTCCGTTGGCGCGCTGGAGCCGCACTTCTTCGCCATCCTGATGAAGGGCCTCGGTCTGGACGGGCAGGGGTGGGAAGAGAGCCGAGTCGACGAGAGCCGGTGGCCTGAACTCAAGGCCCTGTATGAGAAGACGTTTAAGAGCAAGACACGAAAGGAGTGGGAGGACATCTTTGACGGCACGGATGCCTGCTGCACGCCTGTCCTGGGCTACCACGAGTTGGAGACGCAGTCGGGGCGCGAGGGCGATCAGAGACCGGCCGTGACCTTGCGAGGCACGCCTTGCCTGGCGGTGCATCAGAAGTCTGACCCCAGTGGCGCGCGGGGACAGGGTAAAGGTGTCGAGGGAGGTGGCTACACGGGCTTCGCGCTGGGTGCGGGTGAAGGAGGCGAGGAGACGCTCAAACAATGGGCTGGATGGGTGCGCGGACGGGAGTATGATGTGGAAAAGGGCGGTCTGGTGCTCAAGGGTAAAGCTCGCCTGTAAAGTAGATACACAATGATAACCAAGCCTTTTACATACACGTAATCATTAGTTCAGTCTACTACTCTAACGTACGTCCCCCTTGATACCCGTGGAATCGAAAAACCTGTGGGAGAAAGGCCCCATTTGTGTCCCCAACGCCCGTATTGACGATGGGGGTGATAGATCCATCCATCTCTAGCCGGCCGTCTACTGCACCTGGCTGACAATCTCGCTGGCTTTGCCGAGCGACTCCACCATCTGCTGGCACTCCTTCCTCCGGCGGATCGTAAAGTCGCTCTCCTTGAGGAGGTCGTCGACGTTGTCCGTCCTGTACATGTTCTCCAGCAGCTCGCGCTGCATCTCTTCCTTGGTAAATCTGTGTCATGGTCAGCACGGGGTCCAATAGTCCATGGCCAGGATTTCGACGTACTGCACGAGAGTGAGCATGATGGCCTTGGGCACCATGTCGATCATGGTCCGCTTGACAATGCTAAAGTAAGAGGAGATGAGCAGTTCTAGCATGGTTAGCATTGTGATCATCGCCCTACCCCATAGAATCAGACTCACTAATGACTTCCACCTCAATGTTCTCGCGCTCCGACAGCGTGCCAGAGGCCTTGAGCGTGGGCGGGGGCGCCTCCATGGCCGCGGCCTTCTTCTTGTTCTTGGCAGCGAAGAAGCTGCCAAAGAACCCGCCGTTCGCATTGTCCGGCTCGGGCACCGTCGGGCTCGTGGCCCGGGGCGTCGACGACTGCGGCAGGGGCTTGCCCGTCTTGGGGTCGACCTGCACCGGCTTGGCCGGGTTATGGCGCTCGTTGACAATCGCCATGGCCTTGTGCCCGCTGAGGAAGTCCGGGTGGCCCGTGTTGACGTAGCACGCCTCCATGGCCACCAGATCCCGCACGAGCTTGTTGGTCGGCTCCATGGACTTTTTGAAAAACGCAATCACCACGCCGTGCATCTTCTCCTTCAGCGACGGGTAGCGGCGGTACAGCTGCTTGCTCAGCAGGCTCGACAGGATCCGCACCAGCTCGTCGTACACCAACGACACACACTTCAGGCTGGGGTCCTCGATCCTCTTGATCTGCTGCTTGACAATCAGCTCAAAGGCCGTCGTCCCCACAAAGAGGGCCGGCGAGGAACCGGACGAGTTGTACAGAATGGTGCGAATGTCCACGTCCTTGACAACGTCAAAGGGGTCGAGCGCCTTGACGCCGTTCGAGAAGAGCTCGTGGAACACAAAGCTGATACGCGCACCGCCAGAGAGCTCCGTGCTGGACAGCTCCGTGTTATTGCCATCCAGAACGGTGCGCCACTCGTTCGTAAACTCGGTGATAATGTTGAGAACCACGTTGGCGCTGTTGCCCAGCATCGACGGACCCAGGCTCTCGAGCTCAGAGCTGTACTTTTGCAACGAGCTGGAGATGCGGGCCTTGATGTCGGGCAGGGTCTGCTTGATGTGCATCATCAAGATGAGGTTGAGTTTCCGGGCCAGATAAGGCGTTCCACAGTACGAGCTCTTATTCCTATAGGCCTTGTGGTTGTCGAAAAAGTTCTTCTCAGCCTCCAGCGCCGCGTTGATCGCCTTTTTGTTGTCAATGTCGCGCTGGCCACGGTTGACCACAGGGACGTAGCCGAGACGCAGGGGGATGACACGGTTGCTCAGGATGTCAATGACATCGGTGCCTTCATCCATCAGATCGACCTTTGTGAGCACACCAATCGTCCGTTGACCCTCGGGATCGACCTCGCGCGCTAGCTTCAGACCGTCCGAGTTGGCCAGGTCGATGTTGGCCGCCGTGACCGCGAGGATGATGGCGTTGGACTTGCCAATGTACTTGAGAACCATTTCGCGAATCTGACGCTCGATATCCCGCGGCTGGTCGCCCACAGGCACTTTGGTGAGACCGGGCAGATCGACCAATGTCAGTGTGAGGACGTTGGGCGAGTAGATTCGGAGGTTGATGGGGGCGGCCGAGATACCGGCATTTCGTCCTGTCTTGGCGTCTGTCTCTCTCGCAATCTCCTCGCGAATCTTATGAAAGTCAAAAAACTTCTGTCCGGGAATGTGCAGGAACTCTCCCCACTCGTCCCTGTTGGCCGCCTTGTCCGTGTCCGTGTTGATGGCCTCCTCTTCTTTCACACCGTTTTCCTGGGCCGGGCGGTTGATGAGCTGGAGTACGAGCGGTCGTCGCGTGCAGATACCGGCACCACGGGGCAAGCTACATAGGTTCCGTCGTCAGCATCGGACTGGGCGTTTACTGGTTTCGTGTCGTGTACTCACAAGTCGCGCCCGACGATATTCTCCAACACCGAGGACTTTCCACTCGACTGACTGCCCACGACGGCAATCTGGGGCAGGTCGATGGGGTTGTTGACGCCGACGGTTGCAAAGACATCCTGAAGCTTGTTCACGAGACTGGGCACATGGTTGTTAGCAGATGGGACGGCCTGATGCGCAGAGAGAGCCTGCCACGTACGTGATGAGCGCCGGGTCAGAGATGCCACCCGGCACAGCAAGTGAGGCGCTCATGATGGATATGATCGCTTGGGCGCGTGCGTGAGGTGGGGGAGGACGTGGAAGACTGGCGTCGAAACCGTTGGGAGCTGGCGAACCTTGGGAGGAAGCCTCCTGACTCGCGGGGTGGGAGGAGCGTTCGTGACGGTGAGGGTGCGCGGGACGCCTGAGCTTGCGTGTCTAGCGGTCTGGTCTGTCCGCGTAGCTAGGATGTTGTCGGCAGCTATGCTGTGATGCCGAGGGGTCTGTCGATGGTGGTTTGGGGGGGGGGGGGGGGGGGGGAATTTTCGCGAGGCCGCGTACGTTAACACGGCCCTACCCTGACCGACAGCACCCGGGCAGATGGGCCGTTACGACGAACGGGCCCCCCGGGGGCATAA